ACAAAAGAGATCAAAATAAGGTTTTATTTTTACAATCCACATTGTTGGACTTCTCTGGACCATGGAACAACAGCACCACCAAAAGGTTGTAAGAAAAAATTGAGTTGGCTGAAAAAGATGGGCTGATTTACATCTCTCTGTGATTCTATGTCAAATATGTTGTGACTTTTTATAATGGTAGTGATAGAAACTTGGGGTCACAAAGCCTACAATGCAGACATAGCCATTTTATTGACCATCCAACATAATCAGTGAACCTAAACATGCCTTCTGAGTTTATATATGCAGTGTCAATAATAGTAAATCAGTGGCAAATCTAAAAAAAAAAGTTACTTATTAACATTTTGCCTTACAATGCCCTGCATGTACCAATTTTAGACCAAAAGCTTATGTCAAAACTATCATAAAACAATGCCTCAGACCATAAACCATATTCATAACCAATTACTATAATAACTGTCTGTGAGGGAGCTTTTAGAGGCTTTAAACTCTTCAGACGTCTGGTTCCTATCACCACCATTGTGAACAATTCTGACTTATACGTTTTTTAGAATGGCGCATTTCATATCAAATTACACTGAATGACTTTGTTTACAAATTAACCATTTAATTAGGCAGAAAAGTTTGAATGACCTATTATTCTCTTACTTTGTAAACAGTAAAAATTCCACTGCCTGTTGCGTTGCATTAGTGAGCGGTTGAGGCAGGTAGGAGTAGAATGGAAGCTGCAGGCCTGTCCATATCAGCAGCGCTGTCAGATAAAAGCAAAGGAGAGAGAACAAGGGCCTGTCTCTTTGATCTCTTTGGCCCTGTTGTCCATGTCAGGGACAGGACAGCCAGAACGCTGTGAACGTATCAGAGACGACTGTGTGCACGTGTTTTAGGTTTATATAAGGGGATGGGTGAGGGGTGGTATGCGCAAGTGACAAATGGACAAATGGAGAGACAGGTGTGAGCACTGGACAGCCTACACCACACTCACACTCACACATAGCTGCTGTCGAGAAAGAAGCCATTTGCCTTCAGTGGGTGAAAGATCTTTCTAGACAATGAAACATGAGAATAGCCACTGATAGACCATCCTGAGGCAGAGTAGTGCTGTAGTGCTGCTGTGATTCTATATCCTCGGCTGCTAGTGTTCATTTCCTCCTGTTCATTTCTCCTTTACTGTATTCTATGGTACTAAGCAGCTAATCTGAAACTAAATGCAGTGCTATGTAAATCATAAACCACAAAGTTGAGACTAGTGGCAGGAGTGAAATAGCGATATATACGATATGGCCAAAATAGATGAAATATCTTGGTAGTAAGTGTTAAGAAAAAAATATTCAGACACTATACTAAAATATCTGTAATGGCTACATAAAAATAAGTCAAGGTCTAAATTGCTGTTGTCGGAAGAAAACCTTGTATCTCCAAAATGGTAACTTTACAGGAGAAGGAAAAAACCTACTTTACTTTTAATGAAAGTCAATGGAGCCAGGCATTTTTCCAGGTCTTTTTGGGCTGTTTCTTTTGGTCCATTCATCATGAAATTTACACACAATGTAAAGGGCAAAAGGGATTTTCAAATTATGTCACAAACTGAAAAACGACAAAAATTGAGATACAAGGTTTTCTTCCGACAGCAGTGATATGTTAGTGCTTCAAAGCTTACATTTCCACCTGGGGTCATTATTATTATTATTATTATTAATTAACACACGTTGGTATTGGTTGGGAAGATTTCATGCAATAGGTAGCCATCATGGTGAAGGCGCTTCCTATACTCTTAAAAAAGATGGTACAACCAGGGTTCTTTAGTAAAGAAGATGGTTCTATATAGAACCAAGAACACTCACAGAACTCTTTGCATAATTAATGGTTACTTTGCATTGCAAAAGAGTTCTTCAGATTGTTGTAGAATGTGCTGTAGATGGTTCTATGTAGGCTCTATATAGCACCAAAAAGGGTCCTTCTATTGTTACAATGTCAAGCTTGTTACAGTAGAAGAACCCTTTTGGTGCTATACAGAACCCTTTTTAAAAAGGTTCTATATAGAACCATCTACTGTACATTGTACTTCAATCTGAAGATCCCTTTCACGATGCAAAGAGCCCTTTAATCTGGCAAAAGGTTCTGTGATTGTTCATGGTTCTATACAGAACCATTTTATTTACAAAAGAACCCCTCGAAGAACCATCTTTTAGTGTGTAAGGTTCTCAGGGACAACATTTCAATGGAAAATGTTACAGAGCTGTAGCAAAAATGTTGAACAACCCTGTCAGTACAGTTTGTTCATTAATATGCAATTGGAAAGTTCATGGAACCATATGAATTGTCCTCAGACAGGTGCATCATGCAAGTTTTCCCTCAGGCTAATGATAAGGAAGATAAGAGAGAAGCCAGCTGTCACTTCAAAAGATTTGCAGGATGACCTCAAAGCAGGAGGAACAACAGTTACACAGAGAACAACAGGCAATGAGCTGCACCACAGTCATCTCTGTTCTGCTAAAAAGTACTCTTTTGAAACAATGTACACTGACCGGATGGAACAAAAATAGAACGTTTTGCAGCAATAATTAGCTCATCATGCTTGGGGACATAATAGTTATTCCTTTGATCCCAAGGACACCAAACCCAAGGCCAAAAATGAAAGTAAAAATAGTATGCGTAATATGTATCGTATAGTATGTAATATCACAGTTGGGATGTAATGGAATACAAGTATCGGGAATGCAGATTCAGAATACAGAAATCAAGTATATGTATTCAGTCCAAGTTATGTTTTGAAAAAGCAGCATTCAGAATACAGTTACTTTTTTATGTTTAGGAGAATGCTTTTAGAATACCAGCCAAATAAAAAAGATACCACAAAAAAAACCACCATCAATGCTTGTTTATTAGCTGTTTTAAAGTCAGTGCATGGCATGTAGCAAACATGCTCAGACGAATTCTAAAAAGGAACTCAATTAATGGCTTCCTGCTAAAGCCTGAGTAGACTGATAAATCAATGCTATGATCAGTTATTAATCTCAGTGTTACTGAGCTCTGCTAAAGCCTGAATAGACTGATAAATCAATGCTATGATCAGTTATTAATCTCAGTGTTACTGAGCTCTGCTAAACCCTGAGTAGACTGATAAATCAATATGATGAGCCAGTTATTAATCGCAGTGTTACTGAGCTCTTTAGAGGGATGATCAAACTAATAATCTCCTCAGTAGTGGACATGCTTGGAAGTGATAAGCTTATCATCAGTATTGTACTGGACTCTGGAGACTGTGGGACCAGCAGTGGAATAAAGCAGGTAATGAAAAACAAAAAAAGGAGAATTTTCAGAAGTTCATTTAAATTACAAGCAAATTTTTCATGCAGACTTTTAAAGAATAATAACATGAAGAACACTGGTAACCAGTAATAGTGAGAAACAATGTAAAGAAAAAAATTCCAATAGATTTTCCTTCCCAAGATATATTCTAAATTTATTCTAAACGTATTCTGATGTTACTTTTTATGTATTGTAATGGAATACACTCCTGAATACATTCTGGACAGTTAATTCAGGATTCAGTCATCACTACTTTTCAGCACAGTATCACAATATGTTCTTCTGCCACCAAACTGCATAGACTGTGTAATGTTATTCCAGTACACTGAAAGATAGAACGGTTAGATTTTCTGAGATGGAACATCATTAGAATTGGATCTTTCCACTCTACCAAATAATGAAAATAACTGCATGGCGATTGCCTCTGCAAGCTTAACCCAAAAGCATTTGTCTATTAGCCTGTGCCACAGATCCCTGTGCGTCCACTCATTATACTGTCCAGTTAGAAGACATTAGCGGTGAGCAGTGTGGTGGAAAAGTCTTTGCATGGGCAGTAGAGGAGCTAACAGCCTGTTAAATGGAGGGAGATGGAGCACGTGAGTGGCCCGGAGAGAGTGTGTGTGTTTGTGTGTGACTGTTTTTTATGCCGGGGGGGTTTGGGTGTGTGTGTGTGTGTGTGTGTGTGGTATAGCACAGTAAAGTGTGTGACTTCAGCGAGCCGCTGGCAAGAAGCCACTCACAGCAGAGTGTAGGCATGTGATTAATAGGGCAGAGTAGGAAGGGAAAGAAGCGAGTGTGAAGAGAGGGAGGAGCGGAGGGAGGAGAGGAAGAGAGGGATAGAGTCTCTCGTGCCCTGTGCAGTGTGTGTGTAACTGCGTTCTTATTCCTACCTCATGCTGCAGCACACTCACACACACACAGCTGGACCCTCTCTCTCCTGTCCCGCTTTACTGCTTTACACACGGGGTGGCCAGAGTGGATTAAAGGCCTGGACTTCACTGACTGGAGCTACTTCACCACTCTGGATACTGGAGTCTGATGGACCACAGAATGGATGGCCAATATCTGACTGAACCTTAGGGCTCTGGAGCTTGAGACGTGTTTGGGTGCTACAGTTTGGAGAGTGCAAAGTGGGCGACCAGTAGATTTTAGATGCAAGACTGGAGAATCAGCAGCCAGTGGACAGTAGAGTTTGGATATTGTGGTATGGATACCAGCCAATATCTCTTTGGATATTAGGTTTTGGGCTTTTGGACATTAATAGCCGGTGGACACTTGAGTTTAGATTTATGGATCACCAGTAACTACATGGCATTAATTCTTTGATCACCACACTTTTTAGACATGAATAGATTTATGGGTCTAGTTTAGATCCATTATGCATCACCAGTAAGTTTGGTTATCACAATAGCCAATATACCTTTGGACATTAGAGTTTGGATATTTTGACATTAATAGCCAGTGGACACTAGAGAGTAGGTTTATGGATCACCAAAGACTATTTGGATGCTAGAGCTTGGATATTGTGGTATGCATAGCCATTATATCTTTGGGCACTAGACTTTGGATATTGTCTTATGGGGAATTAATAGTCATTAGACATTTCAGTTTAGAATTATGGATCAACAATAATTCTTTAGACATCAGAGCTTGATTATTGTATTCGCCGATATATCTTTGGACACCACAGTTTGCAAATTGCAATATGGATAGTCATTACATCTTTGAACACTAAAGTTTGGATATTTTGGTTTGGATGGCCAATATATCTTTGGACGCTAGAGTTCGGACACTGCAATTTGAATAGCCATTATATCTTTGGACACTGCCTGTGTATAGTCATTTAGAATTACATCATATGGAGGTGTTAAGAGAGGACAAGCTTGAGTGATAACACCTTTGGGGAGACACACTCTCTCACTCACTCACTAACTCACCCATCCACTGAAGATACATTCTTTCATACAGTGCACCTTCCCTCCTACCAGGACTCATAAGCCGAATAGAATGGCACCGTGAAGGCTATGGCTTCTCTGACTGAAGACAAACCGTCCATTCGGGCTACATTCGTTAGCGCCTATTCTTATCTTCCACAAGATCCTTTGCTCTAAAAGAGGATTCCTACAACCGATCTGTGCTGCTTTTTGGAGAGGGACCACTGTAGCAGAAGTGCTGTGGTTTGAACAGTAAACAGTAAAAATGGAGAAATCTATAATGTTGTAGTAAAGATGGACTGATACAGGTGATGGTAGAAGATAGACGGTTCTAATTCTGTGATGCGTAAAGGCATGGATTTGTGACGTTGCAGCCATGCTGTGTGGTTTACGGAGAGAAGGACGCAACAACAGCGGTGAGTAACTCCATCACCCACAACCCTGTTTGATTATCACTATCTATTCCTCCATCCATCTCTGTACACTTTCAGGAGGTGAGTTCTTTGGAGTGATGCCACAGAAGAACCACTTTTGGTTCCCTAAGAAACTTTAACTGCATGAGTCTATAAAGAATCATCTTCACAAATGCAATGTGTGCATATAAGGAACCTTTTAAGTGTTTAGAGAACCTCCACGCAATGCAAAGTTTCTACACCAATTAAAGGTTTTCATACAACCATACATCTAAGCCAAGAACGAGTGTCATTTTTGTGAGTGTCCTATCTTTCTGTCAGAGTCTCTTTCATTCTGTCTACTCAACTCATGGGAGCTTTACTGGCATGACTGTCACACATGGAGGCTTGATGCAGGATGTCAGGACAAGGTAGATATTTTATGTAAAATGAAACAAAACAAAGAAATTTAAACATAATCAAATGAGCGAGGGCAGAAAAGACTGACCAGGCACCATGAAACAAGCATGTTACCATCGTGGTAAAAAACAAACCCACATGAACTACATGAAATGGCATAAAATAATCCACTTGCATAAAGAATAGCAGGATTTTCCTAAACTAATTCAAAAATGATTAAATGATACAGAGAAAATGAGACTCTTAACAGCCATGCAAGACCTGGTAGACCACCAAAACTCCCCCTATTACATAAACAGCGCTTAAAGCTTTCATCTCTGAGAGAGAGGAGAAAATCAAGCTGCTTCAGATCTGAAAAAAATTCCACAGGCTTCTGTCCATCCTTCTACTGTGAGAAGACGACTCAGTGCTATGGGTCTGAAAGGATGTGCAGCTTTGTGTGGACTGTGTGGATTAAGGTACCAAAATGGTTCCTTGCACAATGTTATAGAAGAACCGTTTTTGGTTCTCTAAAGAACCTTGTAATGAATGGTTATTTGGAGAACTGCTTTTGCAAATGAGAAATGTGAGAGTAAAGAACCTTTTTTAAGTTTAGAGAATCTCCACATAATGTAAAGGCTCTAGAACTAATTTTTAAATTGGTGAAGAACCTTTATGTTATGTGAAGTTTCTTAGAACATTTTAAAGCTTCTTCACATGCACAAATCTCTTTATCACACATGGTTCTTTAGGGAACTTTAAGGGGTTCTTCTATGGCACCACTCAAAGAGCCTTGTGGCACCATATTTTAAAACAGTGCAGCTTTTGTGCTGCACTATAAATCAGTCTGTTAGGTTATGTATCTGCAGGCAGGGCTGAGCGGTTAATCGAATTTCACTTTTAATTATGATTTTGGCTTCCAACGATTGTGAAACAAGACAATCAAGAGGAAATGATTATTGTGTCCGTTTCACAATGATGCTCTGTTATAAATCCTTTCCTTCACTGCGGTGCACTTTTGCCCCTTCCTAAAGCCCAAACCCATCTAATTTACTTTGTCTAATTTATTTTTATTTATTGTTTTTAGTATAGGTTTTAGTGGGTTGTGGAAGTGTACTACAACACGGTTGATCATATTTATTTTTAGATTATATATATATATATATATATATATATATATATATATATACACACATAACCATATATATATATGGTATTATATTTATCTATTTAAAAATAAATACTGTGCATTAACACATAGGCAACAATCAGTAACTGTAAATATACCAAGTGCATCTATATTATATATAAACCTAATAAAATTGCCAATGAGTATAATTTATTTGTTATTTTGTTATTTACTAGACCTTCTATCTATCTATCTATCTATCTATCTATCTATCTATCTATCTATCTATCTATCTACTCTGTATGTAGAAAAGTTTTTAGACAATGCTGGGGGGCTTTGTACCCCTCTGAACGAAGCTGCTCCAGAGCATCTCATTTAATTGGTCAGTGCTTTTCTATGGCGATCATACAAGCTGTGTGCCATTGAACACCTGCATCAGCAATGGATGCACTATACAATCGCTGAATTCACTAATTAGAAGGGGTGTCTTTATACTTTTGGACATATAGTGTGTCCATATACCTTGAAGCCTATCAACTAAAATGATCTGTCTGTCATTTTGAGCTATTTATCTCTGCTCACTTATTCATATATCTCTCCATTTGTAGTTGAATGGAGAGAAGCAAAGAAGGAATGTCTAGTGGTCACTGAGGTGGGGGGTCTATCTTTGTTTACAAAGCTTTATGCATTGCAAAGAAGGAATGTCTAGTGGCCACTGAGTTGGGGGTCCATCTTTGTTTACAAAGCTTTATCCGAGCTTTGATATTTTTGTTGGAAACCCCAGTAGACAGTTGTCCATAAGGCAGTGCTTTTTTATGGAAAATGTGGTGAAGGTTTATATTGCTATGCTAAAGTGGGTTTGGTTGTTGAGCATTATTTTAATTTTGAAACCTGGAGGATTAAAGAGACTAAGCCAATTCATGACTGGTGCTTTACCATTGCTTGATCATACGCACAGCTCTGAAGTTTGTACCTCTTGCCTGGTCTAATCCAGAGGCATTTGTCAGTGTAAATGGAAAAGTGTGTTCAGTGTAGAGATTTGAGAGTAGAATGACAGTCAGGTCTTGTGTGGGCACTATAAATAAGAGAGCAGCGCTGAAAATAGGCTCTGAGCTTCCACCAGCATTGTTAGAACATCCGGCATTTAACCTACATCAGGAATGGTGTCATCGTAAGCAGGGCTGCTGGAGTGCCATGCTCTAAATTAGTTTCAGACTTTTAATTGCCTTATAAAATGAGTTGTGTTGGCCCACAATGATTTCTGAAGTTTACTTTTTTATAAAGCGTCAGTTACTAGACTGTGTGTGTGTATCTGTACTGCTTGAAGATTAGTATATGGATCTCACTTTTAGAATTATATATATATATATATATTTATGTCTGGATAAGATAGTATTATCAGTGGCTGATTGATTCTGATCAGTTATTGATAATGTTTCTTAAATTTAATTTGTTTTCATTTTTTTGTCCTCAGATAAGCAAACAGACTGTCTTCCTTTGGCTGGTTTGGGACTTCGGACCAACTATAATGGTATTAAACCAGCAAATATTGGAAAAACACATATTTATATAAATTCTCCTTCCAATTTTACCTGATTATGTTCCAAATTCAAAGTCAAAGTCAGCTTCATTTTCATTTCACATGCATGTGTTCAGTGAGGAATAAAATATAGCTGGGTCATTTTACAGAAACGTCCACTTTTCTATCTCTCCATAGGAGTCACTGGTGTTACTGGTCCTCACTGTTGTTACACATAAGAAAGGTAACACCAGAGATGTGTAATTTAATCAATTTGTATTCTTTTTTTTCACACTTACCTAAGAATAAAATAGGTCATACCAGTGACTAACTAAAAGCTTCATATGAAATCATGAGAAAATTTCTGATAACTGAAAAGACACAGTGGACTTACCATGTGCTTTTCTTCATAGATCTTCAGAAAATAGGTAAAAGGAAGTCAAGTGATGTCATCGGTGTGCTTTTTTTCAAAATAAGAGATTTTTTGTTACACGTTAACACCAGTAACACGACTCCTGGGGACCACAGCTTTCATTACATGTTTTATAATATTTATTTGGCATTTGTTTCCTTTATGCCATGTAAATCATACATTTCACAGGCATGTATAGATTATTGCAGTTAAAATGTCAGAAAAACATGTTTTTTAAAATATGGCCTCACCCTTCACACATGACTGTGAGGACAAGCACTTCTGTGGTGCTTGGAATTCTATATAATTGACTAAAAAAACAATATTGCTTGTTTTTCAAGCGTAATATATCTGTAAACGCTAGAACACAAAAATGGACGTTTCCATAGAATGACTCAGCTACATTTAACATCAAATAGAAGTAAATTAGCAGAAATAAATACAATACATAGACATATACTGCGCAAAACAGTGTACAACAAGCATCACAGCCATTTAGTGCTGGACAGTAGAGACTATACAGCAATGACAGCTGGTCATAATATTGGATATGAGGGCTAAAACACACTGTAGCATTACATTTAAGAGTTTCTTTCCAGCTACAGCAGTGAATCAAAGAAATGAGCTGTCTAGCTAGCTGTGCTTAAATGTTGATGCGTACCATTAGCTAGAGGCTGTAGCAAGCTAACAGAACAATCACACCATGTTTCACAGCAGCACTGGACTTTTTTTTATCAACAACATGAACAGAACATGACAGGTATTTACCGAAGGAGTCAAGGAGTATAAAACAGCAATACACAAAAACATAAAAAATAAGTTACCTGAATGCCAGTTTGAAGTAGCCATAAGCTTGAAATATCCATATTATGTGCTCCAAATGTCTGTGCACAGGTGATATAGCATCATGTATGGGTGCTAATAAAAATTAGCATTATTCAGTGGTGGATAAGGCTAATTTCTGATGAATAATGCTAATTTCTGATGAATAATGCTAATTTCTGATCTAAATTCTAATTTTATGATGCTACAGCATCTATACACAGGCACTATAGCACCTCTAGCACCTGTGTACAGGTGGTATAGCTTCATATATGGGTGCTAACAGAAATTAGCATTATTCAGTGGTGATAAATACAGGCTTCTCATGAAGCAAATGAAAATGTTTCTTCTTCAAACATTGCCATGTTACACTCATACTTAGCCTGTATCTGAGTCTCAGTGTAAACAAAATGAAAAAGTTCATATTCATGTGCGCATACGGAACGTTTTACAGTAGCTTTGAGCAGGTCTCGACGGGGCCAGGGGTGGGGGGGTGGGGTGGGGTTAGCAGGCCCTCATGGGCTTAAAAAATACCCCACTTTGAATAACAAATCAAGAGGTCATTTCACTACATATAATAAATCACAATGTATTTAGAACAGAATCGCAGATCAGCTATATGGATCTACAGTCTGAGCTAGACGTAAATCAGGCCAATCTGAGCCAACTCATAATTTTGTTGCTGGTTCTATTGTTCTTCTACTGTTCCACAGAAGTTCAAAATAATCAACCTACAGTAAAACAAAGGGGCAGAGGAAAAATGGTCCTGTTTGTCCTCAGCAGCAATGACTGTTTTAGTGTCAAGTGCATAGGAAGCGAATGAAATACAGCCACAGGTAAAGTGACTGGAACAAGTAAGTATAGAACAAGAAAGAGACTGTTCAGGAGTACGACTGCCTGTGGGAAGAGGCTGACTTGCCCCAGTTAATCCATAGCCTGTTTCCAAATGAGAGGGGTGTAAATAGTCCATGTGAGACTATTAAGTCAATATGTAAGTAAATATTACTTAAGCAGAAGTCCAAACTCTCATTTGTGTGCTATGGAAAAAAGTTGAGTGGAAAGCTCCTCTTTGTTCTTTTACATTCAGTCAGGAAATCTCCATGTTTCTCATGTAGCTCCTTGTGTGTGTGTGTGTGTGTGTGTGTGGGTGTGTGTGTGTGTGTGTGTGTGTGCGCTTTGGGAAAAGATGCTTTTGATGTTTGATGAATGTCACGAATCTGATCAAGGTTGCAGCACTGAGGATTTCTCTTTTATTGTTCCAGATGACGGCCCGTATTCTAAAGGGAGTAAGGAGTCTGCAGTGAGTGACAGCAGTGTGGGCTCAAAGAGACGCAGCATTGCAGGTATGATATGCCAGTACAGCCAGTGGTGGAAAAAGTCTTACTCAATTATAAATTATAAAAAGTATAGAACCAAAATTATATGGAGCCCTGTTGGTGACATCCCGTATAAACAAAAATAATGCATGGCGACTTTGTAAGGCATGGGAATGAGATATTTAAGTCGAGACATCATTAGGGACATAATTAAGCCTTGACCCCAGCTTATTTTGTTCCCACATGTTAATACGGTGTGGCCACACATTAATTTTATTTATACCGGATGTCACCAGCAGGGCTCCATAAAAATATACTTGAGTCAAAGTAAAACGTTATCTACATTTGAACATACTAAAGTATACAGATGATCCTATTGAATTAGTTCAAACTGCGGTTCCACCGTAAAAAAAACTCTAAAATTTAAACTCTATTTTGACAAAGGTGTGAAGTATTCAGACCTCAGATATTAAAAGGATTATGTTTTGATCTATTCAAACACAATGCATTAATTTAGATAGAAATAAGCTAAATATGTATTAATTAATCAATTATAGAGAACTTTCTACTGGGAGGTGGCTGTCCCAAACCTTAAACCATAAATATTAACTTTTTATTTTTTCCGTTTTTTAAAATCCTTTTGGTTTGTTTTAAAGTAAAGTAGCAATTTAGATTTATCATAAGTTCAATTCTTAAATAAAAAAACGTATTTATTTAAAAAAAGTTGTCCCATGTTTTCGTGTCACTACTGAAACACAAAGAGTTTTAGTCCATGGGCGGAGTCTTATTTTAGCCATGTCCCTGCATTTTAGAGCAGAAAGTGAGACTGCATCCCTGTCCCTCATGGCCACATGGTGAGCAGTTAAATCCCATTGTTTTGATGTGAATGTGTCCCAAATTCTGAAAATAAGTGGGGAACGTTCAGAATTGTCACTACCAAAACACATATTTTCTTCAATAATTAAATGTTTTTGTGTTTTAATGAAAAACATTGTGATTTTATGTGTGTACAGCTGTTCGAAGCTGTGTTTGCTAGTCATGGACTGGCTGGGGCTTTTGTGTTATGATCATGATTAGCTAAGATTGTCACTACCGAAACAGTCACTATTGAAACATTTGGTTTTGGTAGCGTTATAATTGTTTTGGTAGGGAAAAAATTGAATGTTCAATCATTTGTTTTAATAAAATAAACATAATTAAAGTATAGAGTCATTCAAAGCAAAAGGATGTTAATTTAAAGTCCAAATCAGTTAAATGTCCGAAATGTGTTTTAAACTCATATAACAGGGTAGCTGACCTGTCCATGCTTTGCCCATAAGTGCATTCTTTTGTAGCAACTGTTGTAAGGCTGGACAAGCGTGTGTGGGCAGAGCAGGGATAGGGCATCTCTGTCTGTAACATTTTTTATTGTGAGGGACTCATGACAACTGTGTGTGCACAACATTCCCTGAAAGCTGACAGGTTCAGCCAACACACACACACACACACACACACACACACACACACACACGGTGATAGTCCTGTGTGCTGAGGTGATCAGACAGCTTGTCTGTGCGTTTGCTGATGCTGAACTTTTTTCTCCGGTGAGCTCCATACACTTCTGCTTTCTCCTCCGTTTCCTCTGTTCATCTCTTTCTCTTTCTGCGTCTTCCTCTTTCTGTCCTTCTGTGGTTTTGATTAGAAGCATCTATTGATTTTGCTTCTATTGATCTATTATGGTTTGACTTTGTAAAGCATTTGTAGAATAGCTGTGTAGCCACTTTATTACTCATAACTCTATATCAGATTAACTAGAACACTGTTGTCTTTCTGTGTGTAAAATGTCATGACTCTATGTTGAGCTGCTAGTGAGCAACGAGGGGTGAAAGGTGTGGAGTGAGAGCCCCCCGCTGTGAAAATAATTCACATTTATTCACAAATACGGCTGTCTCGAGATAAAACAATCCTCACAACTGCAGCTTTCTTCATATCAATAAATTGTGTACATCTGCCACAATTAAAATACAAGCAATTAAACACATAATAAACACGTTTATAAATGCTGCAAGCTTGCTCATATACGAAGACAAAACTCCAGTTAGCTTCCGTGTTTTGTAAATCCTACACATTTCAATAGAAATATATTCCATAAACAACATTGCATAGTTCAACTGAGGGTCCTCAAAACAGGCAAAAATAGCATTTAAAGGTCCTGCACAGCTGTTTTATTTGAAATCTGTGAAAAATATTTCCACAAACAGCTTTTTTTACTCTCCAGCTTCTTGTTCAAATTTTCCAGTTCCACCTTAAATGGTGCAGCAGTTACATTCTGATACCTGAGGACAATGCCAAGACGCAGACGCATGCAGATCTTGTCCTTTTTAGAAGGCGTGTACGCGACTGGAGCGGGGCGGAGTTTGTACAGTTTGAAATCCAGTGGGAAACAAAACATTTGGACCAGAAACAAAGCAATATGGGCCTTTGAAAGAAAGTTTTGGGATGGCCATGTACAGAGCCAAGCAGACAAAAGCCACGAAGGCATAGAAGTCATATAGAACAGTTAAAGAGTGCATAGCATCGCTACTGTCCTCCATCTTGGATTTTCATCCATCTTCTGCCCGCACGTTTCTATTGGTTGACGCGCCTCCACGTCAGAACGCGTTGCAGCAAAAGTTGAAATGGTTTTTCGACGCTCGATGATACGTCTTTTCACTGCATACAGGCACGTTTCTAGTCCGACAGAGCTGACGCAGCTTCCTAACTGAAATACATTAGAGGCCTGTGTTTCTGATGCTGCGTCAGCCTCTGGTGTGTAGACACCCTTATTCAAATGTTCCTGTTCCTCTGTAACTGCTGCACCATTTAAGGTGGAACAGGAAAATTCAAACAAGGAAGCCAACTTCAGCCTCATATTGTTAACTGTAAATTTGTAACCCCAGAATGTAGAGAGAGTGACAATCTCTCTACATTTCATCCAAAAACTGAGCATTTCGAAATGTGTGCCATCTCCCATTGTCTCCTCTTTAATATGTTAAATTCAGCAAATAAACAGTAAATGTGCATTAAAACTTAAGTTATTTTTTTTTTTACTTATTTTCACTTAGAAAATCAACTTAAGTTGTCTGGGGAGCCCAAATTTTGCACACAACTGTATTATGAGAGCAATCAATTCACTGAAAAAGACTATTATGCTTGGAACAGTTGAAGTAGAAAGAGGAAGAAGATGACCAACAGGAAGATGAATATTTAACACATCATATAAAATCAAAGGGCCTGTTTTTTCAGGGTTGAATCTCTGCTGACTCAAACGTACTTAAAACTGCATTATTTATGACTTATGAATGTTTCACAACCTCACATAACCGGCCCCTCGGCTCCTGTAATTGCCACTTCCTGTATTCAGAAATAATTATACAGTTTACAACCAATTATGACAGGTCTAAGGTCACTGCCTTTAGAAATCAGTTCTCCCTTCATTTACTGTTAAAGATGCTTAATGTAAGGCTAGTGCTGTAGCGCATGCTATGAAGACAGAACTAGGCCACATTTACTTCTTATTATTTAGCTGAAACTGTTTGATTGTTTGATTATTACGTAAGTTTGATTATTATCTAAGTATTTAATGATTATTATTATTATCTAATTACTTTTCAAATGAGAGCAAAATCTTGTAAAAGGGGCTACAATTAAGAGGCTAATTCTATGAGCACATTCTCTTACTTTATGTTGGGACACACAATAGTTGTATCCTGACAAATGAGACTGAAATCATTTAAATATAATTCATACATTTTAGTGTTTCGAAAGGCATTCAAGCATTATGGCTTCAACAATCCTGGTAACTCACTAGGCCGGTTTCTCTGAGTAGGTAAATAAGGAATAAACCTACAAAACAAGCCTACAATGCTTTTGTCCAAAGTGACTTACATTTACCAACTACACACATACATTTTCCCCAAACGGCCTGGGCTCAGGTGCCTTGATTGAGGGCATAATGCCAGCAGTTCTCAGCTGGGATTGAAGATGAGCTTTGGAGCCAGTGTGACTACTGTTTGGAATTAGCTGAAGGAGGACAGTGAGTTTGTAACATTCGCTCTGTATCAATTGCCATATCCATGCTCCGCCCACAAATATGTTTTTGTAATGCATAGCTGAAGTTTTTGTCAAAACACATAAATTACAGTTTAGAGTTGCTACATAACTTTAGCTTCTACCTGCTATGCTAGTTTATATGCTATAGTAGTTGCTATGCTAGGCCATCATGCCAACATTAACGTAATTGCATGACTAAAAACCTATGCCAGACCTATTCTATCAATGTGACCTTTCACCAAAGTAAATATCACTTGAAATTAATAATGCACTCTAAATTTAGGTATTTTACTAAAACATATTTCATGCCCTCACATTTTTTCATTCACATAGAGTAAAATGTGTTTAGGCAATTGTAAAATACTGTAAGTCTGTGCACGTCTTCCACCACCATCAGGGAATGTCTGAAGAGTTTAGAGTCTCTCAAAGCTCCCTTACAAAAGGTTATTACACAAAATAGTTCTCAATACTCTGCCTGATTCCTGAGGCTTTTGGCCTAAAACATATTTTTAAAATGCATGCACAGAAGAAGTCTATGCACAACCTTGTAAAGCCAAACAGTCCTGTACAGTTTGTGCACATCATTTCACATCAAAAGACTTTGACCCAGAATGCCTTTGTTTACATGTCAACAATTGAATTAAGTGAACATTTTTGATGTAAATTTTATTTCATGCTTTAATTACTGACACAATGACATTATTGGAGACAACTGAAATGTTTAATGTGCATTCGTGTGAATGTGTGTGTGTAGATGAGTACAGAGGCCTGACCACAGTGGAGCTGATAAAGAGAGAGGGATGCAGTCTCGGCCTCACCATCTCCGGAGGCTCCGACAAAGACGGCAAGCCCAGAGTGTCAAACTTAAGACCAGGAGGGCTGGCAGCCAGGTGAGACAAACGCACACACACACACACACACACAATTAACTTCCATTATCTTTTTGACAATATGAGATTTTCCTCTCTCTCTCTCGCTGTCTATATATATATATATATATATATATATATGTATGATATCATTTTATAATTAATTTTCATGAATCATTTTTTGTGCATTCCAGGTAATATCAACTAACTGCTGTTGGGTTGTTGTATTGATGAAATAAAACTAAATTTAGATTATGTTTTTGGCCAAAGCAGCTAACTCTAGTGGTCATTTCATGTTTCAGAGGTAAACACAACCATGTAATGGATACAAGTTTCCTTTATGTACAATATTTAACATTCTTTAACATAAGTAGGTAAAGTTCTGATAATTGCAACAAAAGCCTAGCTCTAGTTAAGAACATAAGTTGCCAGCCCCTCAGTGTAAACATACTTGGTGGTTCCTGTGAGCAAAGATTAATTATTAACAGCACAAGCGTTTTTTTGTGTCGTGGTGTAGTAATACACATCTGTAAGATCATACCTCGGAAAATCCTAAGGCTGAATCTCAAATGGCTCACTGCTGTCTATATAGTGCACTACGTGAGCAATGAAATTTTGGCTTTGACACCCAAATGTCACACTTTATGTCCAGTATGAATTATGCACACATGACTGAATCCAAAGTGGTTTTGTTTAGTTTTATTAGACACACTGTGTACCTACGTACGTGTTGCATCACCTGACCAGAATACTGTCCACTGATTCACTGAACGGATTCATCAGGCTTTGCTCAATGAACAATAACAGCTTTTGTGACAAAACGTATGTAGGGTATTTTGTATATATGTATATATATATATATAGATGTGTATATATATATATATAGATGTATATATAGATGTGTGTGTATATATATATATATATATATATATATATATATATATATATGTATATGTATGTACAGTTTTACACACTCTACAATCTGTGAAGAGAATGGAGGCACACACACAAACATATACCCCCACACAACCACATACACACCCACACTCCTCCTCTTATGTCTTCCTTCAGCCCCACAGCTTCACTACTCGCTTTTAATTCTTCTCAATGTCCAAATGAACTGCATGTGTGTCTGTGTGTGTGTGTGTGTGTGTGTGTGTGTGTCTACGTTAGCTTGTGTAGTCAGGCCACATCATGCTCTCAGGGGTTTATGTGATGCAGCAGCACTGATCCTGAGGTCGCACACACACAAACACACACAACACACACTAAAGCCTAGAGATACTCAATCTGTACCGAAGAGCGTAAACTGAAGCTGGATATTCAGGAGTTAATGAGTTTTAAAGCATCTGTGCTGACTAACACTCAAACACCTCGAGAGTGTAGCAGTCTGCGGACGAAGCGTTGAGTCACCTGTCAGCAGGTGTGTGTGAGTGTATCTGTATGTTCATGCGTGTGTTTTTTTTTCTTTATTTGTTTTTGTACATTTCCAGAATTATTATTTTGCTGTAAAACATGGTTAACATACAGGACCAACCAAGAACACGGTGCTGACTTTGTAAAGTTACAAAAGATTAATATTTCATATTTTATTATTATATATTGATAGCTGCATATAGTACATATATGACAAATGATTACATATGCATATTTACATACATATAGGACATATCTATGGCAATATAAAGCATATCCGTGTACTTGTGTTTGTGTGTTATGGAGGTGTGTGTGTGTGTGCGTGCCTGTATGTGTTATAAGGAGGAGTGATGAGCTTGTTTTGGAGGTCTATGTATGTGTATGTCATAACTTAACCTACCGTCTGGGCAACAAGGGTGATTTCATCAAAAAAATGTAATGAATGAATGAATGAATGAATGAATGAGTCAATCAATCAGTAGCACATGTTTAAAAATGCTTGAATTATCTGTTTACATAAAAACTAGTTAACACATTCAGTTTGCTTACACTTCAGACTGGTCAGTCTAATAATCTGTAAGTTGTAATTGTCCAGTAAGCATCATCATTATCTGTTTTCTCTTGATAATACGTAAGAGTGGTAGGAGGGGAACATAAAACATGATATTGCTGGTTATTCATATTTTATATTATTAGTTTATATTGTAAAAATTATTTTAAAGTATTTATATTATTAGCTGAATGCTAGTTTGGTTTAGATATTTTGTGAAGAATGAACAGCACAAGTCTCCAGCAAAACTGTTGCAAGGCTTTAGGTTATTATCAATAGACGCATAGTATGTGTGATAAAGAGAGTCTTACATTTGTTGACCTTGTTGGGATGGGGCACCATATATCAGGGGCACTAGGGGACCTTAAACGCCCTGGTGTGTGTGTGTGAGTGTCCTATGGCACAGTTGTGTGTGTTATAGAGGTAGTGTTGTGTGTGTCCAGCTGTCATTAATCAATCTTCTCTGGAAAGTTCTACTTATAGTTTTTCATCAGGAACAGCACACTTAACAATTAATGTAGTTCAGATTGTAAAAGCTGCTTGGGCATTTCTATAGCAGCTGACGTACTCTGTAGAGACTGGAAATTCTAGATTGTTTTTGTCTGAAAGTAAGAAATATTTATCTTTAATAGTGGGGATTCCTTTTAGGGACCTGTTTTTGAAAGGTGAAGGTTTGGATTAAGCTACTGGTTAGTGGTGTGTTGCAGTCTGTGACTTATGTGCAGCTTGTGTTGAGTTTTGGTCACCTATGTTTAGTCTCTGTTGTTATTTTTGCTAAATTACATTTTTATGCAGAGTGAACGTGTGTTTGAGGGTGTTATCATGTTGCTAACAGGCAAACGCTCAGTGCTGGGTGACGGCAGCCGGAGAGAATGGCCCAAATTAGCATCCACACGAGCTCATCATGAGTCATCTTTGGCCAAATCACACACACACATACACAAATTCATACACGTGTGTGCACACAAACACACCGCTGTGCAGATGCACCTTTGCATATGTGGCCATCCAAGTCATGTCATCCCCATCTTGTCCTGTGTAGGCATGTGCTGATACAAACACTGACATATCACAACAATTACCTAACCTTTTATCATGGTTTATGATATGAACAACTTGATGTATGGCTCCCTTTATGTTAGACAGCGCTCTAGCTACAAGTACGAATAACCAGTAATCTGGAACTTGTCTTAAAGCATTGGTTTGGTCAAAGACAAAGCTAATGCTGCTAACAGTACATCAAAAGGAACTGCCACCGATTCATGTTTTAAATTCAAATCAATAACACTGTGAGTCACTGTTTAAGGCTGATTGATTTTATTGATTATGCTGTGTTTTGGAATTAAATGGCTTTTTAAAAACGTGTGCATTGTAGCAGGTTCCTTATCAAGATTCCTTATTGCTTGACAACATTGATATTTGCATTTTATAGAGCGCTGTGTTTAAGTCAACAACAACCAATAAACAATGTAACAAGACAAGATAATGGCAAGAATCCTACTGCAAATCAGGACGACAATACAAACACCAGATGGTATTTCTTATGGTCTGAACTTGTGTGTGACCTTCAGGAGTGACCAGTTGAACGTGGGTGACTACATAAAGTCTGTGAACGGCATCAACCTGTCCAAACTGCGGCACGATGAAATCATCAGCATGCTGAAGAACATCGGAGAGAGAGTGGTGCTGGAGGTGGAGTACGAACTGCCCCCGTTTGGTGAGCCCAATATCACCTGCACTGAGAAACACAAACACACTCTGCTAATAAACAAAATAGGAATAGAAGGGAAGAGAAGATTTCCAGGTGGGTAACTCACATACAGTCAGTGACAGAAGTAGCTCATTTTAAGTAGTGGTACGTGCAAAAAGAACAGGCTGAATAAGTGCAGAACCTAATTGGCAATGATCCTCCCCCTGGGTCTAAAAAGTGCAATGGGGTGTGAGCAGGGAGACTAAAGGTAAATGGGGGAAATACCTGAGCACCCTCAACAAACTGCTGTTTTGTGGATGTAGATCGCAATATAACAAACTGACTGTCCTGTCGTTTATTTTCACCGTTTTCTATCACATGTCCATTTTTAAACGAGCCACAATTTGCTAATACAAAAAACAAAGGTTTTGTGAGACAAGTGACAGTAGATGATGTTGCGACAGTTAGGGTTAATTTACAGTACTGTGCCAGTGTCCTGTTTTCTTACATCGCCAAACATCAGTATGATCAACTGGTATGTACCTGTATACTGTTCTTTTAACAAGTAAAATGACTGTATGCTTGTTTCTTTTCCTAGATATTAGCCTTAATGACAATCTAAACAACGCATGAATCTCAAAGATTTATCTTGGCTAGCCGAAATGGGCTTACTCGTGACAATTCAGCATTTGAGCTCAACAGCAAAACAAACAGACCCCTCCCTTCAGTGCTCCATCAGAAGCTCCGCACCCCAAATTCATGGACATGTGTTGTCAAAGCCAACAAGCCTTTTTTTGGATCTTTGTGGCCATAAAACCCTTCGCAAATGCTGTACAGACAAATACCTTGATATAACATGGAGTGAACAATAGAGTGAACAATGACACAGCAAGTAATGTAACTAACGTTAGGTAGGATGTGGGTTGTCAAACTGTCACTACAGTTTCTGCTGTGAAACTAATTAGTTGCTATCACAAACATTCACAAAAGGACAAACAATACTGACCTATTGATTCTATGAAACAGCAAAAATGATTTAATGTTACCCACCTGTCCAGCAGGAGCGACCTCCTCATCCCTTTTCATGCATTTTAACTCTCAATGAAGCTTAAGTCAGCTTATTTTTCGCCAGCTTCTTGTTCAAATTTTCCCGTTCTGCCTTAAATTGTGAATGCACGCTGTGTGAGCGGTCACTGTCTGGGGAGGGCAAAACAAAATGTGGGGAGGCCGACATTTTCACAGGGCGGGACTGACATGCTAGCGCAGCCAGACCAGCCATTAAAACAAAAAACAGAGAAACTCGGATTACAGCACACACAGAGAGGGTGTGACTTCATTCTCTGCTCAGGATGCCATTACACCACTATGTCTTTACATAGAAAATAGCTGTTTGCTGCTATATTAATCTTTAAAATGTCTTATATATCACCTTTGATTTTATTTCACAATCTTTGTTGTTGAGTTTCACAATAGCTTGCAGCAGACAGCAAAACTGGACAAGGATCTCTAACAGCAGCTCTAAATGCTATTAAAGTTAGCTATAGCAGCCGTAACACTACTTTGTAGTGCATGTATATGCAGGACCAAATGTCTGTAGTTTGTAACCATCAGTATTTCACTGAATTATAATAGCAGTAATTAGTAATGATTTCTTTAAAACTGATCTTTGTAAGGTTCGAACATTAATGGCTCAGTGCTTTGCTAATGCCATGTTGCTGTTGCTGCAGAGAACTGTCGTAACACTTGGTACAGCTTCTCTGACATCAAGCTTGGATATGATTGGCCAACAACTTATTAGGTATGATTTGATTGGCCAGGGTGAGCGTTGCGCTCTTCCCCAATGGCTCCCCTCATGTTAGAGAATCTCTGATTAAATGGTTGAAAGTGGCGTGAATGCACCTCTAGCTTGGCACTAACATAACATGGAAACTCTCATAAATGCACTGCAGAAATTAGCATTATCTTAGTGGATAAATAAAGGATACTTAGGGAGGGTTTCTTCATTAAACATTGCAGTGAAATGTGAGAGGTTATGTTCATGATTGTATAACAAAAGATTAACCACACACAGTCTTGTTAAGGGAAAATTATCAACCTGGGAAGATCACTGTAAAAACTGAATTTAGTGATCATAACAGCTTTAGTAGAAGTGCAGGCTTCTTACTATCAACTACAGCAATTTTAAGATCAACATGCTTATCAAACTGGGAATATTTAGAAGTTCACAAAATCACAGGCTTCTTACTATCAACTACAGCAATTTTAAGATCAACATGCTTATCAAACTGGGAATATTTAGAAGTACACAAAATCTGAGTGTTTGATATTATAGTACAAGATCACTAAAAGCTCTCAAATAACTGTACCAATGCAGCACTACTGGCTTTATCCAGCCGGAAGTAAGTACTTTGCTTTTGTGACATAACGCTAATTTGTCCAGGCTCTGGTCTATATTTAGGCAGTCTGCAGCCTTGAGCTAACTCCATTCTGGGGCTCAAACAGCCCTATAAAAGCACCAGCGGTGATATATATGACCGCTTAACACTGATGTATATCAAAGTAAAACAACCTGCCTAAATTGACGGTCACATTAAGAAGGAAGCTTTCATAAGGACAGCTTGGAATCTATCAAAAAACACGTTCATATGTGGGGCTTGTTTGTTCTGGGAAGGTGTGCTCGTGGGCATGAGCTTGACAGGAGCAGGAAAATCATTGAAACATGAACGCTCATAAGCAACAACTGCAGGCAACTGCTGTTCTTCACAGGAGGAAAGCAAAAGGCAAGCCTTGCCGTGAGCCGTCCTTATAGATCTTTAGAATTGGACTGTACAGCTCTGGATGTGAGCTGGCAGCAGCAGTTGGTTTCTCTTTCATCTTGCTCAGCACTGTAGATGGTGGTCATGATTAAAATCAAGCACAAAATCACAAACATGAAACATATCTTGCTATTTGTAGGTGGGTATACGGTACATCCGGCTTCTTGTTTTTTGACACATACCTAGATGTTCTAGTGAATGCAGCCTAAAGCCAGTTGTGAAGCCAGTTGTTTTTAAGACGAATTTTTTTCTTGAACAAAAGTTCACTAATGGAATGTAAATTGTGTAGAAATTGTAAAGATGGTGTTAAACGCAGTATTCAGCTAAACTCCCTGGGAGACTGATTAAAATGTCAGTTCTCTCAATGCTATCAGTATTATTCAGCATTTACACTCATGCTTGTGGGTCCCTAGGATAAACTCCTAGATGAGTGGCAGTTTAGCTTTATGCAGTTACACCACATTCATATCACTGTTGTCTGAAAAAAAATGTCGTATCTCCACTTTTGTCATTTTTCAATTTTTGGCATAATGTGAAAGTGCCTGTTACCCTTTACATTGTTTGTAAATTTCATGTTGAACGGACCAAAGGAAATGGCCCAAAATGACATGTAAAAAGGTCTGGTTCCATTGACTTACATTGAAAGTAAAGTATGTTTTTCCTTCTCCTGTAAAGTTACTGGAGATTCAAGGTTTTATACATAACATTAACCTGTCTGCTACTGGTTGAGTGAAGGATGTTGTAAATGACTGAAGTACCTTCAGCTACCTGATAGAATGGCATAGTTTTGAACAAAAAGAGTTGTGCATGCTGTTATTTCAGTGATGCTTTTAACCCCCCCCCTCTCTTCTAGCTCCAAGCAATCCAAGCAGTGTGATCTCTAAGACCATTGAGGTGTGTCTGGAGAAAGAGGGCAACAGTTTTGGCTTTGTTCTCCGAGGTAAGACCCCTTCTGCAGCTTCCCTCCTGAGAGGCTTCACTGTTTTTTAACACAAGGAGAGCAACTAAATCAAGGCCAGTACTAACAGCCACCAACAAAACTTTTGGCTAAAACTGTTACCTGCTACATCACTGCTACATACAGATTCAGTCTCAGAGCTGTTTCTTAGGAGGTTTCGCATTTTTTTTTTTTTTGCTCTATGGAAAACATAAGGTCACTAATTTCAAACATTCAGTGCTAACCTAGCTGTCCATAACTTCAGATGAATGAGATAAAGTCCCAGATTAGTAAAGCTCTCAGAATAATTTTTGGTCCAAAAAAACCTCAAATGTTCACAATTTTTTTGTCACATCAGCTGTATCTGTATGTGTGCTTATGTAAGTTCCAGAAAAAGACAGTATTCTGATTAGAGATACTTTATAAATATAGGGTGATTAATAGTCTCATGGGGCCGGATCTCATGATCTCGGAATGAGAATACACATCTGGGGACAACTCATTAATTTACCACATGCAATATGTTCACATCTACATGCTTAAAAGTTTTTTTGAGGAGACTTTTCTTATATTATATGAATGGTCTAACGACGGCCTTGTTGTCCATCAGACAATGTTGACAAGAGAGATTTCGGCATAACATGCTGCAAGCTGGCTTACAGAGCAATAACTTATGCACTGAACATTGTACAAATTTGTCATGTTCATGTTTGAAATAATTCCATATTACACTTAATTTATATTTGGCCATTCTTAGATAAATGACCCTTTGAGTGAGACACAATATTAGCTTTGTATGTCCTCACCTCCTCTGTGGTTTTACATCACACCCTTCGTAAAAAAAATTAAACATACTTTATTTGAACTCCACCAAAATATTTCATGACGTTTGAACACCTCCAGTTAAATTACACGTTTTGTTGATTTTCTAAGTGAAAATAAATTAGCACATCCTCTACGGAGAACACACCTCAATATGGCATTTTTCAACAATTTCATAGTTTAGCTAATTGAAAAAACTCAGAGAAAAAAAAATGAAATATAAAATGGCCCATAACTTTTGCACATATGAAAATGTTACATTCAGCAAAGAAACAGTTATTTTCTTGTCTTCCTGAAAATATTTTTTTATATATCATATCAAATAAATTTGACAAGTAATCCAAAAGCAACGAAAAGTAATTAGATTACATTGCCTTAACGTAGTAATCCTCTGCAGTAGGTTATGGATTATGTTGACCTCCCAGTCCTGGTAACCATGTATATAAATGTCTGTGTGCGTGTCTGTGTTTTTCAGGGGGGTTTCATGAGGACTGGCATAAGGCTCGTCCTCTAGTGGTGACCTACGTCAGGCCCGGTGGGCCTGCAGACAGGTGAGACCAAAATGAGTCAGAAACTGTGTGCGCGCATGACGAGACTGTTCTGTCCAGAGTGAGATGTTTTTCCTGGGGGCGGTGTGTCCAGATAATTTGGGAGTGAGCATGCACTACAGGGCGTATGAGGTGTGTTTGGCCCATAGTGTTTGCTTGTGTGTGCGTAAGTCAGAGACCACCTTAGTTTATTTAACTTCCAGTCACAGCAGTTAAGTAAAAGTTAATCATTTTTAGGAGATATTTCTGAGGAGATTAGATATAAGATAAGTACACTTGCATAAGGAAGGAGAAAGTCGAAGGAAACTGTGAAAAAAACAGGAGTTTCCAAAACTGGAGTTCAAAAGAAGATTACACAACCACCTGCAAGACCACCAAAACTGTTCCCATCAGATAAGCAGCACTTTCATCTTTGAGAGAGAGGAGAAAATCAAGCTGCTTCAGATCTGAAAAGAAATCCACAGGTGTTTCTGTCCATCCTTCCACTGTAAGAAGATGACTCAGCGCTATGGGTCTGAAAGGAGACAGACACATCAAACAAAGAAGCTGAACAATGGACTGACCACCCCAGAGTCCAGACCTCAACATCACCGAATCTGTGTGGGATTATTTGGATGGTCAGACGCAGAAAATGCTACCAACTTCTATGACTGAACTTTGGCAGTGTGAAAAATATCCCTGCAGATTTTTTGAAAAACTGAAAGCAAGTCTTCTGAAAAGAATGGAAGCTGCAATAAAGGCAAGCAGTGAACACAATAAATACTGAAAATACTGATATCATGTTTAGTAGTTAAATGTGTTTTCTGTTTTTTTCAGGCCATTTTACTGGAAGTTAAATAAATTAAGGGTGGTCTCTGTTTTTGCCCAGTTCTGTGTGCAAGGTTAAAATGAAGTGGGTGTGATATTGTAGGGATTTATTGTGTGTGTGTGTGTGTGTGTGTGTGTGTGTGTGTATGTGTGTGTGTGTGTGTGTTTAGGCCTGTGAGCTGGTTTCTGAGGCATTTGTGTTAACTGAAGCGTATACTGATGGCATTATAATGAGTGAGAAGGGCAGAAAACAGCCTGAAGCTCACAGACACACACACACACACACAGACACACACACACACACACACACACACATACTCACACACACACACACACACACACACATACTCACACGCACACACACACACACACACACACACACACACACACACACACACATACACACACACACACACACATACACACACACACACACACACACACATACACACACACACACACACACACACACACACACATACTCACACACACTCCACAACGCAGAAAGAATAGATCACGCACGATCACTCTAAACCAGACAAAGATCTCACACACAGACGCTCTTAAGTGCTGGTGAATCTACCTGTCCCTGTGGGCTAATGGAATATCCTCTATTACCATAATCTCAACTGCACTTCCAGAACACTTGCACTGCGTGCAAAACGCATGAGTGCGTACAAGTATGTTGCCTTTTAACAGATGTGTGTAAAACAGCCTAAACCCACTCTCAGTGGCATAACTAGGCTCTTACGGGCGTCAGTACAAAATAAAATGTGTTTACATGCAGTGAATTGGATTTCTGCAGTTATCTGATTATTCAAATGGTCAGGTAAACAGCATACTCCGATGTCTTAGTTCGGAGTAAGGCCTAGAAATCCGATTAAGAAATCTGATAAAGAGGCTGGATTTTAGCTCAGTAATCAGATTTCTCAGTGCATGTGAACTCTTACTCTGATTTCTTTTAGATTTCTCAGTCTGCACATGTGTGAAACAGACTGATGTACTGAAAATAACCGCACAGTGTTGCCACGAGATGCAGCAAAACACTTTCGGAGCAGCACTGAAACCGAATATATTGAGGAAATGATGGATTTAAATATTCTTCATCTCACTGTAATTTGCTTGTTTGCTCACTCTGGTTATGTGCCGAATGCTCTAATGTTCACAAGGCATGCAGCTCCCCCGACTATCACAAGGGGGTTCAGTCTTATTCACAAAGGGCCGGAGTAGCTGGAAGTCTTCATTATAACAAAGCAGGACCACACATGATCAGCTGTTTGAAGACTGAGACCAACGGATTAGACAAGTGGAATCAGGTGTGCTCCTGCTTGTTTGGAATGAAAACCTGCAGCCACTCTGGCTCTTTGCGGATTAGATTGGACACCCCTGCACTAGCATCTAGCGTTAACCCAAATTTACACTTTAAATAATACTTACATTTTTAATAATACTCACATTTTTTGCATTGTTTTCAATAATATTTTTAAAAAGATTTTTTGATTTCTTGTAAAGTGAAGTTGAAAGATTTAGATTTTTTAGAGTTTTTAGGTTTTCGATAATTTTTAAATAAAAACCAATATCAAAAAATGCTGTCCTATGGTTTCATGTCACTACCAAAACACAGTGTTTTAATCTAGCCATATTTTAGCCACACCCCTGCATTTAGAGCAGGAAGTGAGACTGGATCCCTGTCCCTCAAGGCCACATGGTGAGCAGTTAGATCCCATTGTTTTGAAGAAAATGTGTCCCAAAGTCTGGAAATCAGAGGGTAGCATTACAAGTTGTCACTACCGCAATATATATTTTCTGCAGTTAAGTAAACTTTTTAGTGTTTTAATGAAAAATATTTTGATTTTATTTGTGTACAAGTGTTCAAATCTGTGTTTGCTAGTCATTAAAATGCTTTTTTAATTTTTATGCTCAAAATCAGCTAAAATTATCACTACCGAAACAGTCACTACTAAAATATTTGGTAAAGTTTTGGTAGTGTTATGATTGTTTTGGTAGTGACAAAATGGAATGTTTAAATAGTTCAAGTTCAAAAAGTTTTAAAATAAACAAAATTAAGGTATAGGGTTACTGGGGGTGCTGGAGCCTATCCCAGCACCTGTTGGGCAGAAGGCAGGAAACACCCTGGACACATTACTAGTTCATCGCAGGGCACACACAGACATACACACTCACACTTAGGGGCAATTTAGCATCTCCGGTTCACCTGACTGCATATTTTTGGACTGTGAGAGGAAACCTATGAGGACCTGGGGAGAACATGCAGACTCCACACAGAGAGGACCCTGGTCACCCAGCTGGAGAATTGAACCCACTTCTTGCTGTGATGCGACAGCGCTACCCACTGCACCACCATGCCACCCCTGAGCCAGTTCAGTAGAATGAAAATCAAAGCTATTTTTTTTCTAATACTGATATCGAAATGAATATTGATATTGAAAAAATGGTATCATGTCATCTCTAAAATAAATCCATCAAAATTATTCAGAGATACTTTTTGATATACATGACTTTCTTATTCATTCTAAACGTCTGTGCTCCTTTCTGTCCTTCTTCCACCTACATGGTTACCTGCACATGTGACTCTTAAAGTCCCTCTTCAACTGAATCACACTGCTTCCTTTGAATCACTCTGTATTCCTCTCTTTTTCTGCCTGTCTCTCTCTCTCTCTTTCTCTCTCGCTCTCTCTCTCTCTCTCTCTCTCTCTATCTTCTCTCTTCCACACGCCCTGCTTTCCTCTCCTCTCTCTCTCTGTCTTTCTGTCTCTCTATCTCTCTTCCTCTCTTTACCTATCTCTCTCTCCCCTCCCTCCCTCTTTCTCTCGCTCCCTCTCATTCTTTTCTCTCTCACTTTTTCTGTTTCTCTCTCTCTCCCTCCCTCTCTTTCTTCTCTCTCTCATTCTCCCCCTCTATCTCTCTCCCTCCCTTTCTCCCTCCCTCTCTCTCCCCCCTCCTCTTTATCTTTCTTCTATTTATCTCTCTCTCTCCCTCTCTTTCTACTCTCTCTCTCCTCTCTCCCTCCCTCTCTTCTCTTTTATCTTTCTTCTCTCTATCTCTCGCGCTCTCTCTTCCCCCTCTCTTTCTTACCTTTTCTCTATCTTTCTACTCTCTCACTCTTTCTTCTCTCTCTTTCTCCTCTCTTGCTCCCTTTATCTCTCTTCCCCCTTTCTCTCTCTCCCTCCCTATCTGCTCTTTCTTCTCCTCTCTCTCTTTTCTCCTCCCCTTTCCCCCTTTTTCTCATCCACCTCTCTTTCTTCTCTCTCTCTCTCTCGTCCCCCTCTTTCTTTCTCTCTTTATTTCTTTCTCTCTCTTTCTCCCTCTTTCTCTTCCACTTCTCTTTCTTTCTCTCTCTTTCTTCCGTCAGAGAGGGGACTCTGCGTGTAGGTGACCGTGTGCTGAGTGTGAATGGAATGGCTCTGAACAGACAGAAACATGCGGACGCTCTGACGCTGCTGATGCAGAGCAGCCAGGAGGCTTATTTCCTCATCGAGTACGACATCACTGTCATGGGTGAGCACACACACGTTCAGCGCACTCCTTCTCGCCGATTCCCCCCTTTTCCAGAAGTAATCTAGGAGTATAAATCTCTGACCACAAAACACTTCCATCTGACTGCCCCCCCCCAGAGGACAGTTTTACTGCTGTTGACTCAGGAGACCAACTTCTTTCTATTTTTCATGTATTTTATTTTTTCTCCTGATGTACCAAATTCATATTAAAGTTCACTAAAAACAAGTAAAACAGTTGCAGGTTGAGTGGAGAGACTAAACGTTTACAATGTTCATATGATACCAGCAGTCAGATTAAAATCAGGGTGATGCTAAACTGTCCAGAGCTGCTTATTCTTATTTGTGTGAGGATCAGCATCTCTGATTACTCACCGCATCTCACAGCACCAAACAAAAAATCACAGAACACCTTCATCCTCCCAGCCTCATCACACTGAGTGAAAGGAAGACTGAACTAGCAGGTGGAATTGATCATGAGTAAACTTGGGAAGAGAATTATGTAAAAATGAAAAAAGGCAAAAAAAGAAAAAGAAAGAAAGAAAGAGAGTGAAAGAAGGAAGGAAAGACAAAAAAGAAACAAAAGAAAGAAAGAAAGAAAAAAGACAAAAAGAGAGAAACAAGAGAAAGAAAGACAGAGACAGAGAAACAACAGAGAGGAAGAAAAAGACAGACAAAACAAACAGAAAGACAAACAGACAGACAGAAAGAAAGAAAGAAAGAAAGAAAGAAAGAAAATGAAAGAATGAATGAATGAAAGAAAAAAGAAAGACAAAAAGAGAGAGGAACAAATGAAAGAAAGAGAAAGACAAAGAGACAGAGAGAAACAAGAAAGAAAGAAAGAAAGATAGAAAGTTCACTCCCTGGTGAAATATCGACAATAAAAACAATACAACAAGCTTTTTTAAATTTTTGCGTCTGAAAAGATTTTTTTTCGTTCTTGCTTTTATTTTATTTTTTCCTGCTTTTCTGGGGTGAAAGTTGAGGCTTTCTGTCTCTCCAAGTGAAACACATGTCTGAATGTCTCTGTCCAAATGTATGTGCACCTGTTTCACTGTCTGTGTGTGTGTCTGTGTGTGTGTGTGTGCAGACTCAGTGCAGCAGTCCTCAGGTCCTCTGCAGGTGGAGATCGTGCGGACCGGCGGCTCTGTGCTGGGACTCAGCCTCACCACCTCCCTCTACAGGAACAAACACGTCATTACAATCCAGAAAATCAAACCTGCCAGTGTAGCAGACAGGTGAGCAGACACAGGAGCACATTCACAAATAGGGAAGCATAAACAGACAGACAGACTGACTGACAGACCGACAGACCGACAGACAGACACTTTATTAGTCCTTGAGGAAACTGCAAAGTTACAGCTTAACAAAACCTGTGCAAATGACATACATACATTGGGAGGAGCTATAAAATGTACAGATTTTACTTAAACACTTAAAGTAAAAGTCAAGAGGAGATCATAACACTTTTCCCTGAACTGAACGTATTTCTGAGCGAAACGCTGATCTGGGAGGGTCTCTGAGCTAGGTCAGCCTTTTCTCTCCAGTGGCCCCAGAAGTGTTTGGACTTTAACCGCTAGTAAATTTTAATGAAGTTCTTTAGGTTCGTTTAAAACATGTTTAATAACATGTATTTGTTTCAGAGAACTAACAATTAATTTAACACATTTTTTGCCATGGCACAAATATGTTTCTGAGGCCACTGTTGACCAGCATGATATGATTAATATCCAACTGTGACATAATCAAAAATCAAAGAATGTTTTAGAAGAGGCAGAAGTCATTACATTTTCTTGGAACATTATGAGAAAACAGTAGTTTTGCCTTTTATATGATATGATGAACTGTGGTTAATATAACTAGAGACAAATAAAGGGTGAAAAAGGTCTGTAGTGATTTCAAGCTGAAATTAACGAGCACTATGATTTTACAAAGATGCTTAAATATGAATGAATATTTACACATGAAGTAACTTTAGTCTTTACTAATGTCATGCACTTGGGTAAGAAGCATGTGGGTGAAATTTCGAGAAACTGATGACGACCCTTTCCTTTAACAGCCAGCTGATGATTCTAATATCTAACACATCACTTTGAGCTTTTCTGTACAATGATGTCCGCCAGATTTGACGTGGCTCATATTATATTAGCTAACTTAGTCGGACAAGCAGAACATGCTGACTGGAATTAATTAGTATGAAGAAGGCAGAATCTGAATGTCATACAGTGATTCTCTCTCTCTCTCTCTCTCTCTCTCTCTTCTCTCTCTCTCTCTCTCAGGTGTGGTGCTCTGCATGTGGGTGATATTCTCTTGGCTATAGATGGAATGAGCACTGAACACTGTTCTTTAATGGAAGCTCAGCAGCTGCTGGCCAACTCCACCGAGACCACCAAACTAGAGATTCTGCCCTCACAACACAGCCTGCATGACACCGGTACAAACACATGCACACACACACACACACACTACACACTCTCTCTCTTCTCTTCTCTTCTCTTCTCTTCTCTTCTCTTCTCTTCTCTTCTCTTCTCTTCTCTTCTTTCTCCCCTCTCTTCTCTTCTCTATCCCTCTTCTCTATCCCTCTTCTCCTTCTCTTTGCCTTCTCCCTTTCTTCTTTCTCCCTCTTCTTCTCCCTCTCATCTCCTTCTCTTCCTGATTCTCAACCTCTTTCTCCTTCCTTTACCTCTTCTTCCTTTCTTTTTTCTCCCTTTCATTCTCCTTCTTTTTCACCTTTTCCATCTCCCTCTCTTCCTCTTCCTCTCCCTTTCTCTTTGTATCTCAAAACTGAATCAGAATTTCTGATTGTGAGACACTCTCTCCCTCTCTCTCTCTCCCTCCCTCCACCTGTCTCTTTATCTTGCTCTCTCTTTCCATATCATTCTCTTTCCCACTGTTCCGCCCTTTCTCTCTCTCTCACACACACACACAGTCTTTCTCTCTCCTCTCTTTTTATATCCTGCTGTTTCTCTCTTAAAGTCTCTGTGTCAGTCAGTTTGGAACTCATGTGTCCAATTCCCTAACAGACATATAGTGAACTATTGGGGTCTATTTGGGTTAATAAGACAGGGAGCAATTTGAGATTCTGTCTCTCTCTTTCTCTCTCTCTCTCTGACCTTTCTGCTTTGGGTTTGGAGTGGTTTAAGGGGGATGCTTTAGGGGTCTCTCTCGCACGTGCAGTGAATCATTCTTAATCTGCAGAATGCTGACGGCAAGACGTCCCCTACCCTGCAGACACATACACACACACACACACACACACACACACACACACACACACACATAGACATTCACACACACACACGCTGGCACGTGTACACAGCGGTGTGTAATGACCCATTATAAGTGAGTCTGCTGGTGCTGCTTTAGCACATTAGCAGCAAACATGACAGACGAGCTGCATTAAAGATGCTTTCCAGCAAACTCACAGACACAACACTGACGCAGCCTCACACTCTTTATCACTCCGTTTCCTCTGTTTTTCCACCCTGCGCTGTGTGCATTGCTCCTCCTGTCAGGGTGGGTAATCTCCGAAAGCTCACAGTGCCGTCCCATCAGCGCGGGTGACACATCTCAGCCCAACGAAAACCAAACACGAGGCTTCTTTCTGACACTGTTTACCACCGACACTGACAAACCTGACACACGAGGAAATCAGAAAGCAGAGCGGCAGATTCCTCTGAAAGAAAAACCACTATCAGACAGGGAAGGGGTGGTTTAAAAAGATATGGATAAAGAAAGAAAGAGATAAAAGAGGGATGGAAAAAAGAGACAAATAGAAAGAAAGACAAACAAATACAGGGAAAGAAGAAAGAGACATTAGTAGAAAAATAGCCAAAAAGTTGCATTTAATGGGAGAAAGAGAGAGAAAAAGAGAGTAAAGAAAGACAAACAGAAAAAAGGATAAAGGAAGAGTGAGAGACAGGATAGAGAGAGAAGGAGATAAGGTAAGACAATGCATATGTTAAAAAAAACATGGAGAAGGAGAGAGAGATGGAGAGAAGAAATAGACATTGAAAGAAAGAGAGAAGACAAGAAAAAACAAAGACTGGGAGAAGAAGAAGATGAACGAATGGAAGATAAAAAAGACATACAGCTCGGCTAAGACACAAAGATAAAAGCTAAAAAAGAGAGAGATGAAAGATAGACAAGAAAATGGAAGAAAGATATTGAAAGGAAGAGAATGGGAGAAAGGGAGAAGAAAGACAAATGAAAAGAAAAAAGACAAGGATGAAGAAAGAAAGAGAATTAAAGAGGAGAGAGAGAGAGAAACAAAGGTGAGATAAAGAAAGGGGCAGACAGGAAAGAGACAAAAAGGCAAGAGAGAAAAAGGAAAGAAAGACGAGGATAAAAAAAAGAAGATAATGAAAACATTACGGTCTTTCAAACTGCAGCTTTATCACATCATTTTCTGTATTATTGTGGATAAAAGTGTATTTTGAAGCTGTAAAGTGATGGTTGAGTCTGCAGATCAAATGACAGAGAGTCCAGTCTTTGTAGGAGAAGACAAGGCCATAAGGTGATCTAGAACAGCTCAGGTGTGTCCCAGCCCCCCAGCACTGGGCTGTGGAGCAGTGCAACTGCGCCCTCTGGTGTAATGGAGCTCCATCCAATACCTTTGGGATAGGTTTGTGATCCAGACTGATCACCCAACATCAGTACCTCACCTCAGTGATGCTCTTGTGGCTGAATGCAATCAAAGTCTCACAGCAATGTTCCAGTATCTAATATAAAGCTTTCACAGAAGAGTAGAGGCTCCCTATTACCACCCTTGATTTCAAATTGAAAATTGAATGAGCAGGTGTCTACAAACTTTTGGACATGTAGAGGCTGTTTGCACCTGACATTAACGTGCGCTTTCAGTGACACGACCATGTTTAATCTGGTCACTTTGATCTAATCTAAACTGGTTTAATCTAAACACTTTGATTGATTAGGCTCATTTTGTGTGTTTTGCTATCCGGTGTCAGCCACAGGAGGATGAGTCTTCTCACACGAGGATGAGGCTTCCTCACAGTTTTCTCCTCACGCTTTCTGAGAGTTTTTTCTTATCTGTTTTCCTTGGCTTGCTCACTTTGGGCTGCATTTCTGAAAAGCTGCTTTATGAAAAGGCCACTTTTTGAGTTGCATTGACTCCATACATCCTGTCTTGACTACAGGTGTTTTATTTCATTTTTCTTTCTTGTTAAGACTGTTTCTGTTACCTTAAGACCCCCTGGAGAAAGCAGAAATAAGCTAATGAGCTTTGCTCACTGAGCCTTTAGCTTAAAGAGGTGTTTCAAATGGGCAAAGATTTAGCACCTGTTTGGCCCAAATTTCCTTTCAGAAGCAGATTTAGGTGCATTTGTTTGGTTAAAGTAAGTGAGCTAAAACTAGCTTAGAGTGTGTAGGTCACACCGTGTCTTCCAGGTTTCTCAAACGCTAGAGGGCGCTCCCGAGTGAGCCCAAAATGAGTAAAATCATAGTTTATAAACACTTAAACATTTCTAAGATAAAAGAATTCATTCATATCCTGGACACAGAACGGCATAAAAGATTTCAACACCAATGTTATATTTTTAAGTGCTTTTAAACTCGAGTTATAGGAGATTAAAACGGGTCAGTGAGCGCAAACAGCCAATGAGCTGCTCCGGTCGCCAAGCAACCAGCACTCAGTAGCAGTAATGTTAGCGTCCTGCTGCCTAAAACCTGCTGTAGGAAAACGAAAACATACAGGTACATTTTCTTTGCTTTTTAGTGAAATACATCCGTCTACTTTCTAAAATTTAAGGAAAGTTCTGGGCGAGTGATTAGAAAAAATTTTAACTTTTAGATTTTGGCCATTTAGCTCCATTTACTCCCATTCATTTAGGACTGGCTCGCGGGCGCCCTCTGGCGTTGTGCAGTCCTGTTTTTGATATAACGGGAAGACGGCCAAGAATTGTCCAGGCTCCTCATAAACCGGCTCTGGACAAACACAGTCTGGGTAGCGAGGTCAGATCAGTTATAGATTTGTGTAGTTAACCTTGCTCGGTACGTTCATGCTTCAGCATTAGAAGTGAATTTAGGCTGAAGAGAAGGTAACACCAAACAAGGACGCGGATTAGGACGCGCCCTCAGGCTCCCTGTGCTTTCTTCTTTGTTTGGATTTATATCAGATTAAATGTGGGAGGAGACTTTAGGGACGCAGCCTCAGATAACAAGCTGCTGATGGGAAATCAGATTAGCCTGTGTTGTGGGCAAAGAATGTTGTTTTCATATCATCATCAAATAAATAAATAAATAAAAAAGCATCACATGCGTAACAGTCAGTCCTCCCGGGTGGGCGTGGCCAGTGTAATATGTGGAAGCTGCTGGCGGTTAATTAGGCTTCGTTACCTCTCTCTCTCTCTCTCTCTCTCTCTCACACACACACACACACACACACACACTCTCAAAGCTCTCTGCCTCCCCTCTAGTGTTTTTTTCTCCTCGTTGAAGCGATCAGAGACGTTTTTTTACAAAATGCTTCTCCCTCCATTGCTCTCAGCTTTATCCAAGCTGGCGAGTAAATGTAAGAGAGAGAGTGATACAGTGAGTGAATGAGAGAGAGAGAGAGAGAGAGAGAGAGACTGACTGATTAACGAGCGTGCAGGACTTGTGCCTGTTAGCAGTTCCCCTTCAGCCACACAGCCAAGTTAATGTCAGTGATCAGTGAGGCAGTGTGGGAAATCTTCCTCTGAGGGTCTTTAGGGTGACTTGTGAGCTGAGTGCCCTGTACTGCCCACTGTAGAGCAGCTTTCTTTCTTTAGGTGGTCTCTGTGCGGCTTGTTCATGTGTCTGGTTTTGTCAGGATCTTTATGTAGGGTTGGTTCTGTGCTCTTGCTGCCATGCAGATGTGTTGATTGTTTGTGTGTTTGACTGCAGTGCGTGTCCAGAGGAGTGGTCAGCGCCAGTGGGACTCCAGTGCGAACTACCTCAGTGCCCCCCCTCCGCCCCACCATGGCAAAACCCCCCCAGCCTGGAACAACACCACCCCTACACACTCCCACTGCAGATGTGAGTGCACTGTCTCGTGTATTTGTGTGTGCATGCTGTGCACAGCTGTGTGTGTGGGTGCATGCAAATGCAGATGTGAGGTGTGTGTGTGTGTGCAAGCGAGCAAATGCAGATGTGGTGGGGGTGTGTGTGCATGCAAATGCAGATGTGAGATGTGTGTCTGTGTTCAGTACTGTGCAAAAGTCAGAGACCACGCTTCATACATTTAGTTTCCAGTCAAAACAGACATTATGTACAAGATATTCATAAAGCAGAAAATATATATTTAAAAGAAAATTACACAGTAGCTTCAACAACTAAATATATTTTTTTCAGTATTAAGTATGTCCACTCTTTACCTTCATTACAGCCTCCCTTCTTTTCAGGAGACTTGGGCTCAATCCCATTTCCTATTTTTACTCCTACCCCTTGTTTTTGAGTGTAGCCTTGTCCCTTGGAACTGAGCTACAAGGGGTAGTGGTTGAACCCTTTCTCTACAAAATGGGACCCTCAAATAAAAAGAGCATTACTGCATTAACAGGCTACAAGCGCTGCTCTGTAGGCGACCCTGCCAGTCTGCAGTGATAGCAGAGGAGGGTGAAGTTCAGCTCCTCACTGCTGGGCTTTAGTTACATTTAGGGAATCATATGCCTTCAAAGAGGGGGGGATGACAATTATTTATTATCGCCCACCCCTGATTCTTCAGTGATATGAAGCTGAATTCAGCTATTGACAGCTATTGAATTTTCCCGTTCCACCTTAAATGGTGCAGCAGTTACATTCTGGCGCTTCAGGCCAGAAATTTAGCTAGCTAACTATTGAGATATCAGCATACTACTAGCAAGTTTTTATGCTTGTTATGAAGAAAAGGACCATAATACATTGAAACATCATTAAACTAAGGTAACACAGTGGTTATCATAGTTTTTAATGGAGAAAATTCTCACATTTGTGGGTTTCTATGTTTGTTTGTTCAGCCGTCTTGCTGGTTTTTCTTTTTTTCTCATAACACTCTGTTTGGAGTGAGCCTCTGAAAAACCTCCGTTTGGAGGGCCATGTAGCCCTAACACTTTTCCCTACCCCTCTATCTCAACAAAAATTGGGACACCCCACCCCTAGACGTGAATGCGCAAAACAGAGGGCTAAGGGCTAAGTGGTAGGGGCGAGGGGGAAATGGGATTGGGCCTTGCTTTCAGTTTCTCAAAGAAATTTGCAGGGATATTTTTCCACAACTCCAAAGTTCAGCCTTAGAATTTGGTTGCATTTTCTGCTTCTCACAATACCAGTAATCCAAAACACTTGCAAAACTTCATTTGCAATGTTCCTCTTATATATATGTCTCCTTTTCTCCCATTTTCTCTCTAGCTTTTAATCAGATTTTTGCATCCAGTTTTAGAAACTCCTGTTTTTCAATTTTTTTTTCTTTGACTTTCCTCTTCTTTGTGTAGGTTGATTATATCTAACCTCCTCGTAAATGTCTCCTTTAGCCATTTTAGATGCACAAGAGAAATGAATATGCGAGGCAGCTAAGTTGAGTTTTGGTAGCTGCTTGTGTGAATGGTAGGTTCTCTATGAAGAGTCAGTGACTCCTGTGGGAATTGCTTTGTTTGGGACGACACAGCTGTGACTGGTTTTAAGATTGGAAGGTGGGAAGAGTTAAGGTAGCAATAGACTGTAAAAAATATACATAGCATTGAAAAATGAATAACTATTTTGAATAAGCCTGTTTTGACTGGAAGAAAGAAAGGGTGGTCTCTGACTTTTGCGCTGTAATACATGAATGCTGGCATGCATGTACATGGTTGTGCATGCATTCATAAGATAGGAGTAGACAGTGGATGTGCATGTTTGTATATGTACTTGCATAAATGAGTGTATATGTGCTTTACAGTTGACTTAAATAAAGCAGTTTTGTTGTATACAAAAATTTGAACTTCCTCTGACAAATTACACGTTTTATGGATTTTTGAAAATAAACACATCCTTTAGAGAGAACACACTTAAATATGGCAATTTTCTGCTAATTTTAATGCACAGTTTCTATTCATTTGTATGCCAGATTGTGAAAAATGAAACATAAGTATAAAGTGTGCCATAACTTTTTCACAGGCTGTTTTTTTTTCTTCAAATAAACAGTTATTCTGCATTACAACATGCAGAAGTGTGTTCTCTGTAGAGGATGTGTTAACTGTCACTTTAATCAACAAAATCAACTGAACATGTGGTTTGACCAGGGGTGCCCAAACTTTGCACCCAGCTGTATCTATGAAGCACATTGTTATTGTCGTGCAGCGGTGGCGTCAGGCAGCTCGTCTCAGACGTCAGGTTTTCACAGTTACAACTGCGGCTCTGCGTATCCTGCCACATACCCCTGCAGCACGCTGCCCCCGTACCCCTCCAGCCCCCGCAGCACCACCACCAAGAGGAGGCACAGGAGAAACGACCACAAGAGCTCACGTAAGAGAAGATGCTTTATTTCTCAACTCGGCTCTAAGTAGCTTTATTGGCATGTTAGATTACTGTGTTGACAAAGCATTTAACCTGTTTATGATACATAAGATATATGATAAGTCAATCAGTCAAACATATTCAATCCTGCATATTCTCTTGTTCATATTTTGACTATATATTTACAGTTGTATGCAAACATTTGGGCAAATTATGGTTTTGTTGATTGTAATGAATTTTAAATTAATTTTTGTTGAACTTTTGCGTATGTACATTATATCCAAAACTCGTGCTATTACTGGTGCCGTGCCTTTGTTGAAACCTGTCTTTCTGCAGTGTCTCTGTCCTCCAGTACAGTGGGTGTTGGTGGTCAGGTGGTTCACACAGAGGTCAGTGAGGTCATACTGAGGGGTGACCCGCTCACTGGGTTTGGCCTGCAGCTGCAGGGTGGAGTGTTTGCTACAGAGCCGCTGTCCGCACCTGCCTGCATACGCTTCATAGAGCCAGACACTCCCGCAGAAAGGTGAGACGTACACACATACAAACACACCTGTGCTTGCACCGCATACAAAACTCCTGAGCCTGTTTCTGGAGTACAGCATTCCAGCACTCTTACAATTCCAGCAGCTTTGCATTGTGTGAATGGTTAATAATGAATGAACTAACAGAATGATTCAAACTTGTTTGGAATTAGGGAGGCATGATAAGTCGTATTTTTATAGTTGTCGTTCTCTGCGATGACAGAACAGATGACAGCCAATGTGATGTAACTTTAGATGTGATAACTTTAAATGTGACTGTTATCACAACAAATCTGTATCATCATAAGGGACTGTTTTTTCCCAATTTTCTCCCCAGTTTATACATATCCAATACCACCCACTAGTCAGGACTTCCCCAATCACTTGGAGGAAAGTGCCAACCACCAGTTCTGTCACGTCAGTTAACAGACGCCTGCGCTGGCTAGCATCGCGAGAGGGCCATCCTACCCATCCAGAGAGAGTGAGGCCGATTATTATGCTCTTGGGCTCCCGGCTGTAGCATCACCAGGGATCGAACTTGCAACCTCCTCATGAGAGGGCCACTTAGACGGTTGCACTACTTGGGAGCCCCATAAGGGACTTTTTAAAGAATTAAATAAATATTTATTTGTTTTGTAGGCCTATATTGAAAATATATGAACATATATGCATATTTATTTGTGTTTGTTGCCTGACTGTTCAGGGAAAAAGGTGTTTAGACTGAAGCACCCCATGAAGCGCTCATTTCACAGTCTGTAAAATCTCCTTACAGACTGTACTTGTGGCAGATCCAGTCAGAGGCACAATAATAACTTTTAATAATAATTTAAGACTTCTCATATCTTCGTGATATCGAACAGCTTTATTGATCATTGCATTTTATGTCCATATCATGCAGCTCTACTTGAAATTTAAGTTCATATTAACATTTTTCTTTCTACAAAGTTACAGTTTTGTTGATATATGAGTTTCTTATGACAGGGATGATGTGTTTTCCCTGCTTTAACAACCTTATCAACTAATTAGCAGACCTTTCCAGAGCTAGAACAAGACATTTTTGCTCGGTCTATCTCAGTGCAAACCTGTACCAGGTATTCAGTGTTGGGAGTTGAGAGTGAGCAGTAATATGTATAGTATGTCTTGAGGTCTGAGTACTGGAGTGGAAAAGACTGTGTTAGAGCAGTGCACACACAAAAAATGTGCAGGCATAAGTACTGCAGAGCCAGGGTTACTGATCACTGCAATAGCATGTAATTCTTTCTGACTTTCTTGACAAAGACAAAGAATGATTGTGCAGACTGAGCCTCAAACAGTCCTAAAGTTTTTAGTCTGAACTGTATGTCTTGACACATGCTGTCTTTTGCCGTTTTTCTACTGAGCAGTACAGAATGGTTACGAATCTGTTTTGATGCATTTTTACATTATTTTCACTGCCAAGAATCATACTCCGAGTAGCCATGCTTAATGACCCTTCTTGCAGGGGTACCAACTTTGCCAAGCCAGAACGTGGAGCTAATAATGGTGCAAACCACTGATTAGTCAAATAAGCTCACTGGACAAAAAAATTAATCACCCATGACTGAAATGTACCTAATAGCATGTAATACCTCCATGAGCATGAAAAACAGCTGTGATTTGATTTGGCGTGCACTGGACAAGTTTCTGGATGTGGGTGACATCAATGTTCAGCCACATTTGCATCAAGGAATTGCATAGTTCGGCCAGATTTTGTGGATGCCTTCCCTGCCGTCTTACTCATTGTTCCAGGTAGTCCCACAGATTTTCAAGAGGATTCAAATCTGGGGATTTTGCAGGCCAGTCCAGATGTGTGAACGCTGCTGAATGTTCATCATGCCAATCAGTCACACATTTTCATCTTGAAATACAGGGATAGGAATGTTATGTTCCTCTGTAAGATGATGAGCAAAAGGCAAAACCCGGTTGTCCAGCAGCTCAGTGTCAGCACTGTGGTTCAAACTTACTGTCACCTCAACCAAAGGACCCATTTCCGTGTAATTAAAACTGCCCCAGAACATCACGGAGCTCCTCCAGCTTGAACCGCACCTTGCACACAGTCCTCATTGAAGGCTTCCTGAAGTCTACAATGAACCCAACGCCAGCGTCATTCACATACAGGCAGAAATGAGATCCATCTGACCAGATAACACGTTTCCAGTCATGAACAGTCCAGTTTTTGTGTCTCTTTGTCCACTGTAACTGGGCAACTTTGTGAGCAGAAGTGAGCAAAGGCCTCTTGCGTGCCGCTCTACTCCATGTGTTCATGGTATGCAGTTCCCTGCAGAGTGTTCTTTCAGAAATTGGTTGTGAAGGACCTGCATTGACTTCTTGAAGCAATTCTTGACTGGAAGCGAAGCGATTTTTATTCACAAGCCATGAAAGACGCTGGCAGTCCCTGTCCATCAGTTTCGTTTTTATTACTTCTTTTTGCCAATCATTAACATCTGCTTTTGACCCATTTTCCACACATTGAACAAGACGTTCACTGCACCCTACCACCTCTTTTCAAACTATGAATCCTGTCTCACACCCCGCAGGTATTTATAGCACGATCATCCTCGTGCAACGGCATCTGCAGGGGAGCATAGAATCATCACAATTGCCACTGGAGCATCTCTGGAGTCAGATGACCGCTCAAACACAATAGTCAGCCAGATTTGCTGCCTATGACTCTCACATAAAACCTAATGCAGGATAACATAGAGTAAAAGATTAATCAGAACTTGGATCTCCTTCACTGCTGCTACTGTTTGTGTTTGTGTTTATTGTTAACACCAGACTTGTGTGAGTACTCGTAACCACACAAGCTCAAGAGACCTCAGCAGTTCCGTGGTTCTGTTGTGTGCCGGGAAATGGACACAGGAACCCAAACCAGGGTATGAGCGGTTCTGGGTTCAGATTTGTATCCATACTGTGCTGTGCAGTGGAAAATGCCATTTGATAAAGCATTGCTATTCTTGTGCCAGAACTTGCAGCTTGTCTTAATATACATGATGCAACATTACCTGTAAAGTACTGCACTGCTGGATTTCACTACAAAAGGCTACATAAACCTCTTTTATGTGGTCAGCCATCTGAGTTATCCTGGTTATTTTGACACAGTGCTAATGGATCATTAGTCTATAGTATGTGACTAGTTAGAAGTAGCAATCAAATGCACAACACATACAGCCAGTGAACGAACAGGAGCTGCACGTTTAGTCTAACCCGTGTGAGGAGATGTGTGCATGTGCATGTTTGCGTGTAACAGGGAGAAGAAGTAATGCATGCTGCCCTTTGCTGCTGTCATCCATCATTAGAAACTGCTTATGATTGGACAGATGGACACATATGTGCCATCACACACGCAAACACACACACATAAATGCACAGGGACAAATGCATGCACACACACACTGTGTTGTGTGTCAGAGGGCAGTGAGGTTGATTAAACCCCTGAAGTGAGTTTTACTCTGGCTAGAAGCTGCAGTGATTCAAGACTGGCCAGCTTAATCAGATACTGAACTATATAGTTATGCTTGAAACATATTTGGGTGGCATATGGATGATGTATGAATGCGCTGTTCATTTTCAATCTCCATGGTCTTATCATCTTCTTCAGTGATTTTTTCCATCATGGATATTCCAGATATTCCATCCTATTTGAGAATATTCCGGAAACATTTCTATTTTCTGGCTCACTTCCACTGCTGTGACTGACTTTGCAGCATTCCTGAAATTGCATGTTTTCTGTATTTGTAGTGTGTTTGTGAAATATAGTTGTGTAATCATTGTGATGGAGATGTTTTCTTATTTTTCAGCGCATGTATAGATTTGCAGCTTTTTTCATTGTACTGTGCTTGAGTCTTGTCATCCACTGTACAATGGAGAGGCAGCGTCACTATCTTTTAATTGACAGTGTATTTACAAGACTATAAAAAGTGATTGATAATTTAAAGTATTCACCCACGATTTCTGCACTTACGTGCACGTCCATCCCCCAAATTAAACATCTGTCACTGGAATATGACAAGTGCAAATATCTTCTTTTCTTTTTTTCTATTTTGTTTCGCCCAAGTTGCCGCCTGTGGCAGTAGCCTTTTTGTTGATTTACCATTTGTGGTAGCCAGTCTATAGCTAATCAGTGGTCAGTTTCTGACCACAGAGCTGCTCTATGCTGGATATTTTTAAATACAAAATTTCTCATGGACTTGCTCTTACACTCACTCACTCACTCATGTTTAGCAAGCTAAAGATTATCCACAAGGGGGCCACTCTATTAATCCTTTGGTTACCTTCATTAGAGTGGTGCTTTGCATCACTGACACTGTGTGTTCTTGTTGAGTGGTGGACCACTCTCCACCTAGCAGTGACACTGAGACTCTGGCTAATAAATTGTGCAGCAACAAATGGGCTTCGGCCTGAAACGGTACGCTTATACAGTGTACGCCTGTAAGGTAGGTGGGCAGTTAAATGGTAGGAATTTCTAATAAAGTGGATCTGATGTACCTGTTGCTCACCTGTCAGGGTTATTTTGTAGGTGTGGAGTGCTGCAGGTTGGGGACAGAATTCTATCCATCAATGGAATTCCAACTGAGGATGGAACACTGGAAGAGGCCAATCAGCTTCTCCGAGATGCAGCTCTGGCCAATAAGGTCACACTTGAAGTAGAGTTTGATGTTGCAGGTACAAAGTGATGGAATATTTTAGCATTTCTCTGAAAACATTTGATTCAGAGGAATAGTTTGGCAAAAATATTTTTTTTCATTAGCTCAAATCAAGTCGATCAGCCAAGACATGTTTGGTGTTTCTGTACTCATGTTTATTTTTTAGTTATCTAAAAAACAGACAAAAGTCAAACCTCAAGACTTTCTGCTGTTTTTGAATCCAATGTAAGCCTATATTTGTCCACGTCTGTAGGTAACATTGTCACACAGTGTCAGAAACCATAAACACGTCTATTTAAGATTGCTTAACCACTCAACAGTGTTTGAGGCAAATGTGTGATGAACGTGAGCTGTGTAGGAAGTTTGCATAGTGCCAATTAATAGAGTATAAGTCCAGTGCAAAACTAAGGAAGTAGACTCCAAAAATATCTTGGCTGATCAAATACATTTGGGGTAAGAGGGATGCTGAACTATTCCTGTAATTAATCACCTACTTCATAAGCCCTTCATAAGCTTTTTATTTTGTATGGTTGTAAACTGTGTGAGGCTGGTGTTTAACAGCCCAACCCTACTGTGTTTATGTGCTCTCTCTGTCAGAATCAGTAATCCCGAGCAGTGGTACGTTTCAAGTGAAGTTGCCAAAGAGGCGTGGGGTCGAGTTGGGCATTACTATCAGTGGTGAGTAATGACCAAGAGGTGGCGCTGTTGCTTTATGGTACACAGGATCAAATATTAAGTCAGTTCTATAACAGAAAACTTTAATCAGTTTACGATGCAGATTCAGCCGTAATCAAAGTTCAAACTTTCTTCTGCCTCTAATGATGTATGGTGCTGTAATAAATCCTTCTTTGTGTTCTTTTGGACCAAAACAGCAAGCAAGAAGCCAGGCAAGCCTCTGATCATCTCTGAGATTAAGAGAGGCAGCATTGCTCACAGGTGAACCTACCAAATGAAATGTTTTTTTATGTTTACCATTTTATTGGGCTTTTTTCTGAAACCTTTCTATACACAAATGCGTCTTACGTCAGTAGTATATACACAGTGCTGCTCAAAAGACCACCATTCAATTCATTTCAAAAAATATAATCCACTTGTAAAAGGAAAGGGGATGTCAAAGTAAAACAGGAGTTTCTAAAACTGAAATAAAAAAAAAGATTAAAAAATACAGAGAAAATGGGACTCCTAGCAACCACCTTCAGGACCTGGTAGACCACCAACACTGTCCCCATCAGGTAAACAGCACTTTCATCTTTGAGAGAGAAGAGAAATCAAGCTACATCAGATCTGAAAACATCCACAGATGTTTCTGTCCATCCTTCTACTGCGAGAAGACATCTCAGCACAATGGGTCTGAAAGGATGTGTAGCTGTCATGAAGAACCTCACTGAGAAAAAGAAATGGACCTAAAAGAAGAACAGTGCAAATGTTGCAACACTACAAGTTTTTGGGGGTTACTAGTAATATGAGAAAGAGCAAATGCAACCATTTTCTAAGACTGATCTTTAAAAGTGTGGAAAAACAAGGATTTCTTTGAGAATCTGAAAGCAAGTCTCCTGAAAAGAATGTAATGAAGGGTGGACACACTAAGTGCTGAAAAATCCAGTGTCTCTGTAATTTACTGTAAATAGTATTTTGTTTTTTTCTCCTGACAGTGAAAAAATTGTCCTTGGTGGCCCTGGAAATTAAATTAATTAAGGCTGGTCTCTCACTTCTGCACATTACTGTATTCATAAAATATAATCAGGAGAAAACAACCAAACATCAATATATAAAAAAAGAAACAAAGGACGTTAGTCAAAAATGAATAAATAAAGAAGGGAGAGGTGAGCGTGTGCTGCTGCTGTTGTCTGGTACTGTAATGATGCACAGTGTCATAAGTGATTTAAAATGCTCAAATTTACATTTTGTCCATGTGCTTTGATTAAAATATGAACCTCAGTCTAAAATGTTTTTGTGTATGTATTCTCTGTATGTGTGCATGTATGTATGTATGTATGTATGTATGTGTGTGTGTGTGGGTGTAGAACAGGTACACTGGAGCCTGGTGACCGCTTGCTGGCCATAGATAATGTGAAGCTGGAGCACTGTGGGATGGAGGAGGCGATGGCTGTGCTCCAGCAGGCCGAGGACATGGTCAGACTGCGCATTCAGAAGGACGAGGACAATTTGGGTGTGTGACACTCTCTCGGCTTGTCCTGTTAAAACGTGTGTGTTCATTCAATTTGACTCCACTTAAAGGGAAATTTCACCAGTTTTTCAAAATGTCTGCGTATTTCAGTAATTAAGATGTAAACAAAGTCATTCAGAGTGGTTTGAGGTGAAATGATTCATTGTAGAGAAACAAAACAATGTCTCAGTCATCAGGCTGCGTTTTTGTAACCATTTCATATACTAGCTTCGTGTGAGGTTGCTTTTAGAGCAGGGTGCCCACACTATATTTTCACTATATCACGTTATCATATGTTACTGATATGTTTAAGAATATATGCGTAAGAAATACAATTGTAAAAGGAAAAGAAGAACTTAAGTTTTATATAAAAATGTTTGTTCATGTCACTATGTGAAGGGGTGGGGATAGGATAACCTTCTTGTGGGCCAAATCAAACATCCTCACAGGCCAGCTTTGGCTTTTTGACCACACTTTGGGCAGCTCTGTCCTAAAGGTATTAATCTCTTTAGACGTCTGATTCTGATCACCATCACTGTAAACAATTCTGACGTTTTTCTATAAGGGCATTTCACATCACATCACTCTGAATGAGTTTGTTTACACCATTGCCATTTAATTCATATTTAAGTTTTTAATTATGGGGAAAAAGTGGTGGAATTTCCCTTTAATGGCTCCGATCTTTTTGAAGTTTTCCCAAGATTGAAGTAATCTGCGTAATACTGTGTGATCTTTCACTAGATCAAGCTTGGAGATCTTGTCTTTGAGGTCACAGAATTCAGCAGATTCTCTGTTTACTTTGTAGCAGTCTGGCTGCTTTGCTCTGGATAAGCGTGTCTGCTGAATGAATAAGTTTATGTATGTGTGTGTGTGAATATGCTTTAGATGAGCTGGAGTCGTCTGGCTCTGTGATTTTCACTGTGGAGCTGAAGAGACATGGTGGTCCTCTGGGAATCACCATCTCTGGCACTGAGGAACCTTTCAACCCCATCCTCATCTCCAGCCTCACTCGCAACGGTCTCGCACACAGGTACACACACAGGATGTGCCTGAGGGGAAAGTGCCGCTGCTGTTGTCTCCTACTATTTATATTCCTCCCATATGTCTCTGAATGGAGGCTCCTAGTTTTCCCACTAGTGCAGCAGTTTGCAATCTGAAACAGAACCAAATACTACCAGCTCACGCGTGACACCTAGTGGACAGTCTGAGAAATGTCCCAGTTAGCAGGATGCTGGCACAGAAATGCAACAGCAGTCTGAAAATGGGTCTCTGGCCTTGGGTCACAGATTTGCACCTTACATTGCCTGCTTCACTACTTCACCAGTCTTCCTTCTAGTTAACTACAGTGTTTAAATTAGGAAAACGCCGTTTTTAAAATCTTGGCATTTTCATCATATTTATTTCCTACTCTTTTATTTCTTATTTGCTATAATGAGATTACTAATCTGGCCAGCTGGCAATAAAATGAAACCTGGAAAACCTTTTTATCTTAAAGGGAAATTCCGCCTATTTTTCCAAATGTCTACATAATTTAGTCATTCGGATGTAAACAGAAACATGTTTGGTGTGAAATACACCGTTCTAGAGAAAGTTACTGAGTCAGAGTTGTTCACAGTGCTCACAGGAACTAGACGTCTTACGTAGTCCATGCCTCTAAAAGCTCCATCTCAGAAAATTATTACATAAAATCTTTACAAATACACTGCCTGATACCTGAGACCTTGTTTTACGATAGATTTTGGCCTGAACCATATATTTGAAAATGCATTCTGAGTGTTGTAAGGCAAAATAGTGCTTAAAGAAAAACTATACATATATATATAATTTAGATAAAAACTCAGACAGTGGATAGTAAATAAATTGGCCATATTTGCATTATAGACATCACAACCCCTGATTCTTATGACCACCACTGTAAAGATATCTAAGCAGGAAGATGTTTCTCAGCAATGAATTATTTGACATCAAATCACTCTGAATGACTTTAATTACATCTTAGCAGCTGAATTAACTGAATTAAATGACTGATTACATAGTGAGAGAGAATATTTGAAATGAAATGCTCCTCCTCTAGCGGGTTATTATTTTATTTTGCCTTCTGTGCACCACATGTTGTGTTGTTGTTTCGCTGCAGCTGCACACCTTTATATGATTTACATATTAAAAACTGCAACATTGGTAATGCAAAAAGTAATGTGCTGTGCAGAACATTGCCTGCTGCGTGAAACGGCTCCAGACTGGCAGTGAATTTGAATGAGCCTCATTAGTGATCCAATTACAATCAGCAAACTAGGGCTGTACTACCTGAGCAGGGGCTGCTGGTTTAACCTCTGCAAACTAATGTTCCGTTACGTTTGACTGTGTTCTTGTATTTATATGCGTGGGTTTTTCAAATTAAATTTACATGACCATTTTCCAACCTAGAAATGTAGGATATGACTTTTTAAATTTCACCACATCTCGATTTAATTATTTTTGCTGTCATTATTTTTAGAAATTCCCTGAATACCAGATAATTGACCAAAAAAATGAGTGTCTTTATTGGTTATTGTTGTAATCATCATAATCAATTCTAAAATTCCAAAATCACCTTCAGATCAATACATTCTAATCCCCATATATCCTCTGTAATACCCCCCCCCTTGCAAACACTTCAGCTTTCGCCCGCTGCTACTTACTGCTTCTCTGGAGCTGCATTTAAGCTTCTGTCCCTCCAGATGAAATGCATGTGGGCTGAAATTCATGTCATCACTCCTGTTGAGAGCCTATGAAAAATATTAAACTATGACTGTGTAAACCTGTGTGTGTGTGTGTGTGTGTGTGTGTGTGTGTGTGTGTGTAGGACTAGGGCTCTTCACATTGGTGACCGTGTGCTGGCCATTAACAACGTCAGTCTAAAGGGAAAGCCACTCAGTGAGGCCATCCACCTGCTGCAGACCGCTGGAGACACGGTCACTCTAAAGATCAAGAAACGAGCGGAGCGTAAGTGAAGTGACAACTTACACAACGTCTCTCAACTGAGGATGGATAATATACAGAGTTTGGTTTAAACACTCTCTGTCTCTCTCCCTCCCTCTCTCTTTTCCCTCCAATCACTCTTTCTGTTTATTCTTTCTTTCTTTTTCTCCCTTCTGAATCATCTCTCTCTTCCTAATCCATGTCTCTCTCCTTATCACTCTTTTTTCCTTCCTATCGCTCCTTTTTTCTCTCTCCCTCTCTGTCGCTTTCTTTCTCTCCCTCTCTATCCTTCCCTTTCTCATTCTCTCTTTCTCTTCTCCCAATCTCTCTCTTTCTCCTTTTCTCTTTTATTATTTCTTCTCCCTGTCACAATCTCTCTCTCTCTCTCTCTCTCTCTCTCTCTCTCTCTCTCAGCTGTTTTAGACTCAGACCAGGGCAGTCCTCTGAGGGCAGGGTCTTGTCTGAGTGATACTGAAGATGACCGCTCAGATTCTCTCCGGCGCTGCAAGTATTCGGGGCTTCGGCGCTTGACCACGCCCCCTAGCCTGGACTCAGCCATGGACTCATGGGATAGTGCCGCCCTCGACGCCTGCTATGGTAACCAAGGTGAGGAGAACCAGGGATGATTATTAATTAATAGGCTAATTAAGGTCGAGGAAGGTGATTTAAAGCTAAATTTGGGGCCAGCTCAGGTTAATAGAACAAAAAATGGGTGCCTGCTGGTGTATGAGAACTATATTTTTCTTCTCTTGTTAACTTTCTGCTTCTTAAAAGCACTGCTCAACGGCCCACCATGGATAAATAAGCAGAAATACTGGAGAATAGGTAACAGTCTGTATATGCGATGCCCTTGATGCTTCAGTATGAAAGCTGTGTTTTTAAAGGGCTCATATAGAAAACTTTTATTAACTAGTTTTTTCTTTTAATAACAGTTTGATGTAGCATGTAAAACACTGTAAAAGATTCAAAACAACCATTTAATCATCATTACTCCCCATAGTCCATATGCTAAGCTTCAAAAACAGCATGTTTTGAATTCACTGGTTTTATGATGTCATGCATCACATTTTCATATATCTGCCTATTCAGCCTACAGCAGTTTAGCTCTGCCCGTTCACATGGAAGTTATAAGGAGTTTTTTAACACAGACTGCTTTTTGAAAGAGGCACTGTACAGGACAGCAAATCAAAACAGAGCTCATTTACATATATTAGTCTTCTTAAAGGCATAGTAACCACAACAGCCTGTTTAATTCTATGGCATAAAAAAGAGATTGGTCATGTAAAATGGTCATGTAAAAATGGCTTATTACATAAAACCACACAAACGTTGCAAGTTACAGTAATAATGTAGGATACTGGTCTATTTAAAGTGGCAGTTCAGTAAAAAATCAAAGGTGTGGATTTTTTTTTTTTTGCCTTACCCCTAAATAATCAGCCAAGACATGTTTGGTTCTTTAGTTTTTCACTGGAGATGCGAGACTGATTGTAGCTAACAAGTAGTCAAAGTTTATGTATACAGTTAGCATTATGCAAACTGCATGGCTAAATCATCACTTTTGTCCATTTTTATAGATAACACTGTCACACGATGTCAATGCTTTTAATATTCATGTAAACTGTTATTTAAACATGAGACGCTTCATCCGTACGTCCAGGGCCATACATACATAGAACATCTGACCTGACCGTCCACCCTGACGAGTGGAGACGAACCAATCATAGGAGCCCCCTCTCCTCCAGGAGACACGCCCACCATGCTGCCATGTATGATGGGAGATTAGGAGAGGACGACTGGAAATACTGTGGGTAAGATTGCTCACCGTTTTATTGGTTACTGACATATTTCTCACCCATAACGTGTGCTGAGGTTGCTCAGAGGAAATACTGCTTTCATGTGTAGGCTGGCTAGCACTTGCTGTGCGCATTCTTAATTTCTAACGCTCCTTTACAGTTCATGGCTGTCTTCTTTCTCTTGGGTTGATGTTGGGACTATTATTGTTGGACAAAAGCTCATCATCCATGATTAAAGAGTACTCAGTGTATTTCATCCTTTTGAGGAAAGTGTTGAACTGGAATATTGCAAAGAAAAAGTTGTTTTTTACAATTGCGATTTTTAAGTAATGCAGTACTAACAGTAGCTATTACATTTTATTTTATTACACTATTTTTGATTATCTACAGAGCCTTTAATTAGTTTCCATCAAAGGTTTCTGTTGGGAACCATAAGTGGTTGTTCTTTGGAATCACTCCAAATAACTCATTATTTTTTTCCAATTCAATTTTATTTTATTTGTATGGGGCGTATTATAACAGGTGTTGTCACAAAGCAGCTTTACAGAAATCTGGGTCCAAGCTTCCCAAGTAAGCAAGCTGATATCTGAGTATTCATGAGTTCTTGAACAGTTAACTGTGGGAAGAGAAAACAAAAACAAAAACAACAGGCTTTGGACAGCAAACATCAGCTACAGTAGCCTAGTTAGTGAAAATAGCTGCCCCAGAGTTGATGTGGAGTCAATTGAAAGACCACCACTTTGAAAGATTCTGACTCAGAGTTTCTCTAGAACAAAGTATTTTACAACAAACCACTCAAAATAACTTCATTTGATCTTTGCTTAACCATTTAAGTATGCAGAGATTTTGAAATTTGAAAATGACATTCCTAAAAAAAAAGGAACCCAAGAGAACGGAGCACACCCTGCTTTAGCTTGAGGGGAAGCAACTTGGACTTCTCTGGTGTACAGGTCTGTGTAGTCTCTAGGGCATTATTTTTTTCTGAATGATACTTTTTTTGGTATCTTCTTTTTAATGACAATCCAAAAATGTGCGTGGCTTAAACTGGAAATGAATGTGAGGTGGGTCTATTTACTGACCTCAATGGCTTACGGGCTAATCAATACGTTAATAACATGCTTCTGTAATGAAACTAGCATGCTGATTGGCTCACCAATGCTAAGACTGACTATTAAGGTACTGAAATTGGGTATTGTATGACAGGTATGAACTTTTTGATACGTTTTGAAGTAATTCTGTTGGTACCACAAAGGTACTGAATTTTGATACGCAGCTCTAGTGTTCACATTGCCTGGATTACACTTAACGATGTAGTATCTTTCAGACATTCGCATTTTGTGAAAAAAAAGAGGATTGTGCACAAATGTCGCCCAGAGAAGTTTATTTGAAATCCCCTGCCTGCACGTAGGCCTGTTTTGATAATTACATTCTGTGCCAGATTGCATATGAAATGAAGCTGTATGCGTGGCACAGAAAAACAATGCCTTTCTCTCTTCTGTCAGTGCTTCTGTTTCTCTTCTCCTCAGGTTTTCTGTCTCTCATCTGCCTTACTAATCACCCATGGGTCCCCGGGGTCATCTTGTTTTCTATCGCTTCTGTTTCCCACCACTTTTCGCTGCGTCTCAAAACAGGCCATGGCCACGTGTGTGCGTGCGTGTTTGTGTCCTCTTGCTGCTTTTATTTAGCTTTATTTACGTTTCCCTCGTGGCTGTGGTGGAGATATTATGGAGGGTGCTACACTGTTTGGTCATATAAAGCTATAGAGAAAGAAAGAGAGAGAGAACACTCCATCTCCCAGAGTGCACCTGGACTCGCATTACCCAGGATGCTTTGCATTGACACAGATCTGTTAGCCCCACACGTTGCCGTGGTGACACTGAAAATCAGGAGAGCTATTGGTCGCAAGCCCTGCAGGACCTGGAGACATGCGGCCAATCAGAAATTCTCCGGGAGCTGGAGGTAAAGCAAAATTTGTCTGAAAGGCTGCCTGTAGCATTTCATACTGATGTACAGTACTGTGCAAAAGTCAGAGCACTCTTCATTTATTGAACTTCCAGATATTCATCATTCAGTTATTCATTTTTCAGTGTCAGGAAAAAAGCAGAAAATATATATTTAACAGAAACCTCAGCAACTATACATAAATATGACTTTTTTCAGAATTAATTCTGTGTGGATATTTTTCCCCACCTCCAAGTTCAGTCTTTGAAGTTGGTTGCTTTTTTTTTGCTCCAAACACGTTCAGTGATGTTGAGGTCTGGACTCTAGGATGGTCAGTCCATTGTTCTGACAACACCAGCCGCTTTTTTTATTTCCTTTTCTCAGTGAGGGTTTCTTGACAACAACGCATCCTTTCAGACCCATAGCACTCATTAGTTCTCATCTCACATCTTTCAGATGAAAGCTTTAAATACTGTTTATCTGAAGGAGACAGTTTTGATGGTCTACCAGGTCTTGCACAGTTGTTTTGAGTCCCATCTTCTCTGTATCTTTTAATAATTTTTTTAACTCAAATTTTGGAAACTCCTGTTTTTTTTTCACTTATTTTCCTTTGACTTTCACGTCCTTGTGATTTTTATATCTAATCCCCTCATAAATGTCTCCTGTAAAATGAGTAACTCATACTTAATGGGCATTTTAATGAAAAATTAAAGCTACACTATATAAGTTTTGAGAATTTGGAGACGCCTGAGATGTGAAATGTTTAGTTGTATGCAGAAGAGCATTTTGTAGCGTGGGTTGTGATTGGCCCCCGCCCCCGACTCAATAATGTTACTTCTTTCAGTTATAACAAAAGATCATTTATAGTGCAGCTTTAAATAAATGAAGAGTGTTTTCTTACTTTTCCACAGTTCAGTAGGTCTAGATTTTTTATTGTTCCTGTCAGCAGTCAAAAAAACTGTTCCTGTAAATCAGTTCATGTAAAGTGAAGTGAGTTTGTGAGTGCGAGGTGTGCGTGTGGTGTTTTTATCCATTGTATAACTTTCAGGCCACCATGATGTCCGGCAGCACGCTGAGTTTGGGGGAAGAGAGTGAAGCGTGTAACGACAGCGAGCTCAAACCTCCGACGCCTAAAACAGGACTGTGATAGCAGTGCTGTAACAGAGCTGAAGGACTCAAGCCCTACCATGGCCTTAGAGCTACATAAGGTACTACCAGCGCCACCACTGCTGTGTCTCTAATGAGGATATTGGCACGCAGCCAATGCCAAATAGCTAGTTAATAATTCAATTTATACAAAACCTTGTATCCTAAATGTCGACAGTCAGTCAAGACATTTTTGTCACACTAAAAAAAATATTCTGGCAATTCTTAAATCTAGTCAATATCTCTAATATTTCTATTTTATGGGTTACTATAAGAGTATTATAAGACTATAAAACTTATTTCTAGAAGTTTTCTCCTTGTTTAAATCATATTATTTAGAGAAATTGTCTTATTTTATTGGCAGATAACTTTCGTAATACTTTCATGTATTACGAAAAAATGCTTAAAATGAGCAAAAATATCTGACAGTGCAGTAACACAATTGTACTGGAAAAAATTACTTGAAACAAGTCATCTCTGTCACAACAGAACCTTGTATTTCCAAAATGGTACCTTTTGTAGGTGGCTAGATTTCTTAACTTTGAAGGAAGTTAATGGGAAAATTTTGTTTTACAAGTCACTGTTTCATCAGATCATTTCTGTTGATCCATTTGACACAAAGTTTTAACACATGGTGTAAAGGCTGGTGTTTTCAGTTTCTGTAAAAAAAAACAGCGTCAAACAGCGACCAATTATAAACATCTTGGAATATTATTACTATGATCTCAGAATAAGGAATATTTTAGATATCTACTAGATTAGTGATGTTTTCACTTGTCAAGATTTCATTTTTCAGTGTATCTGAGGTTCTCTAATTTTGTACTGTTGCCACAAGATTATCTAATGCTAACAAGTAATTGAAGCTTATTTACATTAAATAATCTGGTAGTGTTGCTAATGTGGCTTCTGACACTGTATGACGTACAGTTATCTATAAACCCGGGCAGAAGTAGTAACAGTTAACTTGAGTCAGAATTTTGTCCTGCAGTGTCAGAAACCACGTAAGCAAATCTGTTTAAGATTACTTAAAAACTTGTTTGACACATGGGGTGTAAGGCTAAAGAAGCAAACTTCAGACACTTAATGACTCTTAACTGATGATTTGGGATAAGAGAGGTGTGTCATTTTGATTTTTCACTCTGCTGTCGATTTAAAACTGTTTTCCCTCTCTCAGATCTGTCTGAAGAAGGATGCAGACAGCAGGGATTTTGGCTTTAGCGTCTCTGACGGTCTGCTGGAGAAGGGCGTCTATGTGAACATGATCCGTCCTGACGGTCCTGCAGACCAGGCAGGTTTGCGACCATATGACCGCATTCTACAGGTAACTGCTTGTGTGCAAACAAATGTGTAAAAACAACATGGGAAGAAAACTAAGTGCTTTAAGAACAGTTGACCTGTGCTCCATGCTCCACCAACAAACACCTTCATTTACAGCAAGTTTGCAAGATTGGAATATTTTTACTGAACACTGGCAAAAGCCTAATGAGAAGTTGTAGTGCACAAGTTGTGTGTGTGCTTTTTTAATCAAAAGCCATAACTCATTCACTAAATCTTTTAAAGGTTTTATTTAATATTTTAAGAATTCTATGATCAGGAATGATATTTATGAATGGCTATTTATTATATTAGAAATAATATACAGTAGTTCTTTATTTACATAGATTTTTATTTATTTTTTGGTCAATTTATCAGCCCTGAGATTTGATCTTAACATTTGAAATATGATAAGTTCTGGATATTAATTGTATTATAACTTAGTTGTCAATGTTATGTGGCTTTTTTAGTCATTTTGGAATCTTCTGTGGCTCAGTTAATCATTGTGGACACATCTAAAATCCCTTTGTTTTATTGACCGCTTCCTAGTGTCCTCCTAATCACTTCAAACTTGTGAAGCTGCACAGGACATTTTATATATTTATATACAAGTAAATTGATTTTTATATGATGGAAACCATTGATACACTGATGAGAGCTTGCCTAACCTGACAACGATCAAAGGATGCGTTTGTGGGTGGAGCATGAATAGGTCATATTTCATATTCATTCATTTTCTTTCTCTCTCTCTCTCTCTCTCTCTTTCAGGTGAATCATGTGCGGACGCGGGATTTCGACTGCTGTTTGGCCGTGCCGCTGATGGCCGAGGCTGGAGATCAGTTGCAGCTTGTCATCAGCAGGAACCCCCTCATACAGGCTCCTCTGTGGCCCCCTAAAGATGTCCCGCAGCCCACAGACACGCTGACCACTCTGCCTGTTCGCAGCCCAAAAACAGCTGACCTCTGATGCCTAAATCAGCATGCTGAGACAGTGCCACTGGGGGGCAGCATTTTGCAGGAGGAAGGATTCTCTCTCTCTTTTTCACAAACACGCACACGTACACACAGACACACGTACGCAGCCACGCAGCTGCTCGCACACATCACCAATAATTTTAGCCACTAAAATGTTGATTTTTCATAAAGGGACCATTTGAAATGGGTTCTTGACCACCAGATCACCTTTTAGCACATATACATACGATATATGATTTTTATCTTCTCAAGTATTTCTCCCCTCACATAAGCCCCCAACAGCTTCACGCTGCACAATTAACACGCAGTTAACACAACCCTGTACCGTAACACTGTTTCGTTCAAGGGTTCACTTTAAGCACTTTTTGTTTTTTTTGCCTTATTTTCCTCACTGTTGTAGTTCCACACGCATACATTTATTTTTTTTTAGTTTATACTGTCCCAGAGAACACATCACCACTGGTTGTATATGCATATGAGGTTCTAAAGCACAAACAGAGAGAGACAAGCATCCACCACAAGTGCAGTGATGATGCAACTCGCTGGGGACCAACAGTACACAGTGACCAATTTGGAAGAAGCAGATTTTTGTTCCCTGATGTTTTTTTTTTTTCCACATTCTAAACCAGAAGTCTTCAACGCTGGACCTAGAATCCAGTCTCTGATCCTAGGTTTTGTAATCACTAGTAGGTATGACCCTAGATGGCTAATCAGTTCTCACACTTGTCCTCAAGGACCATCACAATGTCCAGGTTTTTGGCCCAACCCAACTTGCAACACAGGGATAGAGCAAAAATGTGGACTTCTGGGTTCCTGAGAATGGTTTGAGAACCACTGACTGGCATCAACATTTCAATTAACTGCTAGTGATTACAAAATCCAGGACCAGAAGCTGGATTCGGAGTCTAGATTTCAAGACCTCTGCAAAACATTTTTGTGCAAAAAACTAAGCGTTTAACGTTTTAAGGTCTCATTTGAAGCAGAAACTGCGCAGCTTTGGGTTGGTGTTCCTAAATTGACATGATTTTCAGTAACATCCCCCCTTTTGATATCGTAACCTACTTCAAAAATAGGCTTAATGTATGCATTGAAAACCGCTCATGCGAGTGTGTGCTGTAAGGAACATTGTCCAGACTGACATGGAAGTGTGTATTCCCATGAGAACCCAAGGATATGATCAGTTATGATAATTTTATTGCGAAATCTGTGATATGAAGCCCCTGATAAGGGTCATGGTGGTTTTAACTGTACCTGTTTTAAAAGTGGGACGTCAAGTTTAAACCTAATGAATGAATGTTTTACCCACATTCCTCTGCTGTGTACGTCCCCTGTGTTTGTGTGCAGTGTTATGTAAGTTATTGATTTTAGTCTTGGAAATTGAGACATTGTTTCCTTTTTTAAGAAAATAAAGAAAGAAAAGCCTGTGTGATTTACTTTACAGTGGATATCAAAACAGAGGGAAGATGAGTGCGCGTTAGTCAGAGCTGTGATGAAGGCTGCAGACAAGAGGTTTGAAAATCCAGCTTGTTTACAACACATTTCTGCTTCAGCATATCACCTTGGCTTGTTACACATGACTCATGCCAGATGACTCATTGTGTAAAGACATCTACCCGAGTCTGAGCTGGAAAAAAATCCAGCATTCAGAAGACTCTTTAAAAAATCTGCTACAAAGGGTTCTTTGAGCAGTGCTGTAGACAGTGTTGGGCACAATACTTTGAAAAAGTAGCGTAGCTGAATACTGAATATGCTGTCCTAAATGTATGCAGTAATGGATTCCATTAAAATATGTAAAAAAGTAACAGATTCAGAATATGTTTAGAATATAAAATGGGACAAAAAAGGAGCTGTTTTTATTTAATGCACACTGTTAATGCATCTGTCTATAAACAAATTAAACTATAAAGTGGGTAGTTATTATATGGCCAAAAGTATGTGGACATCCCTCCTAATTACTCAGTTTGTGTTTCAGCCACACTCATTGCTACCATATGTATGAAATCTAGCACATAGCCACACAATCTCCACAAACACTGGCAGTAGAATGGGTCGTACTGAAAAGCTCAGTCACTTGGAACTGTAATTGGGCACCATCTTTGTCGTAAATCAGTTTGTGACATTTCTGCACTGCTAGATCTGCATTGGTCAACTGTAAGTGCTATTATTGTGAAATGGAAATATATGAGCAACAACAGCTCAGCCATGAAGCAGTAGGCCACGCAAACACAGAATGGGGCTGCTGTGTGCTGAAGCACATAGTGCGTAAAAATCGCCTATCCTCTGTTGCATCACTCACTACAGAGTTCCAAACTGTCTCAAGGCAACATCAGCACAAGAACTGTGTGGTGGCAGCGTCATGAAAGGAGTTTCAATGGTCAAGCAGCTACACAAGCCAAAGATCACTATACACAATGCCAGATGTCAGTTGGAGCGGTGTAAAGCCATTGTTTAAACGTTCTCTGGAGTGATGAACGCTTCACTATCCAGCAGTCCGATGGACAAATCTAGATTAGGTGTGTGCCAGGACTACACTACCTACCGGAATGCATGGTGCCAACAGTAAGTTTGGTGGAGGAAGGATAATGGGCTGGGGCTGTTTTTCAGGGTTTGGGCTCGGCTCCATAGTGCTAGTGAAGGGTAATGTTAAAACATACGTAGGCATTCTTTAACACCTTTGGAATGAATTGGAACATTGATTGCGAACATCAGTGCCTGGCCACACAAATACACTCAGCAGAAATTCCCACAGACATCCCAAAAATATTGTGGTAAGCCTTACCAGAAGAGTAGAGGCTGGTGTAGTTGCAAAGAGGGGCCAACTCCATATGAATGCCCATGGTTTTGGAATGAGACGTCCAACAATCTCAGCTCGCTGTCCACATACTTGTATGTGATTTTTCAGTTAATGATATCTATGTAACTTGAGTCCATTACACCAATTCTAAGCTTATCGTTTATAAACATTTCCACTACTGAGGAGACTGTTCAGCTCAATCACCCCTCAAAGAGCTCAATAACACTGAGTTTAATAACTGATTATCACACTGTTTTCTCAGGCTTTAGCAGAGCTCAGTTACACTGAGATTAATGACTGACCACATTGATTGGTCAGTCTACTCGGGCTTTAACATTAACAAATGTTCTCCAGCCGCACTGTTTCTTAGTCTTAATCTTCAACCATCAAATTTTAATTGGAGAAGAGTGGAGGCAGATTTGTTTAGCTTACTAGCCTAGCGTGCCTCAGGGGAGCTAATGTTTCACAGTGTTAGCTAAATGTGGTTGATATGCCGTCTTACTCTGCTTTGGGAATTCAGTGGAGACTGTCACAGTCACTTTAGGCTAAGAGTTTGACGTAGGTTCACGGGAAAATCCCTACTCCTGGGATTCAGTATAAATTTTGCATGAAGAATTTGAAAGCGTCAGTCAGGAGTAGCTAAAACAACCCCAGAGCTCATCCAGGTGGCTGAATTTGTGTGGTAAATGTCAGCCTAGTGTAGGGAAAATAAAAGGCACTGTCTAAAGTTGATGCATTAAGCTTAACTCTCATTCACTGACGTTTGCGCATGTGTAGCTTGCATACGACAAAATATTAAACATAAAAAGTTGGCGCTCACCTGTGTAACGTTAAGGCTAAACATGCTGTGTTTAGGATGGTCAGGAAGACGTAACCTGTGAAAAGAATTTAGCTGGCATTGGAGCAAAAACAAGACAACTTGATTAACTTCTTTATGTACTGTTTACATCCGGAATGCCAACCATTGAGACTCAAACTGCCTCAATCATTCAAAAGTGAAGGGAAATCTTTTAGCCACTGTGGGTTAAATTAGCACCTAAGCTAATACTAGATAATGTCAGATAAGACAGTCATGGTCTTCTACACAAAGGACATTATTTTCTGCACAGTGGATGATGGGGAAACTACGGAACCCCTTAAGTTGACAGGGTGATTATTTTTATGAATTACTATATTGAGGATGTGAGTTAAGTTTCTCATAATTTGAGGCCTCAATATAGTAACTCAAGACCTCAATATAGTAATTTTTGGCCAACGCTTTATTAAAAATCACCATGTACCCCTGGGGGCTCTGTAGGAAACATGTCGCCTTGTTGGTATTGAGAACAGAAAACTTCTAAAAGCTACCAATCTACCATGGTTAGCCTAGCCACGCTGTGCTACTCCAGATCTGAAGTGTCTGTGGCATGTTAAGGCAATACTGTGTTATAGTAATGTTAGCAAAAGTAAAATAATATACAGCAGCAGACACTTAGTCAGAAGGCAATGAACTGCCAGTATATTAAGAACGCCGAGCACCTCTCGTTGGCCATTTTATCTTGTACACCTGCTAAATGCTGACTTAAACACCCAGTTGGTTACTAGGCTAAATCCAAAGATGTAACCAGCAACATAGGAAAATATTTGTGTGGTATCGCTTTTTTTCAGCATTCAACTATTTCCGTTACACTGGTCTCCCTCCCAATTTGTGACATGCATGAATAGGAAAGTGTATATATTGTGATTTTTGTGTCACAGTCTTTGATTTTATGCAGCAGTATTATGTTTTTTGTTTATAGGAGATGTAAATCCCTGTATCATGTGACAATATCACAAATACACATTTCCATTTACATGATTACATCACAAACTGGGAAGGAGACCTAAGTTTCTAAGACCATTAGTAAAAGTTTGATAACATTTGCTGTTACAGTACTAAAAACTGGATTTATATAGCCAAGTGAGTTATTTTAAAAGTAATTTTTTTCAGTTTTTTGCAGTGTGGTTATGACATCACAACCATAAACATTTTTACATATGACCAGTCTCCATTCAGCCTATAGCAGTTTAGCCCCACCCATTCCTATTAAAGTGATATGGAGTGTTGTTCCTGCAGAGTCCGTATCAGTTATTAGAGTGGAAAAACAGTTAAAGTTGTGCTATTCCAGACTGTGAGGAAGCAAATGGATCATTACAGCCTTCCAAAGGATCCACACATCGGAAAGAAGTGCCTGAAGATTATTTTTAACTTTCCTTAAGATTTCAGTCTTAACAAAAAACAGCCTGTTTAATTCTATGAGATAAAGAGGGGTTTGAAAGAAGTGTAAAAATGTTATAAACATAGGGCCCTTTATAGTTTAGTCCACTTGTACTTACCTTACAAATCAGAATACATGCCCCCAAGTATGTCCGCTGTTACAGGTGGACAGAGTTCAGGGCTGATTCTTTATCCACAGTGCAAGATGGAGGTGTATGGAGTTTTGGGTTTTTACTAAATTAGTACATTCTTATAGATCCATGTAAAACGTTCTCTTAAAAAAATACACACTGACACTTGAACCAAGAGGAAAAAAAACTTTATTTTGGATCTAGATGATGCAATATGCATCTCAAAAGGACTGAGTTCGTAACAAAGCTACTTTGGTTACACAAGATTTTTCAGTTGGTTGATCAAATTCATTTACCATACGTTTAACTGTGTGAATGGTCATTTTGTTGTCTTGAATTGTACAGTTTTGTGTTATCACATTTTCAAGCTGAAATATAACAAAGCCACTTTTTTTGGTTTTTGGGTTGTTTTTTTTTGTTTTTTTTTACAAATATTGCACACTGCAAATTGCATTTAGGCTGATGGTAATCAACATTTGGATATAAATTTCTGAATACATTCAGAAAAATATAAACAAATTACTGACAGTCACATCATGTACAGTATAAAATGGTTAATACAAAAGGCAAATGTCATTTGAGACTAATTAAAATGCAGGTGAGCAAACCCTTGTTTCGGAGTGGACTCAGTGACCTCAGACAGAACAGGCTACAGTGGAGTGAAGGGAGTATGGAGTATGATTTGGTTGGTGTGGTTGTGCTGCAGGCCACTAATGCAAGGACTGCGTGTAAGGGATTGAGGGCTGAATGGGATGTAGCATGGTGTGGGCAGAGGTGTAAAATTGCATCAATATTGATTTGAAGGTTGCGATTCAACTACATCAGTTTTGGAATGTTACAATCGGTTATGATCAATTAGTTATTATCAATCAATAGTCAATTATAACAACTTTGGTTAAAGTATGTGCTCATTTTTTTGGCCACAATAATCGTCTGTGACTATTTTTATATATTAAAATGCAAAGAAGTCTTGGTGTTTTGCAGGGCTCCAAACCGGCTCAAGGAACGAAAAACGAAATTTAGAAATTAACGATATTTTGCTAGAAGCAAAAACACAACTGAAAACTGTTCCAGAACAAAAAGGTTAATTTGAAATCTTGTTAGTTGCCATTATTTTTCTGCTCTGGTTTTTCTGCCCATTAGCTGTGCTTTTAGATCTACGTCACGTCTCAATGTGATTTCATTCAGTCTATCATTTATAAGATTTATACGGCATGTGTGAATGGTATGTCTACACATTTTTAAATGGGGATATAACATTGCTTTTGGACGTAGTTTGATCATAACAACCTAAATTATTATGGGATATTTCATACCTATATGCTGGAACAGCTTACTCATTCACAATCAGTACAATTTTATGGCCATGTCCTTATCAATACTAACACAAATGCTGGGCCTAATAGCTTTCCAAAGCTACTATTTTATTATTTTAGGCCTACAGACAGTCTATGTTAAAGGAACAGAATTCCATTTTCGGTTTTCATTTTGTTCTAGCCGGTTTAGGAACGTTATGTTGGGACTGAATTGCAAGAATGGAAATGTTAATATATTGGTTAAAATATTGGTTCTGCTCAGAGTGAATAGAAATCATTGGGACATTTGAGATTTCATGATGCACTGAATCACAATGGAACTATGTGGGGGCAACATAAAGGTCCAAGGCAGGGGTTCCCAATCCCAGTCCTGGTGACCTTTTGTGCTGTCTCTTATCTAGCGTACCTGATTCAACTCAAACTAATGAACCAGCTTCTCATAGTTTGACTCATGTGAAGTGGGGAAAACACAAAAGTACGCAGAGCATGCTGTCACCATGACTGGGATTGGGACCCCTGACCTCTGGAGTGATGCATCATAGCTAGTCAAAACCTTTTTTTGCAGTGGATGGTTAGGTTTAGGGTATGAATTGCAACGTCTGATGTGACGGTGACCACATTAAAACTGCTCAATGCCAATGAAAATTGATTTCCTAATTTCCTAAAGCCAATAAATGGACATGGACAGGCACACTGGACTACAGGTGACCGATTTACCCTCTGTCCATACAGTGAGGTGGTTAGGCAACACTGTTTATTTTTTAAAAGAAAACATAAAAATCTGATTTAAACTCTTCTCTTGAAATGAGAAGAGCTGCAAATGATACTTAGCATATAAAAGCACAGCTGCCTACAGTATTAGAGTCTGATGGCTGTATATATACTGGTTATATATGTGAGCATGTGTATGTGAGTGTTTATCAGTGTGTGGACAGCTCGTCTGGCAGTGATCACTAAATTACAAGGAGAGCACAGTACTGAGAACATGGGCACACACGGATTTACCTCTCTCCAAGCAAGCGAATGTGTCTGTGTGTGGTGTGTTTGTGCGTACTGTGCTATGAAAAAGTCATGGAACCCTTCATTTACTTCATTTCCAGGCAAAACAGTCATTAAGGAAAAGTTATTAATTTTTCAGGAGATATTTCTGAGGAGGTTACATCTAAGATCATAAGGAAGAGAAAGTCAAAGGAAAATAAGGAAAAAAAAGAGTTTGCAAAAATGTTTGGGATTATTTGGATCATGAGAAATAACCAATATAACCAACTTATAAGACTGAACTTTGGAGGTGTGGAAAAAAATAACCCTGCAGGTTTCTTTGAAAAACTGAAAGCAACGGTCTCGAAAAGAATGGAAGTTGCAATAAAGGCAAAGAGTGGACACAGTAAATACTGACAAGTTGGATCTTATATTTAGCCATTATATTATTTTTCTGTTAAATATTTGTTTGTTTTCTGCTTTTTTACCCTGAAAATGAACAGCTCGCTTAATGGCCGTTGTGACTGGAAATTAAATGAATGATGGTATATTAAGGTGTGTATATATATATATATATCGCTAATGTCGGAACAAAACCTCATAACTCAATTTTTTTTGTTTTTGACATACTTTGAAAGTGCATGCTGCTCTTTATATTGTGTGCAAATTTCACAATGGATGGACCAAAAGAAACGGCCCAAAATGACTTTGAAAAAATTCTGGTTTCATTGACTTACATTAAAAGTAAAGTATGTTTTTTCCTTCTCCTGTAAAGTTACCATTTTGGAGATACAAGGTTTTCATCCAACAGCAGATATATATATATATATATATATATATATATATATTAGTGTGTGTGTGTGTGTGTGTGTGTGTGTGTGTGTGTGTGTGTGTGCGCGCGTGTGTGTAAGCAGTGCACAGCTTCCGCACAAAGCGGAGGTACATTCAGGTTAATCAAGACGGAGAACAATGTCTTTACAACGAGGGTACTGCCACAGTCACTTACACACCTGCTTATCATAGCTACCTAAAAAATGTCACATATTTAGTTCACTGCTGTTTTTTGTTATTTTCTTAAAAACAAGGCTCAGCTTCAAACACTCCTAAATAACGGCCTGATTTCCATCTCTCTCTCCCTCTCTTTTTGCTCGCACAAAGACATCTGACGGCTCACAGCTCACTTCAGCCAAACATATCAGTATTAATGATAATATCAATGATTACAGTGATAATAAAATATCCTAACAGCAATAATAAAACCACAATAGTAATGATAATAAAATTCCTACACAGCGAGGATAAAAGGACGTCATTATAAGAGGTTTCAACCTCCTTTTGTAAAAATACAACTAGAATATACTAGTGCAGAGAAAGGGAGGGACAGTCTAAGTGGACAGAGAAGAGGAGAAGAATAGAAGGGGGGGGAGGGGATTAAAGGGAGGGAGAGGTAATAGGGACCTCTCATAGAGAGTCTCACATTGTAGTTTCTACGATGGTGTGGGTGTGTTTGCTGAGGGCGTAAGTGCCGTTAGGGTCGAGTGGATGGAGCAGCTCGCTGTTCTTCAGGCTGTACTCTTTCGGGACGAGAGCTGGCTCCTCCTTTCACAGGGGCGGCCACGGCTTTGATCCGCTACACAAGAAAAAGACACCAACGATAATGCACTGGTTAATGCAGTTAAAACCAAAGACATACTACAGAAACAGTAGTTATATACACAGAATTATATTATTATTATTATTATTAGTAGTAGTAGTAGTAGTAGTATTACTGTAAAGCTTTTGAATATGGTCAATGGTACTAAACTGTACATTTAAAAGTACATATAATTCTAGTCAAAATAAGGATTATCCTATTTTTAATCTCCATATTTTAGAATAACAGTGAAGAAAATGAAACGACCCACATGGAAATATGCAGATACCAAAAAAGTGCAAAACAAATCAAAACTATCTATGGCGGGTCTTTGCATTTAAGCAAAGCTTTTACATCAAAATGTCTTTATTTTTATTAAAAATGCATTTTAATGCTGTGTTCACATGTTGGAGGTGGACAGACAACAGCAAACCAGATATTAGATTGTTTTCAGTGAAACATCGACGGAAAAAAATGACACACCAGCAGAAACGTTCCATCAAGCCTTCAATTTTTCCAACTTTTGCCATCAACCGGATGATGATTTTTTTTTTTTAGGAAATATGCCAAACATCTCAGTGTGGTCCAGTTGCACCCAGCACACAACAAAAAAATAAAACAATACAGAGCATCCTCTGGATTTTTTCCACTTTAAATAAACAATCGTCACTACTAAAGCTCTTCTCTGATTATCATCCTTTTACACCGGTAACGCTTTCACCATGGCAACGTTTGCATGGCTTGATGCAGCTGTCAGCTTTGTACTGCTATGAGGAACAGGACAATGTTCTTTTTGACGCCAACATGCAAACGCAGTATTAGAAGTGTCTACACTTTTGACTTTTCAGCTTGTCACTGAGGTGGAACCGTCGCAAGCACATCTTTAGTAGATTTAATTCCATGCCAAAGTACCCTGTTTTCAGATAGTGTACATGAGAAGAAAAGACACTTCTTTTGTGTTTGTTAATGTAACAAGATTTTAATTAGTAATACTGGACCATTTCTATATTATTTCTATATTGGTCCATTCGTCAAGATGTGCTGGGTCAATCAGTCATTACAATTCATGTGTAAGTCAAAACAAAGCTACAAACACGCAAATATGAAAGGCTGTTATTGTATGTAATTATGTTCTAAGCTTCACTGTAATTATCTCTTTTGTTGTAGAAGACTGTTGTTTCCAGGATGGTACAAAGCAAATACTGGGTGGCTGATCCAGTGCTTGAAAATCAAAGGACCAGAAAGTCAAAGCAAATCGTGTGATCTTATATACGATAGATTTAAATATAAATTAAAATGTATGTTTATGTTTGAAAATTTAACTTTTAAAATCTACAGCACAGTGCAAAAAAGGACAAAACCCATCACATCAGAATTGGACGTTGTACAAGGTTTTAAATACAACCCAATGAACTTCAGTTCAGTATGGAAATGTAAAGTAGGTGCTCAATTTTAGACAATATAAAAATGGATATGTCCCACAACGGCATGAAGCTTGACCTTATGGTGGATAAATGTATAAATGATACGTATTCACCTCAATCAGCGATCCGTCCGACTGGATAATTTTGATGACGACCACCATGGGAATGCAGATCATGGAGGCCAAAGCCAAAGACCACCCCACTCCAATCGACCAATCAGGATACTCGTACACCTTGTTATAGGTGAGGGGCTTATATTTCACCAATGAGAAGACAAAACAACCCTGAAAGAGGAAGAAGAAAGATCATTTAAGCAGAATCAAACCTACACAACTCAAACTCAAAAAAAAACATAACAGCTTACGATGCATCCTATAGAGCCTCTCTATGACCCACTCACACACACATGCACACTTACCACACACAGGACAGGTGTGATCAGCGTCCAGCTCCACTTCATCCAACCGTTTGGTCTGTAGCCGATCATGTCCTCAATAGCATCATAGAAATTATCAGCGCCTGCAACAACACAACACTGCTCGTATATACTTGAAGGGCCCATATTATACTTTTTTTGGTTTGTCTTTTTTCCACTCATGAAGTTTGTGTTTTTCATTTTTACAATATCATTTTCTAACACAGATTTTTTAAAATTCCTGGATAATTTTGCCATTGAAACGTAAACAAAGTCATACAGGGTGGTTGTGAAATGGTGCACTGTAGAGAAAATTAGGGGGTCACTGTCCACTGTCTACAATGCAAATATGGCCATTTTATTTACGCTCCAAAATGTCTTCTGAGTTTTTATACGTAGTATGCAAAAGTCTGAAAATCCTTTGTCAAATTACATGTTTTGTTAATTTCATAAATGAAAATATTTTATAAGTAAAAATATACATAAAAATTACGTGTAATTACAAAAAATTACATGAGTAAAAATGACGTTTTGTTGATTTTATAAGTAAAAATAAGTTAACACGTCTTCTACAGCGCACAAATTTAAATATGGTATGTATAACTATATTGTTGATAATGGTAAAATAGTGTTAAAACCAAAACATATATTTTAAAAATAAATTTTAGGCCAAAATATCTCAAAACTATTGTTAAAAACTGTTAAGGTCTCATTCATCTGGCAGTGCATCCATAACCATTTCTTCCAGTGATGCAGCTTCGAATACTTCAGATGTCTGGTTCTTATCACCACTGCTGTGAACAACTCTGACTTGGCAGTTAACTTAAGAGTTAATTAGGGAACTACAGAAATTTTGAAAATTTATATACATAAATGACCTCTGTTCTGATTGGCTGCACTGTATTGTGACTCACTGAAAAAGCATTCTGGGCTGAAACACTCTTAGTACCTTCAGCGTGAGTGGGCTTTGTATTAGGAGTATCACAATACACATGTTAATACTAATTTTTTCTATATGATGGCTGCGAGACGATACATGTTGTGTGAATACAGTTAGATTACGTGTTATGAAATATGTGACACTGGAAAGTTCTGTTTAACACAATCCGTGATATTCCTAAAAGCTATAACCATTAATGTAAAAAAACTCAGCTGTGCAGCTCTTGGAACTGGAAACAAATGGTTTGGATGAAGCTGAAATTAGCTGCTTATTCTCCAGCTTCTTATTCAAATTTTCGGTACACATAAATAGTGCAGCAGGTGGAGCGAGGAGAAAACACAAGTTACAGTGGTGACTTTTTTTTTGGGAAAACAATGAATTCAGATGGGCTTTTCTTGCAGCTTAGATTCCACGTATGGCCTTGTCTATATTTTTACAAACTATATCAAACTCTTACTTAATAAAGGGAGGAAAATTCAGTTTTCCACATCATGGACCCTTTTACAGTCACTCTTAAGGTTCACATAGTCCATGTTTTGAACCGAATATATCACCGGCAATAAAACGCATCAGCATAAGAAGTGTTTGTGCTAAAATATTTCAAAAGCACAGGACTAAAATATCAACACTGAGCAGATCCCGCAGGAGAAGAGAAATCAAGATTATGTAAGACGGCTTTATAGGTCACTATTAAAATAACCTACTACTTTTCTACTCCATGCAAGAACACTGACATGACAGCACGAGAGAGTGAGAGAGACAGTGAGAGAGAGAGAGACTAAAGCACAGAACAGAGGGATGAGAGAAGAAAAGGAAGAGAGAAAAAAGGATGGTGGTAAGGAGAAGAAACAGAAGCAGGGCTAGTAGTAAAGAGGAGGAAGAGATGGATGAAACCCACATGAGTGGAGTGTTCATACAACAAACTGACACTGACAGTTACGATTCCAGGAATATAATGTAGTTTGTCTGTGTAGATGGGGGACTCTCCGAATTCATGCTTCTTCTCTGAGAAGGTCACATTCGCATTTGCTGCCATCCTCAGTGACTGACGCGTGTTACGTGCATTTCTGTTTGTGTATGTGGCTCTGAGCACATTAGCAAGATGACTAACTGTTGGTTCAATTACATCTCCCACACAAACATAAAGGCAGGACAAACTGTGCTTTGGTATCTTTTAATAATGCACACAGCTAGTGGGGGGGGTAGTAGACTGTAGACTCATCATAAAGCCAGGCTACTGCCACACATTCAAAGAACAGAACTGTTTTCACAGTACGGGGTTCTCACCACTCACCCCTTTATTGCTCTCTAGCAGCTCAACACAGAGTCAGGTCTTTGAACACACAGGCAACAGTGTTCTAGCTAATTTGATAACAGAGGTACGAGGAAGCAAGAAAAGAATGGAGAGTGCTAAGGAAGAGGACGAGAAGTAGACGGGTAAAGGGGTATAGACTCACCGTAAACCCAGGCTACTGCCACACATTCAAAGAATGCAACCCAGAGAAGGCACACACCGCTGGCTGCATAGTAATCAAACAACTGGAACACATACATGCCACCCTGAAATAGACAAAGAGAGAGAGAAAGAAAGAGAGACAAGAGTGATGTGAATAAGAAAAACGTTAAGATCGGTTAGCTAACTTAGCTTTGCATAATGTAGCTGCTGAAAGCTTGATAAAGCAGTCAGATTAAACAGGACTGTACCGTTCTCACATTTGTGTTAAATCATTGTGTGTAAAGATAAATATTATACATGTACAACTGTAAACATGCTATTCTTTGTTTTGCTAAAATTTTATTAAAGTCTTTGTGTTATAGATGAGTCTTCCTCAGCATCTAACTTTGCTCTGATTAGCTCCAGTGTTAGCTTCACTAGCTCATCTGAAGGGGCAGTGGCTGTCACTAAAATCTCCTCCTTATTAGATATGAAAACCTCCTGCTTTAAACAATTTCCCTGGTTTGATTCATGTAAACATGGTTTCCTTTTTTGTTTGCTTTAATTTGGCCAACAGTCATTTTGTCACTTCTCCAAAATATATGTGGGCACTGAACATGCACAACCAGTTTATTTATGAATTGAATATTTAAAAAAGAAATTTCACACATACTCCTCTGTGTGCTTCAAAGTTTCCCTTTGTACTACTGCACCTTTTAGTCTGTTAGTACAAATGTTATATATGCTACCAAGTAGCCTGAGCTGAAAGTTTGACAGGCGTAGCAACAACAACTAAAGAGAGGTGTAATTTTCTTCAAATTTTGCAAACGGTCAATTGTTTTCACAGCTGGGGATCCTCACCTTTTCCCTCCCTCTCACCTCTCATTGCCCGCTAGCAGCTCAACACAGAGTGATAGAGTCCAAATCACAGCTACGAAATCATTTGTGACAACACACTCCCTCTCGTGTGTCTATTGGACAAATTAGCGTTACATCACAACAAAGAACTTACTTCCAGATGGACACCGCTGGTCACGCTACATTGCTACAACTTTGTACCAATCCTGATACCTTTTTGAGAGTTATTTAACCAAGATACTGTTTGCAGTTCAAGTTTGCAGTTATCTTGTAATCTTGTAAATACTTAGTTAGTGTGTAGGTCTACATATTCATTAATAAATACTGGCAAACTATATGCTCCTAATGTTGCCATTGTTGATACTGGCCTTAAAATATGATTTTAAGCTGATCTTCCCACTCCAAAAACTTCAGTTACCAGGACTGTGTCATGAGCATGAAACAGCCACACTTTTTATTGCAGTATTTAATCAAAACTCAACTTTATAAGTGGCCTTTATTTTATCTGCTATAATTACGCTGATAGACGTTATGTAACAATGTATTCACTTTTACTTGTTACTGCTATCTCAGCCATAACAAGGAAAAAAATGGGGCACCTCTGCACATGGACAAACGAATCTGACATTATAGTCTAAAAAATAATATTTAACCATGATTGACAATATTCTGATTCAATCTTTTCTGTTCATATTTACTGCCAACTAAAATGAGCTGTTTATACCACTGACTGGTGTGAGTTACCCACCCAAGATAAGTGTAGCCAAGTAAATATAAGTTAATGTGCAACTGTGCCATTAAATAATGTAATAATGTAATTACATATGATTAGTAAAATGAAAGTAATACCTCTCGACTTCTGAGAGGTATTTCTTCTGATTTTACTCATTAGCAAAGAAAGACAAATACTAATCAGACCCTCTAGGCCTGCAGTCTGACACTTTTGACTTAGACTTAGACATAAATATATACACAAACATGTCTTACTTTAGTGACCATGGTGAGTCCCACCAGGTAACTGATGACACAGATGACAGCGATGAAGATCTCTCTCCGGTATCCCTTCCTTAGGAGGGATGGGTACAGGTCCACCAGTGAGGTGATCTGACCCTCCACTTCTACAAACTGCGGACACAAACAGACACAGATTTACAGTTTGTAGTTCAGCTGAGCTCACTTTATACTAATGACTTTACTGTGTTGGTGTGTGTACTTGTGTATGTATAAGTATGGGTGGCTGCGTATGTATGGTTTGGTTATATGAGACTCGCTTGATCCGACACGTCCATTCTCTTCACAGTTTATAGAAATGGAAGGTGTGAAAAAGTTTAAAATTACAGTGAAATCTGATCCACCACACCACACACACAGCTGAGCTGTTGATCAAATATCGTCATACGTCTGGCAGAGTTCCCAATGAGGGTTTTCTTTTTTTTGCTGTCCCTAGATAAACCCACATTAGTTTTAAAGTGCTAAAAAATCCAGTAACTGATATCAGATGATATATTTTGTATTTTATTTTTAGATATTACACTCCAACAGTTTTAGTTAAACAGTGCTTTACTAACTGATATGATTAACTGTATGATTATCAGATCCCAACTGTCACACGCCTTAAACACAAATAAACAGCAGAAACTCTTAAATAACCTTAAATAATATAAATACTGTAGAACTGGAGGTGGATAATTTGGTTTTTTTTTGTTTACCTCTAATTTTTCTTATGTTTCAGCAGTTCTCTTCATATAAATAATTTTTAACATGTAATTATCATTCCAAATGTGCAATTCTATTTATCCATGATGGTGTTCAGCATGCAGTTGTGTTATCTGATCAAGCTGGTGGTGACTCATATCAGTTTCTCCAGTGGAATAACCATTTAAGGTACTGCCCTATTGACTGGAGATTATGGGTTTGGACCCAACACTCCCTTCCCTTCCAAAAAAAACAAAAAAAGTTTGTAAATATTGGCATGGTATCAGAAATATCCAAAGATATGAGTCAGCCAACTGATATATCGTACCCTAAACAAATATCACAAAACTTTTAGAAAGCTCAAAGAATCAAAATATTTGACTATTTTTTTTAAATTAAGATACAGTTATGTTTAGGGTCAATGTTTTTTTATTACACTTGAGTCAGTGCAAGTCCTCACAAGCAAAGTAATACTAAACTGTGTGAGTGTGTGTGTTCAACTATGCAAACTGTGAAATCTGACCTGCCACTCATTCAGCTTTTCAGCATGTGCAGTATAACTAACTGACGCCAGTACTAAAAATACCAAGGAGCTTTCTATGCACAGGATTATCTGTACAGTAGATGACATTTCACATCCACACTGACCGCATGCCAGGCTAACAAAGTTATGATCACCTGTCATAACATACATACGCTTCCTATCAGCTCACTCACTACAGCTCATATACAAATTTATCATGGCTCTATATGACAGGTATGACTGTGTGCACACCTGTGTCTGCGTTTATGTGCGGTCAGATACCACATGAGCAGCAGAGCTTGAAATATCTCTCTCAAGCTGATGGGACCAGGCTTCTGACCCTGGGTTCGGTCGGGTTCGGACGTCATTTCCCAAATATGCATCGGGCTTAGATCAGGTTAAGATGTAACGTAAAGGGAGATTTGACCCTGCGTTTCTCCTGCTTTCGTTTTTCTCCTTTTCTTCTTCCTTCCTTCCTTCACCTTAACACAGTTTTTAATCTAGTATGCTGGAGTCACCTGCTTGTAAGAATTTAGCACTGAGGCCCACGCTTATGAGCGTGAATCGAATCATGAGGGGACGGTTTAGTGCAGTCAAAAGGGCGTTTTTACTTAATTTGTTTGTCAAAAACATTGTCATATTGCTTTGATATATGATATGTTACATGTTTTGGGTAAAGACATTTTCAGTATTAAACAGGTGAAGGTTAATCATCCTATAACAGCACCGCACAGTGTGAGAACAGTGCACTACGGAAAGTTTATCCACACTAAAAATGTTTGTGCCGTTATTCGAAAGCTTTGCTTGATCAAGCAGAATCGGAACAGCTGATTCCTTTATCATATTGTATTGTTTTATATTTTATTTATCTGTGATTTAATGATGACTAGCTACACAGTAATTTAACCAGCATAATCATTAGAATATAGTGATTACACTGGTTAAACATAATGACGATATAAGTTTTATTCGCCACTTTCGGTGAGGATGGGGCAGTTCGGGTCAGATTTGGACTGAATTTTCTCAATCTTGGTTCAGTTTCAGACTTAAAATGTGGTGTTGTGGTTCTTGGACAGCAAGTTCTTGGACTGTATTTGAGCTCAGACTAAAATTTCAGGCTCAATTAAAGCTCTAATAGGTATGCATGCCTGTTTCATGTTTATGTTCAAGTAAAATTATGTCTATGGGAGGGTGTGTGTACAGGTCAATTAAAACTGCATGTTTTGCTGATTTTCCAAGTAAAAATAGGTTAATACGTCATCTACAGGGAACACATTAGCATGAATTTTAGTGCCTGATTTCTGTTTAGTTCAACATATTGGGAAAAAATAAAACCTTACTATTTACACAGGCCACATTTTACGGTTTATTTTTCCCCCTAATATGTTAAATCCGGCAAATAAACAATACTTGTGCATTAAAATGTGCACATAGAAAGTCAACAAAACATGTCATTTCACCAGGGGTGCCCAAATGTCTGCATACAACTGTGTGTGTGTGGTAGGGACTAACCTGACTGTCTAGGCCCAGCAGCAGAAGCATGATGAAGAAGAGTATCGCCCAAAAAGTGGGCAGCGGCATCATAGTAACTGCCTTTGGATACGCAATGAAAGCCAGCCCAGGACCTGAGTGAGACATTAATTACATACAAATTACATACACAATACATTACAGGCCTAAAGAAAAGAAAAAAACAGTTTTATGTTAAAATATTTTATTATCAAATCAATATCCAGTTTGACGAAAGTTATTTCCCAAAATATTCCATTGGTTTGTAGTCAAGTACTCTTACTATGCTCATGTCCTTACATTTTATGGGAAAAGTCTTCACACTGTTTGTTGATAAAGGTTCACTGACCAATTTTTAACTTTTTACAAACTCTTAATTTAACACTTTGAATTAGTTAAGCCTTCCGAAGCACCTAAATGAGAGAATTAGGGTGTATATGATAGGGGTTATCTCTTGCTAAAGGTGTTTTTCTCACTGATCCTGAGGTCATCATAATCACCATAACGCTAAAATGCTGAGATAGTGTTGCTGCCCTCTGATCCTGAACATACCTGACTCAGCCACATCAGCAATGGCCACGCCCTGCTCCTGCGCCATAAACCCCAGCACAGAGAAGATGGCGAAGCCAGACACAAAGCTGGTCCCGCTGTTCAGGCCTCCAAGCAGCAAGCAGTCCCTACATACACACACATACATATACACGTGTTAGTGCTCTACTACTGTAATACTGAGACCTGGAATCCAACCTAATCTTAACTACGCAAGAACATTTTCTCTATAATAAGTACATGCAAGTCTTTTTGAACATTCACAGACAAGATGATCAGATACAGATTCTGAACAGGTGCACACAAGAAGTCTACAGGTCAAGAATGGGCAGTTTCAGTTTTGGGAATCAGTGAGAGCAGAGAAAACAGTAAACTGTACAGTGCTGTGGTCCTTAAGGACTGAAAATGATCGTCCGTCCATGTTAACGCACACATGGGCTCACCTGTAGCAGTTATATTTGTACTTATTGTAGCTTCCCAGTGAAGTCATTGCACCAAGACAAATAGCATAAGAGAAGAAGATTTGAGTCCCTGCATCAATCCATACCTAGAGAGAGAGAGAGAGAGAGAGAGAGGGAGAGAGAGAGGGAGAGAGAGAGAGAGAGAGGATTACGATGTTTCACCTAAAAAGAACATTTTTTCTCCAAAGTTTTGGGGAAAAGCTTTAGAGGAGAATTCAAACCTTTTCACATTTAAAATTTACTACATTTTAAATTTACTAATAACTTGAAAATTTCTGCATAATTCAAACACTGAGCTGTAAAAGCATTCAAGCAGTGGAAATGATTCACTGAACTTAAAGCTTTTTTATGATGGAGGTGACAGGAACAAGTATAGTAATTTAATTTACCATCTGTAACTACTAATCAACCTACACAAGTCTGAGTTTTTTTATGTAACACTGATGATGGTAAAATAGTGTAAAATCTGAAAAAAATATTTTTTGGGACTATTTTGCCTTACGACACCCTGTGTGTACCTCCCCATCATAAAACTTTAAAAAATAGGCCAATTCAAGGCCAAAATCTTATCTTAAAACTGTCATAAAACGTCTCAGACATGAGCCAGAGTGTTCTTTATCATTTCACTCTGAGGTAGCTTTGGACGTCTGCTTCCTGTCACCACCACTGTGAACAATTCAGACGTGGTAAGTTTTCTAGAACGGAGCATTTCGCATTGAACTATTCTGAACACACTCTGAACATCTTAGCAATTTGATTAAGCAGAATTTTTGGGATTTGGTGGAATTCCCCTTTAACAAGGAATAACTTAAATGTAGTGTTAGCATTAAATTAATGTCAGCATGTACCTCGGGGTCCTGCAGGCGACTCAGGTCGGGGTACAGATAGAATTTGATGCCCTCGGCAGCACCAGGCAGAGTTACTCCACGCACCAACAACACAATGAGCATAAGAAACGGAAACGTAGCAGTGAAATACACCACCTACAGTAAGAGAGAGATGGAGAGATATGAAATATTGATGTAATAACACTGCCTCCATAATGAATCCAATCAATCAATGTCTTTATAACATCTGAATATGGTTCAGTTATACAAGCGCTTGTTCTATTCTATCTCTCCGTTGCATGCACATTTAGTTTTGATTAAAAAGCGCACACGCTCACTCTCTCACATGCACTTTTTCATCCCTCTCTAATTTATCCTTCTATCCCTTTAGCTTTTGGCCATTATCATCCCACCATACCTTCCTCCCTCCCTCCCTCTCTCCCACTGTCTCACTTTGCCGGTGGATTTCACTCCCTTCCAGATGCAGAAGAAGCAGATGACCCAGACAGCCAGCAGACAGAGGGCGAGATCCCACTTTAGCTCGCCCACCTCGTCAATCCCCGACGAAAGACTGAGGACATTACGCCTGAGGGACAGAACACAGCACACAACACCAAAATGAGAGAGAGAGAGAGAGAGAGAGAGAGAGAGAGAGAAAGAGAGGAGATTTAAAGGGATTTGGCCAAAAATCCAATTTGCATAGTTTTCCTCTTACCACAAATATAGTCAGTCAAGTGTTTGGTGTCCAAAATTGAGTTATGTATTTTTTGCAATGAAGCTTTTGCACTAGAGCTAATGTAATAGCAGTAATGGAACCTTATTGCTCCACCAATTAGCATCAAACTGCAACAAACGGCCCTCAAACCGTGTCAAGTTGTTCTGTGGTTTCAGAGACTGACTCACTTTGAGGCAAACGTGTGTGCCTCACGCTTAAAAAGACGCAGGATGTGCTTCTTAGTGATTTACAAGTATCTTTTTCTCCATGTTGGATAAATGACTACCAGGAAGGTATGCTTGATTACGACTGGTCAGCTGTACAGCACTCCTTCATTTATGCATGACAGTTTTCTGCTAAAACAGGGAGTGCTTTTTAGTTGCAGTGCATGTTGCTCCATAGACAACAATGAAAAGAAGCGAGCCTGAGTGAGTATGAAAGACATAGATATGGGTCATTCTCCATTTGGAGTGGGAATTCAGGAGGATACATTTTTAAAAAATCAGTTTCTTTCATCCCAAAACTAAATTATTTTAATATGTTCATTAACATCTCCTGTTATCATATATGCAAAAAGGAGAGCTTAATTCCAAACATATTTTACAGTCACTGGTGTTGTATGAATGTGGTGTAACACCAGTGATGGTGACTCCAGTGATGTTTTGGTTAAAACTGAGGATTGTGTAAATTGTCTGACCACTGTGGTGGTCAAGTGACCTTGTGCAACTATTTAAAATCAGTAAAAAAAATGATATTTGGCATTATTTTGACAAAATTTTAATTACCCAGCCGTCAAAGCACATAAAACCAGTGACACATAGAAGTTATGTGCTGCCAGATAAACAAAATTATTAATAAATTAATGAAATATAGTGAGCAAGTGTGACCTGCCCTTTCATGGCTCGAGATGCTTCCTCTCTTATGAGCTTTGACCCAAAGAAGCAGTTTAATGGAGCTGAAAATAAATCTTTAAATGTATTATAAGAGTCCTGATAACACCAGTGATCAAAATCTCTGTGACAAATATTTTTTTTTTTTTTTTTAAAATGTAGTATAATGTTAATGATATAAAAAGTAAACATGAACCTGTTTTATACAAATTCCTAAGTTAAACCTCTTAAAAATATTGTTTTATATCAAAAATGGTTTCTCAAATGTTGAAAATTGGTTTTGTGACAAGCTGTTTTACAGATGCAGAGCAACAATGAAACAGGATAAAAAAGAAAAGTCAGAGAATCATAAGGGAAATGTGTTATTTAATCTTAGGTCAACTGTGTAATGTTCATATTGACTTTTGGAGCTGTGCCTAATATTTTAAGCATCTTTTTAAGCCCAAATGGAGAATGACCCATATAAGTAGAGAACTAGGTTGCTGATTCATTATATACATAAAGAAATGAAGCCACTTGGCCACCATATCAGTAGTCCCTCTCTGTGCTGTATAATGAACGCTTGTCTATGGATGTCATGTTGAAATATTTCCAAAAAAATGCACATATTAAAAAAATGCTGAGGTGTACTATGTTTTCCAGCAACAATACCCAATGTATGTGCTGAGACAAGACATGTAGCCCCCATGTAAAAGTTTTTTTTTCGTAACTAATATAATCTAATCTAGGTTCTGATCTAGCTCTAACCAAAAGTTTTGCTAATCTAATCTAGCTAGGAAAATTAGCACTGAAATTGGACAGAACGAAAGCTTTTTAAAAGAAAAATGCATTGAGAAAGATCATAAGCTTTTCACATCTGGTTCTGATGTATATCATGAAGTAATGCACGCTCTGTTGGCAATCTAGATATATACTTATCTAAGGCCTTGTTACTAGTTCACTACATTAGCATCGTAGCTCCAGTGCAAAACAAAAGAAGCAAATTTTGATCATCTACATTTGAGGGTAAGAGGATAACTGTCAATATTTGATTTTTCACCTTTCAATATTCATTTAAGGATAACACCTAAATTGCAAATACTCAAAGCCTTGGACACCCATATTGTGCTCATTAGAAAAAACCTGGATTCTACTCACTCCCAGAACTCAGTGACAGGAGAGGTGAAGTTGGTGGCGTTGGCAGAGAGCCAGAGGGTTTTGTTCTTGCGGATGGTGTCCTCCACACAGTTTTGTGTGTTCCAGCTGTGCCTGCAGCGAGCCCACGGCAGCTCCCTCTGAAAGCACTGCAGCAGGTAATACAGCCCCCACGCCAGGATCACGATGTAGTAGATATTCAGCAGGGACACGATCACGATGGAGGCATAGCCGATTCCTATCACAAACACATGCAGCAAAACAGAATGTTTTTACTAGGCAGGAGATTGCGGATAACACTTCACCTACATTATACTGACAAAACCATGGCATAAACATTTCACATGATGTATTATGATGTATCAGACGAGGCACAAGATGTACTATGCTGTCATGTGTTGTCATGATAGATTATGTCCAGCAATATAACTGTGTCATGTTACCATTTCTGGTACAAACTCATGTCCAAAAAAGTTGGGATGCTGTGCAAAATGTAAATAAAAACAGAATGCAATGATGTGCAAATCATTTACACCCTATATTTAATTGAAAATAGCACATAGATAACATATCAAATGTTGAAACTGAGAAATTTTATTGCCTTTAGAAAAATATATGCCCATTTTTTGTATTTGAGTGCAGCCATGAGTAGGACTGGATGGGCCTAGGCCTACTCAGACTGATCACAGGCCTACCCAATCAAATGAGGAAAGAGTATTTATTAAGCTGAATTTTTTAAGATAATGAAATCTGATTTGTTTTCTGTGAGTGCAGTCACTGTATTATGATTGATCAAATGATTATGCTCTCCACAAAGCTCTGCCTTATTTTCTTAGCCCTCCAATTACTGCTTAGTAACTGCTGCTATCAAGCGTTTTAAAGTGAGATTCTGTCACATAGATTATGTTGTTTTCTTTCCATTTCCAAAACCAAAAACACTGCGAATTTAGTACTTACAAAAAAGCCGACACAGGCTTGAGTCATCACAGGCAAGACATAAATGGACCATCAACATTTTTCATATCCACCGCGGCATTATGCTTTTGCATATGATGATTAGTTTTAGGTTTTAGAAGTTTGTGGTGTTGATTCCCTCATATTTGCAGAACTCAGCTCTCTGACTTTTTCTCAGTCATGTTGTCTTTTTTGGGTCTGTCAGCTCTGGCAGTATGCTTTAGCCTATGATGATTCGGTTTAGGTTTTTAAGTTTGCTGTGGTTATTTTTCCTCATCTGATTTCAACTTACTTAAGTCATCTTCTTTGGACAATTTGTTTGGTATGAAGGGTGTTACAGTGCTGGTTGTGTTTATGTGTATCCAGATTTGTGGTTGATTACTATTGTTTTGTATCACCGTAAGGCAGAAGCACTGGAAAAAGTAGGTGGTACAGACTAATGTAAAGATATGATGGAAAATTTGGAAACTGTGTCTACTAAATAAATCTGCCTACCAAATAACTTATTTCTATTTATTAAACTACCACTTTAACCTTAACAGCACTACCTTGCTCCTCAAACGTAAATGTGGAACATTCTGTGAGAACTGTAACAATGCCCAGCAAAGAGCATTCCAGCAGCAGGAGACATAGCTGTTAATAGCGGGGTCACACTTGTGCCTTATATTTTTAGCCCCAAGGTCTGTCACCTATCGGGCACCTGCCTGCTTGCCCTAGTGACCTCTAAACATTGTTGTAGTGGTATTTTAGGGTCAAGGGCAGCCAAAAGGCAGGAATAATTACAGCATCACACAGAGCTTGGACAGTGCCATTCACAGCAAGCGCTGCGACAGCTGCCTCTGTAATCCAAAATGAGGGTGTGTGTGACGCATTGCCTGAGCATTAGAGTGAGAATGTGTGTGAGACCAAGGACGTTCAGCTGCTCTAGTTTTACGTGACGTTCGTGGGGTAAGAGGGCAACAGAATGTTCGGTTTGGATTTGTAAATGCACAGAACTCAGAGCGAACTGAAATAGAGAGACAGCATATGGCCTATTTGAGTATAAGTAGGGAAGCTCAAGAGGGGCATTCAAGCCTGGAGTGGTACAAGGCCACACAGGCCTGCACACATGCACATACAACTTTATCCACAGAGTGTGTGTCTCTGGGAAACGCAAAAGTGTGTGCGTGTTTTTGCATGTCTATTCATTTTAGAATTAACCTGCAATGTCAGGACAAACTGAAAGGCCCTGTGCTTTTACAAAATCTACATGTTACAGTTTCAAACTGACAGGGAAAACCCTCTTTTACTGAGATTAAGGTCAAGGGGTTAGGTTTAGAGTTAGATTTAGAGCCTGTTTACACCTTGGTGTTTTGTGTCCTGATCGTGTCTGGATATTCTTTTGCCAGATTTCATATACTTTTCACTAAAATGTGTCCCCAGTATGGCCCCATGAGATCCAACTGTATTTTTTCTGTGTAAAAAGCATATAAAACACATACATCATTTCCGTTTTACTTCTCTTTACTCTTTCCCTATTATGACATGAGTGGACAAGCTTGGCTTGGATGCATGAAGGCTCTTGGTTTGGGGCTAACTACAGCCGTCCATGTTTTCATTGTTTATCTTCTCATCTTTGGGTCAGCACTCCGAAAATGCACTTCCACTGATGTAACTGTACACAAAAAGCAAAAACGCATTCTGTTTACACTTGTGTTAAATTTGGTCAATATCTGTCGCTGACCACTTCTCAATATGGTTTGAATGATCCAATCGTAATCCACTCACAGTGCATTCTGGGGGTGTTTAAACCCAGCTTTTCATGCTGTCAAGAGAAATCTGAACATGGTCCAATCACCAAAAACATATTAATGCAAGGTGTAATTAGGCCCTTAGAGACACGTACATACATATAATACAAAAACATATATTACATATAGATTCTTGTATATGGACTATTCTACCAAATTAGGGACAAAATGGAACTACAATCATTTATTTTAAGAAAATAACAAAAAAACAACATTAAGGTATAGGGTCACTTAAAGCAAAATTATTTTAAGGTTCAGATTCAACTAAACTGAGTGCAAATATTATCCTAGAAATGATCTAACATCCTTTTCTGTTTAAAAGTTACTAAGGTCGAAAATGACTAACAGTTAGCTACAGGGTAAAACCCCTTGCCTTGATATTGTATATAAACAAACCTGGGTGTGTTTTGTGTGCGTGTGTGGAATAGGAATGTTTTGAGGGTGGGGTTATTTGTGCTTGTGTGTGCATAAACACAGGTGTGTGATTGCTCAGGTAAAGGGATGCAACAGGCAGATTAAAGGGTCCATATCGCTGTTGTCGGAAGAAAACCTTGTATCTCCAAAATAATAACTTTACAGGAGAAAACCTACTTTACTTTTAATGTACGTCAATGGAACCATTTTTTCAATTCATTTTGGGTTATTTCTTTTAGTCCATTCATCACGAAATTTACATATAATGTAACGGGTAACAGGCATTTTCAAATTATGTCAAAAACTGAAAAACGTCAAAAATGGAGATGACGAGGTTTTCTTTTCGATAGCAGCGATATGCTTTCCTTGTATTTTATTTTTTTCTCTCATAACATGTATATTTAATGTTCCAAAAGCAGTCCTAATTCATTTTACATGACCATTTTCCAACCTCGCTTTATCCTTTACAATTAAACAGTCTGTTGTTATTGTGTCTTTAAGACTGATCTATGTTAATAAGCTCTGTTCTGATTGGCTGTCCTTTAAAGCACCTCATTCAAAAAGCAGTCCAGGTTGAGACACTCTTTATAACTTCAATGTGAATGGTTGTAGCTAGACCTGTGCTGAATATATGTAAATGTAATGGTTTGTGTGACATCACCAAAACAGTGAATTTAAAGCAGGCTGTTTTTTTCACCTTAGTTACAATATATGGCCTGTATGGACTGGAGAGTGAATGGTACATTTTGAAACTTCACAACGCATCAAACTCTGATGTAAAAGAACAATAAATTCAGTTTTCATGATATGGACCCTTTGAACGAATAAAACTGAAATATCTTCAGAGAATCTGATTTCTTTTGTGCACTCATTAGCCCAGCCACGCCTATTCTGATCACCATTTTCAAGCCTCTCTCTCTTTTTCTGCCTCTCTCTCCTTTTCTCCCTCTAACACACTTTTCCTTTCCCTCTCTGCAAACAGATGAGGTCCCATTGTCAAATGTATCTTAGTCATCGCTGGCTCCTGTTGCCATGGCGACGGAGATTCCATCACGTCCGAATATGAAGCTGACTGCTGGAGTTTGGGCATTAGTCAGCCTGTGTACTGCTGAACTGGGATGAGAGGATACTACAGTAATTACACCAATGCAGCGTCCTGGATTTGTTTAAGCTGGTCACGTGTATGAAGTGAAATTACGATTAAAGGCATAAATGGGTAAGAAAGAAAAGACAGGACAGGTGTTAGGGTGTGATTGGTGGCAGAATTCAGTGGCGATTCTAGGACTGTATAAATGAGGTGGCCAAAAAATGACCCAGAAAACAAGAAGACCTCTTTCGCTTTTTACCTAAAACTGATCATTCCAGCTGAGTTTTTGTGATCGCTATAACTGTTATAATAATTGTCTTTGGTTTATTTTGTTAGTTTTTACATTTTTCTTCATATTTTCTATAATGAACTTCAGTGGTTAAACTCCTTTAATGCTATTTTATATGTTCTGGCAAATAGCGTAACACATAAAAAAACTGTGAGATAAAAGGTATATGTGGTTTGAGATGCAACTGGAGAAGGCATCCGACCCACAGTGGTAAACCCCTACTTATACGGGGTGATACACTTACTTGTGATTGGTCAAATATGAGGTGAGAAGCAGAAAATGCAAACAACTTCTAAGATGTGGACAAATATTAGCTTTCTTTAAAAAACTGAAAGTGAGTCTCCTGAAAAGAATGGAAGCCCTAATAAAGGCCAAGAGTGAACACACTAAATACTGAAGAAATGTAATTTCGTATTTAGTGGCTGAGGCTTCTGTTTTCTGTAAAATATGTTTTTTTGACACTGAAAAATGAATAACTTGTACTTATTGGGCGTTTTGACTGAAAATGTCGGATTTTTGTGTGTGAGTGTGTGTGTGCCTGAGTGTGTGTGTGCCCGAGTGTGTGTGCATGTGTTTCTGTGTGTGAAGGAGACAGAACATGTTGCTGCACTGAAAGTGAGCCCCAGGACTGAGAGTAGACTCTAACAAGGCAACAGCGTCTTCAGCTGTTGCCTAGCAACCACCAGACCAATAACATGACTCAGAGTGCTCAGACACCAAATGCAGGTCATATTCAAGATCTGTAAGCCAGGCAGGGCTAAAGAGGTAGCTGTCCAACCAAACTGGCCAACTACTGACCCCCTCTCCTCTCATACATACACACAGCACTAAGAATGGGTGTGGTTGTTCTAATATACAGACATCTGAACAGAAATCTTCGTATTCAATGTCTTAATCTTGTACTCAGATAAGGCGTGTGTAGTCTGGAATAAAAAATTAAATATATTACATCATCTTCCCTTTTTTAGTGGATTTTTACCCTAATTTAGTCTTATTCCACCCACTAACTAGGTCTCCCCCATTACACGATCCCACCAAGCTCAGAGGATAATTGCTACTCTTGCAGGTCCAGAGATAATCGATAAGCCTAGCAAAACAAGCAAAATGCTATAATTAGCTAACAGAACAATTTTCCCCCCGCAAGAGGGATTTTTACCGCATCATCATACTTGATTGGAGTTTTTGGTGAATTTTCAGCAATGTACCCCCACTTCGAGCTCCGCCTTAATGAAACATTCAGCCTAAAATTTGTCATGGCTGTCCTCAGACTTTCTTCTTACAAAATTACATCTGGCCCTACAAGACTAGGTGAAGGCTAGCAAGTGTTTCTCATGTCTCAGTGGAAGAACATCATCTGAACTACCACTAACACAACATCATTGGACAGTCCAACACACCTGATAGAGAACACTAACAGCCAGTTCTACTAAGTCAGGTACTGTTGACTGGAGGGAGGGAGGTCCGTCCTACCTATTTAGAGAGAGTGAGGCCAATTATGCAGTCTTAGGCCCAATCCCTTTTCTTATTTTTACCCCTACCCCTTGTTTTCGAGTGTCATCTTGCCCCTTGGAGCTGAGCTACAAGGGGTAGTTGTTGCAGTCTTCTTCCCCTATGAAATGGGACCCCTATGAACCTCACTGCTGGGCTTTAGTTACATTTACGGCATCATGAGCCTTCAAAAAGGGACAATTATTTATTATCACCCAGCCCTAATTCTTCAGTGATACGAAGCTGAAGTCAGCTATTCGCCAGCTTCTTGTTTGAATTTTCCTGTTCCACTTTAAACGGAGCAACAGTTACATTCTGGCGCTTCAAGCATCAGAACTGCTGGACTAATATATATATACTGTGTATATATATATTAGTGTATACTAATAAACACTAGCTTTGTTGGTTTCTTTGGTTGTTTGCGCTGCCATCTTACCAGTTTTTCTTTTTTTTTCCTCATAACACTCTGTTTGGAGGGTGCCTCTGAAAAACCTCCATTTGGGGGGCCATGTAGCCTTAACACTTCGCTCATCCCTACACATCATAACAGCCAAGCTTTGCTGTGGTTTCAGCACTGAGATGATCTGATCAGCATGCAGGTTGATTGGGCTATTCTGGTGGCTGTAAGCATGAAATTTAATTAATCTAATAGTTCTCATAGTGGATATGAGCTCATCTTTGATCTGAGCAGGCTGTAGAATGGCCACTGTTAATACAGGAAATGATTTCTGATCCCCAGTTTTTCAGAACCAACCTATTTTTATAAATGCTGTATCATAATGAATCAGAAATCTCATGGCTCATTGACTTGTGTTCCAATACTAAGTGTCTCTCTCTCTCTCTCTCTCTCTCTCTCTCTCTCTCTTCTCTTTCTCTTTATCTTTTTTTCTTTCTCATTTGACAGAACCTCCCTGTGTTCAGGTCTCCAGGTCCCCTCTCTGTCTCTCACCAGTGAAGATGGGGCAGAGTTTCTCCCAGCAGGTGATCCCTCCTTCAGAGGTGAACTGGCCCAGCGCCACCTCCAGGAAAAACACGGGAAGCCCTCCGCCAAACAGGAAGATGAAATAGGGGATGAGAAATGCACCTGAGAGAGAGAGAAAGAGAGAGATTCAGGACAAGAACAATACTGCAACTGTCACTGAAAAGAAGAAGTAATTTGTCCAAAGAACATGAGAAAACAATCTATTTTGAAAGTCCATCAGCATTCCATTAGCAATTCTGAAACAACTACTTTTTAATTATACAAAACCACAGGTATTTTGCAGTTACACATTCAGTATAACAGTTACCATGTGTGACAAAGCTGTCTGGTCTTTCCACAGAGGGTCAGGCAAAAACAAAAAAAATAAGTTTGAAGACCTCTGGTCAAGTTACACTGTTTATTGATTTACTAAGTGAAAATAAGATTATATACTTTCTGCAAGGACCAAGCATGAATATATCATTTTTCTGCACACTTTAGTGAGTGAAACATATTGGAAAATAATAAAACATACCATTTAAAGTGTGCCAAAACCTTTGCACAGGCCCCATTTTTTCTATATGTTAAATACAGCAAATCAACAATAAATGTGCATTAAAATGTGCAGAAGTGTGTCCTCTGTAGAGGATGTATAATTTCTAATTTGTAATTAAAATGTAATTACAATGTATTTTGCATATGACTGTGCACTAACACTAATGACCTGTTTAACATCAAAGCTCATGGTTTCTGTAGTTTGTTCACTCATTTTAATGCTTTGATCTGAAGCAGAGCCTCAAACTCCACACACACATAGTAGAGCTTCAGCTCTTGTGAGAATCGGTGGATCTCCTCGTGCTGTTTATTGATTTTTTTTTTAGAGAATACGTTGCGTCTTTGAGTCACAGTTGCCTAAAGAAAAATGAAAAATGGTTGCATTTAGTACTTAACAAATCTGTTCCCACTTCCCATATTCTCAGTGTTCGAAAAAAAGCATTTGGAGGTTTCAGTGTGTTTAATCTGAAAAAATCAACTACTACAAGGACTAAAAAGGTTTCTGATGACACTAGTATGTCCTACAAAATGGAAAGGAAAAAAACAATATAACATTCACTGATTTTATGGCTGATTTCATGAGTAATCAATAAATGGATATATGACCCCAGACCTAATCCATTCATCGTCCACTGCTTAATCTATGTTAAAAATACACTTAAAATTCAGCAGTCAGTGTAGTCAGTGTAGACTAGTGTAGAAAGATAATTAGGCAGTGGTTATAGAGAAACTTCCACTTTTGGGTGGCAGAGCAGTAAGTGATTTACAGCAGTCAGGCCAGAAAAAGCTGCCCTTGACTCTGAGGTGAAAAGAATTAACATTTTTAGATCATATTTACACCACATGAGTCAGAACAGACTCGGCTACTTAAGCTTTATTTATGAAAACAAAGCAAGTAAGTCACCTTTGCAAATCTCATATTACAGGAGGCCAAACTGAGTAAACACACACTGGGGAGTAGACATGCAGTAGGGATTCTGTCAGAGTAAATCAGATCAAATACCTATGTAACATAAGAGTAGGAGTGGAAAACAAATCTAAGATATTGTCATTAATGTAAGAAGACCTCAAATCTGCAAAAAAGGATATACATAGGAGAAGACAAAAAGGTTCTTAACATTAATGCTTATTAATGCAACAAGACTGTAATCTAAATTTGGCCTATTTTTATTGCCCCATTTAACATTAAGTGTTCAAATAATGTAAAGGACAGCTAGAGGTTTGAACAGAGTCATGTGGTTTTCAAACACTCACAGACAAAAAGATGTGAAACTGTCACTGGGGCAGTACCCCTCTTGTCACTGGGGTGGTCCCCTTAAGGGTACATCTCAGTACCTTTAGTCAGGAAACAATTGTTCCATAATCCACTGAAATTATATTTTCTAAGTTGTATTGACTCCACACACCCCGTCTCGTCTCCAGGCTTTTTATTTATTATTTAGAACAACAGATAGTGAAAAGTACAGATATGTACACTTATTTAAAGACTTATTTAAGGTGCATGATTGCACCTTAAAGCCACTGTTATACCTTTGAGGGAACATTTACATTGTTTGTACCTTGATGAATGAAAAATGTACCTGCACAGAACCTTTATTTCTAACAGTGTATGACAGCGGCAATATCTAGTACAGACATTAAAAAAGAAACAAATAAACGAATGGGAGCAAAACTACTAGGGATGCACTGATATGAGAATGGTGGGCCGATGCTAAGATTCAATATTTTTCTTTTTTCATTCACATGTCGATACTGATGCCGATGCATAAACATTTATAAAATGTAGAAATCAGGACTAGATCCACCTTAATTACATAGAGATCAAATATCAATCAAATCAAATATCAGTTTGAAATATTGGTGAAGTCTAATATCTGATGGTAATAACTTTTTAAAGCAATTATCAGCCGATATTGATATGATTCCAATATATTTGTGTATCCCTGGAAAAAATACCCATATTACACTGACCTCCGCCATTCTTGTAGCAGAGGTACGGGAAACGCCAGACGTTGCCTAAACCTACGAATCCCCCCGCCACTGAGAGAAGGAAGTCCAGCTTGCTGGCCCATTTCTCCCTCTGTGGAGGCTTCCCCTCGGCCTCATCCTCCGGCCGCGTGCCTGGACTTTTACCTGGAGACGGCTTCAGAGTGTCCTTATGGAAATCCTTCAGACACTGCAGCTTCTCTTTCTGTGCCATACTAGAGAGAGAGAGAGAGAGAGAGAGAGAGAGACTGTGAACTCGTATAAACGTGTGTGTTCACATAAGTGCTTTTAACACCTTCACAAACATCACTCTCACACTCTATACACATCGTACGAATACTGAATGTCAATGTTTAAACATGGACGTCCTTTGAGATGAATCGGTACTGATATGCACACACATACAGTACTGTGGGAAAGTCCACCCTTCATTAATTTCATTTCCAGTCAAAAGTCTTTCGGTAAGTTTTAGCATCAGGAAAAAGTGTCAGAAAACATATTTACCATATATTTAATTTTACACTACACAAAACCCTCAACAACTAAACTGAATTAAGTTGATGTTAATTTAATTAAATTAATTTAGTGTGTCCACTCTTTGCCTTTACATTACTCACTTTCAGCTTTTCAAAGGAAACTACAGGGATATTTTCCACAGATCCAAAGTTCAGTCTTAGAAGTTGGTTGAACTTTCTATTTTTCTTATAATCAAAGTAATCTCAAACGCATCTAGTGATGTTGAGGTCTGGACTCTGGGGTGGTCAGTCCATTGTTCAGCTTCTTTGTTTGATGTATCCGTCTCCTTTTTCTCAGTGAGGCTTCTTGAACAGCTACACATCCTTTCAGACCCATAGCACTGAGTTCTCTTCTCTTAGTGGAAGGATGGACAGAAACACCTGTGGATTTTTTCAGATTTGTAGCAGCTTGATTTTCTCCTCTTTCTCAAAGATGAAAGCTTTAAGTGCTGTTTATCTGATGGTAACATCAGATCAGATGATGGGTGGTCTACTTGTTGAGAGTCCCATTTACTCTGTATCTTTTAGTTTTGGAAACTTCTGTTCTTTCTTTTGTTTTACTGATTTTCTTTTGACTTTCCTCTTTTCATACCAGTGGAATGATTTATATCTAATCTCTTCAAAATATATCTTAATTAGTAACTTGCAATTTATGGCTGTTTTGACTGGAAATTAAACAAATATAGGTGGTCTTTGACTTTCGTACAGTACTTCTTAAATGGCTGCTGTACAAACGACATATCATTGTCATTTGAAAATCTTGCATATCTGAAAAACTTTATAGGATATAGAAAAAAATGATCACAACTTTAGTCACATTAATGTATGATTTTAATGTATGATTTTAATCCAACTAAGTCTGAAGCATTTCTACTGGTCCATTTATTATGAATTATCATGAAAGGCAGCAGGTATAAAAAGAAGTTTTCATTTGACAGTGATAAAAGATAATACACAGTAATGTATCCATGCATGATAGACAGAATACTTTTATGAAAACAAACCTACAGTATATACAGACAAAAGAATACAGTGAATGTAGTGCATTTATAGACCCCAAAGAAGCATAAAAGAGCGAAAAAGCTTCCAAATCAACCCATTAGACAAGCCTTTCAGAGACTAAAGAAAGAGTAATGAAGAATTAATGGAGGTAAAGAGATTACCAATTACCCTTGAACAAAATAAGAGGTTGCAGCAGCAGGAGTGAACGCACTGTAATTGTGATGGAAAGATAGAAAAAGACCAGGCCAGAGGAGAGAGTTCAAGAGCCGGGAGAAGGCTCAGTCACCGAAGCAGCGAGGGTTTGACTGAAGGTCGACTAGCGGACTGTCAGCGGGTGACCGGAGTGGTTATGTGGGATGAGGTCAGAGGTCTAAGATGTGGGCAGGATATGTCAGCTGATGCACTGCTTGGTGGGGAAGCTTCAGCGGAGCTTGTGTAGGAGCAGCATTCTCCACAATTTGGAGTTAGAAATCATGAGCTAATGTTAGTGAGGCATGCACAGTGACTGATTTAGTTAGAGATAATTCACGCATGAGTGATTCTTCTACAGAGAAAGAGAGGAATGACCTGGTTTTGTACATTGTGGAGGTTTGAGAAGAACGTCCATAACCTTTTGTCCAGGGTGACGCCACGCTGTTTTACACATTTTAGTTTTATACAAGAGGATGAGGCATTTTACAGGATGTTCCACAAATATTTTAAAGGGTTTTTTTTTCTCGTAACTCCATGAATTTCCTCTCCTATCATTTCCATGTACGACTGAGGCAATGCCTACACTTTTTGCCTATTTTAAAGTAGTTTAATCATTTTTTGTTTTGTTTAACTTGACAATTTTAATTCCTTTCTTCCTCTTTCCCCCTCATTACTGTTTCTAATCACTGTTTTCATTAATACAAAGCCAATCTTGTTGAAGATACGTGTATAAAATGATACGTGTATACGTGTATATACATGTATAAAATGATAATCCTTTTATGACTGAGGAAGCTGTAGAAACACTGGAAAGAATTTAGAATAAAAGTAACATCCAGAATGTTTTGTGTCCAAGTAAAAAGAAAAACAAGCATCTCCAAAATGGTAACTTAACAGAAGAAAGCAAAAACATTCTTTACTTTTAATGTAAGTTAATGTATTGCAAAGAGATTTTATTCCAATCAATTTTGGAGCATTTGTATTAGTCTACTCATCACTAAAGCTTAAAGAGCAGCTGCTCTGCTTAGATGATGTAGAAAAATTGAAAAATGAAAAAAATGAGAAGGGTTTTTTTTTGGACACAATTTGAAAAATGATGATCAAATCTCAAGGTAGGCAATCAAGATATTACTGTAAATAAAGAATTGCAGTCTATTGCATAACATTTAATAAGTTCTTGTTCCCAAAAGATAGAAATATTGAATAAAACATCCCTAAATACCTTCTGGTGTCTATCTTACAGTTTTTCAGTCTACCCTATATAGGTTATTATTAATAATAATAGATTAACATTAGGCTACCGCATTTACTAATGACATGCAAATTACTCCAAACTTTTGAACAGCAGTGTATATCACCTTAAAAAGAGAGGCATTTTTTGCCATGAAGGGGCACTGCCACCAATGTGGAGCACTAGCTGGTCTGCTTTATGTAATCTTACATTAGCTGAGGAACTGGTTAGTAATCTGGTTAGCATTTGAGTCAAGTTAAAGATGCAGGGGCTGGATTTTATACTGAAAAAGCAATAAGAGGCCAAAATGAAATGACTGACTGACTGACTGACTGACATCAACATAATGCCTCTGTGCTTCCATGGAAGCTTCTTAGTTTCATGAGAAAAAGCCCTGAAAACAGGACAACCCAGTGGTCAGACTGTGATAGTAATAACAAGCGCCATCTGGGAGCTCTCCCACCCCCCACCACCTGTGAGTCGAGCTCAATTCAAAGATACTTTGAATTCAGGAGACTAAACATGAGGCAGCATTTGTTTAAGGTGCTAACATCCAGGCCATCCTTGAGGACGGGAGTGACTTCAGCAGTTGTGTAAACAGAAAGAAAGGAGCATCACACATTATTGATGAAGGTGTTGAGACAGGGGCTGGGGATAATATGACGAACCTTAAAGGAACACACAAACACCAACAAGGTTAATTAAATTAAACCTAGTGGGGATCGGTTTAGTGAATTAGCATCTAAAAATAAACCTAGAGGGGATCTGTCAGTGAATTTTTTTGTATATGTTGCTGATCATTTGAGGCATAATAGCCCATCCAGACCACTTTGCTCAGCTGAGGCAGGTTTACTGCAATTTCTTAGGCCTAACCTTGCGCTCCAGACAATATTAGATCTGGATGAAGCACTGCTTTAAATTTTTGAAGTGGAAATAGGATCCAATAAACAGGTGCTGGTCTGCCTTACTGATGTCTATGAGATGTTTTGGGGTAAGCAGGAGCAATGTCAGGAAGGTGGCTTTTTTTAGAGGAAGTAGAGGGGGAGGGGGAGGTCATGAGAAAAGGGAATGGGCCCTGAAAAGTAATTTAATTATAGTTTTTAGCCATTTTAATATAGTGCTTCCCTCACACTAAAACAGTGGTCACAAACTTGGCTACCTTCTTAGAAAATCTGCTCCAACCATAAATGGCCTAGAGGACCTTAACAAGCTGGATGAAATGTTTCTTGGGTTTTATTCTTTTGAGTTGGAGCTGAAAGATAGATCTCCAGGAGAAGGGCTGGTGACCACTGGTCTAACATCTCATAAACTAATTAGCCCTATTGAACCAAGCCCCTTAAGCTCCTTTAAATCTGCCCCGAGAGTCACGGTGCATGCATGTCCACATTGGCCGCGGTGAAATGTATCAACATGTAGAAATGGAGCTTGTGTAGAAGAAGCACAAGGATTCTTTTATTGTTTGATACACTGTTGTTTGTTTTTAAATGTACACATTTTAGGTCAGTAAGCGTTTATTACTGAAGGAGTTCATCAGCATAATGAAAAACAAAGCGATGTGACTTATATTCCTATTCATGATGTGTTTTCTTGTTCAAAAAATGTAATTTGTGGGCCTAAATAAAAATCTATGCATTTTCAGCTTTGTAAGATCTTGTTCTTTACATAACAAATAAACATTAAAAAGCGCGGCGGAATTGTAATAATGTTGCAGTTTTTGGCCTCAAGAGCGTTAAGAAGACCTTCATAAACTCATGTAGGTGTATCAGAGCAGGAAAAAACTGCATGGTTCAGAGTTACAGACCTCCAGAGCTAATGTATGCTAATACACAACACAGAAATACAAAACCCATACAGAGAAATACTGTATGGTGTGATATCTTGTTCCCATTATGGTCTCCTCTAGTAAACAGGAGGGTAAAGGAGGTAGTGAAAGTGTTCAGACTGGGCTTAAGTAGCCAAAGAGTTCAGAGGATGTAGCTGAGGAAGAGCAGAGAGGATGATATAGCTGGGATGAGAGGGGTTTATTGATTTGATCTTGCGGGAAGTGAACTGGCCTGTAGCTAAATCCCTCTACCTCGGGAAGGTGTGAGTGGTGAGAGAGTGGGATAAGCGGGAGAGAGAGCGGGATGAGCTATAATCAGAGAGTAGGGAGAGGGCAAGCTACTCAACTGAGAAATGTACAGTTGATTTAAACACAACGTGAGGCCTTAAGTGCAGAGCGACACAGAGGGAGGAAAAAGGTCAAGGGTGATCGTTTGAATTCAGACAGAGAAAAAATAGTTTAGTTGGGCCACAGAGAGAAGTACTGTAATTGTGAGATGTATTCAGAGCCAACAAAGTCAAGCTTGAGGCAACCATCTCCCAACTGAGCAGCAACCAAAATATGTGGAAGATGAAGACAACGATGTGTCTAAATAGACTGAATTACATTAGTGGTCTGTTGCTGGTGGCCTACTGTTGATTAGATTAGGGGTTAACAGGATGACAGTGGGTTAAATCAGGTCAGCCGGGAGAGAGGACCAGAGCAGAGAATCCAAGGGGAAATGTAGCACCATTACAAAATCTGGTGATTATTCACAGAAAATCCCAAAAGAATTGCCCTTAGAAAACCGCGCTGCCTGGGGGCGCAGAATCCAGAAGGCCCACAGAAACGCAACCAGCTAGCCAGCATGTTGTTCGCATGACAGAAGCGCATCCCCACGACCAACGAGACGAGCGAGGGGAGAAAGTGAGCAGAGACTTACTCCGAGGGTGTGAGCTGGTGGTGGCTGATGTTCGGCATATTGGCCTGGTTTAAACTGTTTGAGATCAAGGCTGAAACAACTCGTTGGGGACTGTAAGGCTCGGGTAGACAACTGCTAATCCAGGGCAGAAAAACACAAGGGTACTGTGAGGACTTCATCAGAATCAAAGCCAGTCATTCAGCAAAACAGTTCTGAACTTCACGGAACTAGCATAATCCAGGTAGCCAGCACAGCTGGATGTGAAACTGGCAGTTGTACAATTAGAATTATAGTACAGTGCAAATGTCAGAGACCACCCTTCATTTATTTAATTTCCAGTCAAGATAGTTATTAAGCTGTTCATTTTTCAGGTGACATTTCTGAGGCAGAGAAAATGGGACTCCTGGTAGGCCACCAAAAAGTGTCACCATCAGATACTTAACAGAACAGTACTTAAGCATTCATCTTTTAGAGAGAGGAGAAAATTAAGCTCCACTCTTGCTTCTGATCTGAAATCCACAGGTGTTCCTGTCCATTTCTGTGTAAGGTTTGGAGGAGAAGACAAGTCAGTGCTATGGGTCTGAAAGGATGGGAAACTTTCAAGAAGCCCTCACTGAGACAATGAAAAAATTGCAAAGCACCTTAGAATCCAGACCTCAACATCAATGAATTAGGGATCAATTGGATCATGAGAAGCAGAAAAAGCAACCAACTTCTAAGACTGAACTTTGGAGGCATGGAAAAATCACACAATAATGATAAAAAAAATTTAATGTTGATGCTGCTGTACAATTTTCCTTTAAAGCTGCACTGTGTAAGATTTGAGGATTTGGTAGAAATGTGTAACTGCACACAATGTCTGGAAGAATTGTGCTTCAGACCCTATCCATAAGCAGATTACTTGAGTGAATTTAATGATAACTCAGTCAAAACTTAGTGCAGGTCGTGTCTTCTGAGGATGTGAATTATCTATTATTGTCATCATATCTTCATCAGTATAATGTTGATTTTGCATTTGAGACCTAAACATCGAGCCAGACCTTCTTTTTAAGCCTGCGCATGTGCGGACGTGTGGCCGAAAAAGTCTGCCCAACACCTCTTACTTTTAAATGTTTATTTCAGGCTTTACAGGGCGACTCACTGCAGCGCACACACCATATTTTAGCATGTTTTTTTTCTCCTGACTCAGCAATGCTACTCCTTCCGGTTTTAACAAACAATCTTACACAGTGCAGTTTTAAATATATGTTTTCTGGTTTTTTTTTTCTTGAGACTGAAAAATGAATAACTTGTACTTAATGGCTGTTTTGTTTTTTGAAAATTAAATAAATGAAGGGTGGTCTCAGACTTTTGCAGACAATTTTGCAGGTGAAGCAAAAAAGACAGTCAAAAAAAATTGCTGAGAATGCAGAAAATGCAGACTTTAGTGTTCTGTAAGCATCCAGCACTTTTTAGCAGATCTGTCACTTTAATTTTCTAAGAGAAAATTTCCAGTGAACGGCAGAAAAGCCACGTCCAGAGAAACAAAAAAATGAAATGACATAAAAGAGAGATGTCTGTAGGTCCTTCATCCAAAAATAGACACGCTCAGCTGTCATATGTATATTCTCTAATTTCCCATGGTGGACTATCAGAGTTATGCGCTTGCGTGTTCATAAGTGAGAGAGGAGATTTTTAAATCGTGATGAAACAATCTTTCCCATGCTTGCCATTTTCTTTTTAAACTCTGCTGACCTGCGCTTATGGGCTTACAAGCATCTTTGCAAGCAAAACATGGCAAAACTGCTTAGAGTACCTTTAAGTAAAACATTCCCAGCAGCATTATTTAAAAAAATTCCTAACGGGATTAGCAGAACCCTGTGTGACTTTCAAATCACATTAACCCTGAAGGGTTACCAGGTTCACCGTCTATCAATTTAGATGTACACTCTTAAAAGCAAAATGTCACAAAGGGTTCTTTGAAAAGAACCATACAAGAACCACTTTTAGTTCTCTAAAGAACCATGTTTGAAAATGTGGACAAGCTTTAAAGTAGAGCTGCTCAAATTGCGGCCTAAGGGTCAAAGCTGGCCCATGACTATGTTTTATTTGGCCCTCCAGAGAGTTAGTTAAACCCCACCCCCTTGTTCAATGACAGAACAAACATATTTAAACTATATTTCATTTTTAATTTCAAATTTCCTTTTTAAAAGCTTTATTTTGAATTTTAGCAGCATAATATAGTGTAATGATGAAATGCATTTCTAAAAAAAAGAATTTGAATCATGTCTTTTTTATTTGTATATTGCTACCTTTTCGGCAATTGGCTCCCCACAAACATTGGGCCACCTAAGGCATAAGTTTGGGCGCCCATCATTTATAGGAATTTTTATATAATACCAAAACAAAAGTGTAATAAGTGTATTATAAGTATAATAATAAATATGTTCCCTGTAGAGAATGTGTTAACTAATTTTCACTTAAATCAACAAAACATGTAATTTGACCACGGTGCCCAAACTTTTGCATACAACTGTATGTGCATTCAGTTACTGAATAAGCACATGATCACTCTGTTATACAGGTCTAATTTTCACATGGGTTTGACCTTTAATCAGACAATGCTATGAAGTATTTGCTCTTGAGTAGGCCCGTCAGTGATAGTGGTAGTGTGGCACCATCATTTTATGGTGGCCTACTTTGGTAAAGTGTTTTGCCTTTATAGCGGCAATAGCTCAAGTTTTAAGATGGTCATTAGGTTTGATTATATAATAGGACCCAAGAAAAACTTTTGCCTATACAAAGAACTATGTCACCTTCACTATGAAGCAATCTAGGGGAGATATTTCAGGTTTGAGGGAACATGGAGAGAGCAGACACCTCCACTCCTGGATATCAACTCACATAGGCCAACTATCAAAGACGACTGGGCGGTGCAGAGAATATACTATGCACACAGAGTTCTTTCTACTTGTTTATGACAATGGAAAATGCTCCAAAGCATAAAGCACATGTGCAGAACAGTCTCAGGTCTTTTTAATCTCATTTTCCTCCCTAAGCGAGAACAGAAAAGCAAATGAAAGCTTGGCAGAGCTGTCTAAAACAGAGCAGCAGTTTTGTGTCAGGCATTTGTCCTTATGTGGATGCCGTGGGTGAAGGACCTTTTATCAAGTTATGAGTAGTCTGTACAATCTCCCTGCAAGGTCACCTTCTGTCAAACCATAAGAGGTTCATCCCCGGATATATCTCAGACTGATATCCTTCTGTCTGCTGCCACAATTCTCTACGTATCTTTTCAAATGAGGATAAAGACAATGAGCAGCCAAGTTTTAACCTTGTCATAGTCTGGGTGTCCCCAGTTAACCCCTACAGTGATCATAAGCCCATTTAGACGCCAGGTGTTCATTCAACACTGGAAAGCTTGCTGTGTCATCTCCACAGCTATGCTAATAAAGACTATTCAAACCAACACTACAGTTAAATGTCCAAAATCTGAGTGTTAATGTACATCAACTACAAGACATGCTAGTCAAGCCTCAACTGATAGCCTAGCGTCTCATGCCACAGCTTTCACAAGACACAACACAGAAAACTGCTAAAAACGTCTAATTAACGCCATCATTAATTCATCTTACGATTGCATGAACATCAACAGACCCTGTAAAAGTTCATTCAAGTTCAACACTGTCTCTAACATTTACAGCATAGATTCAAAAAGGAGTGGGTTGGTTTTATTCAGCCGTTAGGCTACTGGCTAAGGTTAGCAGTTAGCCTAATGGCCGAATAAAACCTATAGAACCTAAAAATGTAGAACCTATAGAACCTAAAAATGTGTTAAAAACATAACATACATTGCATGCAGGACGATATTAAGGATATAAACTGCGTATTATCACAAGTATCTCCCTAGTTATCGCCTTTTTTATTTAATTGATTTAAAACCAATCTTTAGTATGTTTCTGGTTAACATGCACAGCAAGCACCTATATACGGGACTGTATATAAACAATTTTCTGTATAATTCAGCCCTTAAGATGTAAATAAAGTCAAGTATTTTCATACAAAATATTATATTCTCTACAGTTGTGGGCATAGGAACAACTTTATCGTCAAAGAAAATCATTTTATATGTAGCCATTAAAAGCCACTTTATATAGGCTATATGTACTATATGTAAGTAAGAAAGTGGTCAGTTTTCTGTGGGTACTTTCCCAATACAACGTCATGCTTGTAACATGAATGTATTTTTAAAATACATTTTAGGCCAAAATGTTATCGTAAGACTATCATAAAATGATGTCTCAGGCAATGTAATCATTAAACGTAATAACTTTCTGTGAGGTGGCTTTTAAAGGGCACTAAAAGCATCAGACGTCTGGTTCCTATCACCCCCACTATGAGCAATTCTGACTCTGCAAGTTTCTCTAGAACAGAGCATTTCACACCAAACCACTCTGAATGGCTCTGCTACATCTTAATGACGGATTTACGCAGAAATTTTAAAAAGTCGGTGGAATTCTCCTTTAAGCCCGTCTGGATATAAAAGAGCACTAAGCACTGTTGAATTAATGAATGAAATCCTACTGAAACGTTTCCAAAATAAATCGTTAGCATAAATGTTTCCTCAGAGAGGAGCCACCAGAGGGGGGAGGGCCAGTATGCAAATTCATATCGCGGCCATTAACCTACTTTATTCAGCAATTACAACCGGCAGCTTTCAGATCATCCTACTGGCCAGCAGAGGGTACAACACACACACACACACACACACACACACACACACACACACCGCTCAAAGCCTGAAAATCTCCTTGTGTTCAGTGTCCAGACACCTGAAATAAAGCCGTCTTCTTTCATAACAAAAGTGTGTAAATGACAGAAGACCCTTAAAGGGAGACCTAAGCGTGATGTAGCTAAATGACAAGCAGTGAAAAGTCTAAACGAAAGAAAGAGGGAAAATGTAGCGGTTTGGGAGTCATCCGTAAATCCACCGGCTTTCTCTAACTAAAACTGAGCAGAAGGACGAGCTCCATCTCCACTGAACAAGAGCAGGAAAATGATTCAAATAATTAGTCCACACAAAAACGCACATATAATTATGATAACAATAAAAAAAACATACACAGATGCAGATCTTATTTTCCTGAGGAGCCGGGATGTCACTCACCTGTCGGCTAGATCTGTGGCCGGAGTCTTGTCTTGTTCTCGTTATGTCTTATGCGTTGGAAATAAAGGCGAGGAAATAAAACACTCTTCACGCCCTCTTTCTTTCTCTCTCCCGCTCTTGCTCTCTCTCTCTTTCTCTCTCTCCCCAGCCTTCGCGTCTTATATGGGGAGCGCGTGTAATATCTGAGAGAGTGGAAAAACACCAGACTCTCCATGCAACAGGAGTGTGTGTTCTTAAAGGGACATGCACACGCGCGCATGCGCGCACACAGACAGATGCCCACATATACCCGCGCGCGCCCGCGCGGACGGAGATACCGGCGGCCGTGCTTGCGTCACTGCCCTGGAAACGGAAGAAGCGCGCGGTGTTTGTTATCAGACGAGGCTCGGATCAGACACATACAGGGACGCGTTGGATTCTGGTGCTTTTAAAGGGCGCATATACAACACTTTTTATGTATTTTAATCCCACCCCCCTTCACCGAGGTCCCCTATTGCCGCACCCCCCCCCCAACCAAGGGTCCCCTAATACATTTGTGTGATTTTGTGTATCAAAAATAGCCATAACTCATTTTTTCCATGACCATTTTCTAACCTCCTTTTATCCATTAGAATCAGTCTGTTTCTGTCACTGTGCCTTTAAGAAAATACTAATATATGTAAATGACATCCATTCTGATTGGCTTCCTTGTACTGTACCTCTTTCAAAAAGCTCTCCCTTTAAGACTAATGTATGTAAATGAGCTTTGTTCTCATTGGCTGCCTTGTACTGTGCCATATTGAAAAGCAGTGCCTTTAATACTAATATGAAGTAATTTGGGGTCATTTCTGTTGGCCCGTTCATCATGAAATTTACACACAATGTAAAGGACAACAGGCATTTTTAATATGTCAAAAACTGAAAAACGATACATTTGAGATACAATAGTAGCGATATGTAAATGACTTGCGTTCTGATTGGCTGCCCTGTACTGCGCCCCATTCCTAAAGCAGTAGTGCTGAAACACTCCCTATAACTTCAGTGTGAAGGGACTGGGCTAAACTACTGTAGGCCAATTTGGCTGCTGCACAAAAATGTGATGTCACAAAAATGATGAATTCAAAACAAACTTTTTGCAGCTTAGTTTCCATATATAGACCGGTGAGTAAACGATATGTTTTGATAGTAAACCTTAACAATGTTTACATACTACATAAAAATCTTTTTTTCAAAATAAGGGAGAAAAACCTGTTCTTTTCCATCATACGGGCCCTTTAAAGTGTCCATTTCACCAGCATTCACCGTTGCTTCTAAAATGACCACACTGACTTTTATAGAGGTCAGAAAACGTGTGTGTAAGCCTATGTATGTTTAAGTGTGCGAGTCTATGCTTGTGTTTGAGCGTGTGAGACAGATATATCCTGTGTTCCAAAGTCCTACTGTAACCACCAACCTCCATAACAATGCTGTAGCGAAATTCTTGGACCTCTACCAGAAACAGATGCCAGTCACAGTAAAGCCAAAGGGTTTAATAGCTGCTGTGGGTTTTTTCCATTCAGGCCTTTACTCAGCCTTTCGCTTGGCCAAGCCACCACCTTTATGGCCAAAGTACTGTAATATTCATTTATCTTTTCCTCGCTTTTTCATATCTCTAATCTTCCCAAATGTGCCATAAATGAGTCCGTTAATGGCACGTCACTGTCATGTACACTCTAGCACCACCTCCTTAACGGAGCGGGAGAGACGGGCTGGTGGTGCACCCCCAGGCCCCTTGGGTATTTAGTATTTAGCCATAGGTGGAGTTTACCACCTACTTTGGGCTGCATTCCCAAACAACCTGAATCCGAGAAAAACTGCACACCAGCAGGATAAGAGGCCCATTACTGGCCTCACACTGTCCACAGGCTGAGCCTCCATCAGAATGACCTGTCCGTGCTGAGAGAAACAGACTTCTGTACGCCAAATTTCCCCACGGCCATTGAGTATGGGGGATTTGGCACTGGGCTCTTCCATTTTCGCTCGCCGCTACCAGGGGAATTCTTGTAAGTTTGTTTTCCTGCACTTTGTGATATTCTTTAATTCAGAGAGTTGTCTTGTTTGACCCAAGGTCGCGCTCATTTATGGGTTAAAAGCCAAGGCCGCCTGGAACTGTCAGGGCCGGAACTAGGGCTGGCGCTGAACCTGGGTTGTCTCTGGCCAAACACATGAGGAAAAATGGAAAAGTCTACCAGAGGTGGTGGACTCCAGCTACCTGGTGCGCGATTCAACCCCTCCACCACACGCAGCACAGAAAGATAACGGACAGCCAGAGAGGAGTTAACCACCACCAGCAGTCGCGCTGTTTTTCTTGTCAAGAAAATAAGCCGGCAGCACTCTAGTTAAAATAAAAAAGGCTTCTTATCAGTAAAGATAGTGGTCCACGTGAGCATAATAGTCCATTGGTGAATTAATAGAATTCAACTGAGTATTTTACAGTGGCTTCAAATGTGGCTCAATGAAGGTGCTGACAACGTATTTTCTTCACAACTGGGCTAAGAGATAACAGACTAAACAGGCTAAAAGACAGCTAACAACCTAAACCACTTTTTCATTAATATATAGTTGGACTTTAAATTGAATTACTTTGATTTCCTACATGCTGTTCAAGTCCTGAAATTTCTGACCACAATTCTGATTACAACATGAGAATTGATCTGACACACTAAGTGACAGCAGAATATCTCAATCTCTGTCCAGGCACAGGTCCAGGCAAACGTGTCTGTGTGGAATTGAGCCCAAAGCCTAAGCTACCTAAACTACCATTTTACAATTTTCCTTTTAGTTTATTGTAATAACCCCAGTGCTTTATTGGTTTGAGCGACACTGAGAAAATATAGCTATTATTATTCAGTGCTATTTTCAGTTCAACAGTGGAGATTGATGTAATGCTTATATGACAAAAAGCATGAAATAAGATACACAATTTCACCATTAAATATGTATACACACACACATACATACATCATCTTAACCGCTTATCCTTCTGGGTTGCAGTGGGGTGCTGGAGCCTATCCCAGCTGTCATTGGGCAGAAGGCAGGATACACCCTGGACAGGTCGCCAGTCCATTGCAGGGCAGACAAACAGACATACACATTCACACACTCACCCACACCTAGGGGCAATTTAGCATGTTAGCTTAACTGCATGTTTTTGGACTGTGGGAGGAAACCGGAGTACCCAAAGGAAACCCATGCAGACACGGGGAGAACATGCAAACTCCACACAGAAATGACCCTGGTCGCCCAGCTGGGAATCGAACCCAGGCCATTCTCGCTGTGAGGCAACAGCGCTACCCACTGCGCCACCATGCTGCCCCCCATGCACGCACCCACGCACGCACGCACGCACATATACATAATATAATTTAAATTAAGTTTTTTTTATATCGGAACGCTGACATTATTTTGATAGAGAATAATAACCACCTTAATCAGGTAAATCAGGAAAATCCATGTTGTTGGTGGCATTAGATAAATAGAGTGTTCAATTTTGATTTTGTTGCATCAGAAATGATTGCTGCCATCAATGATATTGAACATTGGAGTTATTAGTTGGCCTAACCTTTCTAATCTGTATTTTCAGAACACAGAACATATCCAGGTTGCAGGTGGGGTGTGTTTCTCTCCAAAAATCTCCACAGCATGGAAAACACAGCTGATACAATGCGTCTGTGCTTGCGTGCATGTGAATGTGACAGAGTGATGGGGGGTCTGTACTGTATGTAGACAGATGGCTGGTCCCTGTGTGTGTGCTGTGCTGCTTACCAGGATTCTGGTCACAGAGTGAGTGCAGCATCAGTAGAGACAGGCATCACTCTCTCTCTGTGCACATATACAATATCTATAAGTTCTGTAGCATATTTGCATTTTGGCATAGTAAACCTAGTTCATGTATTCTTTCATGTCAAGGCTTTGGACCGTTTATTACAAAGATGATTTATCCAGCTGAGTTATTTATTAACCTATATAGCAGTATTATCTGATCATAATTTGCTGCAGTAACACCCTCTACAGTTCTGGGAAAGCTTTACACTAGATGTTGGAACATTGCTGTGAGGGTTTGATTGCATTCAGCCACAAGAACATTAATGAGGTTAGCAGCAGAGTTCGGCCTGGCCGCAAGCCGGGACACTTCTGTGATTTTGCACTTTAACAATTTTAACTGGGCAGTGAGCCAGGTGACTTTGCACCGTGACAGCGTAGTTTTACCAGGGATGTGAGCCAGATGACGTTGCACCATGACAGCAGAGTCTGACTGGGCTGCAAGCTGGGTTACTTTGCACTATGACAGTGGAGATTTGACTGGGCCGTGAGGTGAGTGGCTTTGCACCATGTCAGCGGAGTTTAGCTGGGCCACGAGCAGAGAGACTTTGCACTGTGACAGCGGAGTTTGACTATGACATGAGCTGAGTGGCTTTGTGCAAGCGGATGGAGATCAACTGGGCTGCTGGTTCAGAAACTTAGCTATCTGGTGGAGTTCAACTGGGCTGCTAGTTCAGAAACGTAGCTATCTAGGCCATACACCGGGTGACTTTGCACTGTGACAACAAAGATTGACTGGGCCACAAGCCAGGTGACTATGCACTGCAATAGTGGAGTTTGACTAGGCCAGAGGTCGGCAACCCAAATGTTGAGAAGAGCCATTTTGTCCTTTAAAAAAAAAAGTAAACCACCATGGGAGCCAAAGCATTTTATGTCCATTTCACCATCTTGGCTGTAAATGTGTCTCAGTATGTGCTGATGTACCAGTATAGGCTAAAAATATAAACGAAAACGCAGACTTACTTTGCTCTGCTTTAGGCTTTAGCTCAGGTATACCCGCTTTTCTTGCATCTCCGGCAGGAAACTTTGCCACAAAAGTAGAACAGTTTCTTGTAAAATGTCTCTCAACATTCGACTTTTACAAGGCTGAAGTTGCTTCTCATTCGCCAGCTTCTTTTTCAAATTTTCGTGTTCCACCTTAAATGGTGCCTGAGGCTCCAGAATGTAACTGCCACACCATTTAAGGTGGAACCGGTAAATTTGAGCTGGCGTCCAAGAAGCTGACTTTAGCTTCGCAACATTTTAGTGTTCGACAGTTTCTTGTTGCAGATTAAACATTTCAGGAAACCAGCTGAAGTGCTTATGAATGCAAATCCATTCGTCTCCAAATTATCCATGTTCTGAAATCTTTCTCTTTGCCTTTTCATTAGCTACTAGCTAGGCGAGATCGTTGTCTGTATGTGAC